GTATTTTTCAAAAAATCGGTTTCGTTTCGTTATTTTAACGGTAAACGTTTCTATCTCGTATTCTTGAATAACTTGAAACGAGGTAATTAAAGGTACTTTTTATTCACCTAGACTCCAAGTTGGCACATTGTCAAGAGAACAAAGGGTTGCGATTCTTTTTTAAATTTTAAAAGATCTATATAAATTTAACAGAAAGGTTTCTCTTTGTTTGTTTTGCTAAAATAATTAAAGTGGGTGCTGATAAATGTTTAGTTTTAAATTTTATTTATTGAAAAATGAAAAACTAAATTCGTTTCAAGTCCCCATTGTTGTTCCTCGACAAATCCCGGAGCACTTAAACGAGCACAATTCGCGATGATTCGACGAGGAAACTTCAACAAGCACGGGTCGTTTACCCGCGTGACGAATTTAACTCTGTAAAACAGTTAAACGTCCCTAAAGTAAACGGGGTAAAGTTCGCGTAAGCCATTTTCACCAACAGATATCCCCAAAACGAACGCACGAAGGAACAATGGTCCACCAGTGGTATTATGTCGTGGAAATCCTTTGGTATGGAAGAGACCAAAACCAGGTAATGGATGGTCCCGAAACGAAGAGGGTGGTTTTAGATACCCAGACGGTAACCCGACCATTAGGGCTGATGCGCAAGAATTAGCCCCGGACAATGGCGTGGCAACCGTGGCCATGGGGAGCATCCTCTACAATTAGTCGGCGGTTGCGCTAGCGATCAACGATCCCGAGATACTTGTCCACTGCAAAACATCGAATTTGTGGCCGTTAATGAAATACCCCTTGACCCTTTTACCACAAATTGTTATACAAAAAATAAATAAAACTTAGATATAACTAATTTACACTTTAAAATACTTGGTCTCTTAACTTCTAAATTCCCAATTTAAATTTTTTTATTTATTTTTTGTTCCTAAGATGTTCAAAATGGCCTAAGGAACACGATGAGTACACACAATTCAAATTTGGCAGTTGCAAAAAAAATTACGCGATTGCAAAAAGTCGTTTCCTTAGCTCTAAATTCGTAATTTTAATTTTTTTTATTTTTTTTTTATCCTAAGATGTTCAAAATGGCCTAAGGAACACGATGAGTACACACAATTCAAATTTGGCAGTAGCAAAAAAAATTACGCCTTTGTAACACGACTAATACACACATTTTAATTTTGGCAAAAAAATCCAAAGTCCGTTCTAACGATATTTTACTGTATTTAGAAATATCTTTTAGTTTTAGTGTACTTTTTATTTAGATTATTTTGGTTATTTTACTGAGTTTGTTCAGGATGGGGAAGAGTAGATTAGAAATTCTGTTGGAGTTTATAGGTTCGCGACGCAGCAGCCGGGGCAGATCAAAAAAGTAAACAACCCCCTCATAAATATTCCGGGATAATAGAATAAGAAACGGGGGTGCGCTAAGTCAAAATCGATAAGGATGCTGAAGAAAAAAATTCAACCCCCCCCGCAGCGAATAACGAGTACGTATTGGCCCCAAGAGATACCACCTAAAAAAACGCACTCGTAATGTGCTTTGATAACGCTACCACCACAGAAGCTGGTACAGCTTGCGAAAAACACCTCAATATTTAACCCGGGCCTGAGTCATGCGAATCGGGAATGCAACTGGGACTCGGCAAAACTAGGGGAAAAGGTGCCAGGAGAAGAATTACAACGCTTTCGGGGTTTATTATAAATCGATAATGCGGGGTGCAGCGCGACTCTAGATCACGTTAATGGCGTTTCTTGTGGTTCGACCTCCGCCTAAAACGACGAAAATTTTTTTTTGGGTTTCCCCCAAATATCAATTTAGCGAACCAGTAAATAAGAGTTGTTTCGTAATGTAACTGATCCCTTATAACATAAAAATGTAATATTTGTTAACGCATTTAATTAAAAATTTAACGCAAATACCAATTACATCGTTAACTAGTTAACCGAGTTCGCTAATTAATAATGGTAAAAGTAAATAACAAACATTGATATTCATTGATTGAATTTGTTAGTTTTATTTTAATTTATTTTAAAATTGAAAAGTCTTTGATGTCATCTCCGTCATAAAATTGAATATTCATAACAATTAACTTTATAAAAGACCAACTTTAGGACTTTTTTTGTTCTTAAGATGGTCAAAATGACCCAAGGAACACGATGAGTACACACAATTCAAATTTGGCAGTAGCAACAAAAATTACGCGATTGCAAAAAGTCGTTTCCTTAGCTCTAAATTCGCAATTTTAATTTTTTTATTATTTTTTGTTCCTATGCTGTTCAAAATGGCCTAAGGAACACGATGAGTACACAAAATTCAAGTTTGGCAGTAGCAAAAAAAAATACACGATTGCAAAAAGTCGTTTCCTTAGCTCTAAATTCGCAATTTTAATTTTTTTATAATTTTTTGTTCCTATGTTGTTCAAAATGGCCTAAGGAACACGATGAGTACACACAATTCAAATTTGGCAGTAGCAAAAAAAATTACGCGATTGCAAAACTAAGTTTCTTTAGCTCTAAATTTACAATTTTTAATATTTGAAATTTTTTTACTTCTAGAGTACGTAAAATATCCTTTGTAACATTAACCAAAAGTAAATAACAAGCATTGATATTCATTAATTGAGTTTGTTAATATTTTATTTTAACTTATTTTATAATTTAAAAGTCTTTGATATCATCTCCGTCATAAAATTGAATATTCATAACGGTTAATTCTACAAAAGACCAACTTTAGGATATTGCACATAAATTTTTCGAGACAATATTGAAATTTTGCGTAATAAAAAATCTTTTTCCCCCCGCTCACCGCAGTATATCATAACGAGTAAGAGAAATCCTCTTTGTATCAATTCACAGAGGTCATAATTCGAAGTAGTCACGGAGAAATGAGAAATATTGAGCTGAAAACGCAAGAGAGATACTCGCAAAGCACTTAATAAATCACCCTCGCCCGCTCGAGAAACAATTATTTGACTTTTTATGACGCCAAACCTGGGGGTGTATTCAAAGGAATTCCCTCGGCGCTCAAACTTCAAGGGTTGTTGTAGAGAGCCGCGTCATGGTGGGGGGTGAAATCTAGCACACCCCTCTATAAAGCTTCTAGGCTGGACTAGAAGCATCCCTCGCCTTCCCCGGGGAGAGACAAATGTAACACAAATACACTTGACAGAGTGGCTTATCTCCCTCATCATCAATTATTACTAATAAGGAATGAAGGGGAACGTTTTTTTAGGTTTAAATTGCAACCCCTTTTCGTTTATAAAGGGGATGATCTTTTTATATCTTGATGAGCATATTTTGATGTAATTATTCTCTTTGTAAAATGTAATATTCGATTTAAAAAAGAGTTCCCCCCAAAAAAAATTCGGCGTTATTATCTAGAACAATCAATTACGTTGACGGGCAGGAGCGGGTTATTGCCGTCAAATATCTTCATCCGGACGCAATAAGACCTGTCCCCCCACGGTAAAAATTTATATTCGACGCCCATTGTGAGCGCGGCGCGGCTAAATTATTGACGGCGGCGTTGGATCGCATTATCCCGTCGAGCTATTCATCAGCCCAAACTATTAGATTAAAACGGGATTACAAAAGAGCGCCGCCTCCCCGCCAACAGAAAACGGGGGGAAACATTATTAGGGGATCCTCGTCGCTTTTTCGGTCTTCATATCGGTTAATTAGGGCAACGTGGCACACCTCCCATTTAACGCCTAATGCAGCCGACAGGTGGGGGGATGGGAAACACGAATGGGGTGAGCGGGAGGGGGAGGCTTTTTAACGGGTTTTCGGGAGGTCACGTTTGGGTGGGTTGCAGTTTCACATCGCAGGGGCTAAGTGGATTTCTTATGAATTTATTCGTCCATTCAATAATTAACATGCTCTTCAAATATAAGGAAATAAATAATATCAAATTATCATCTTACCATATTAGGAAAGATTAACTTGTTATAGCTCAAAACTAGACTAACACTAGCACTAGAACTAGAAAAATGCGTCATGTTTGGTGGGTTTATTTTAAAGATTATTTAATAAGGATTACGAATACATCAAAATTAAAGTTAACATTAACACCATGAAGTTGTCAACCTTTGGTTTGAAATGTCAACCTCAATTTTGACGTATTTGTAATCGTCATTAAGAATCCTTTGAAATGAGTACCAACTCGATATATTTCATTTCAATATTAATGAAGTTATGGTCAATTTCCGGTTTGAAATGTCAACGTCAATTTTGACATATTCGTAATTTTATCAAAATGTCTTAAAATAAACATCATTTTTCATAAAAAAAGAAAATACAAGAAATAATCTCAAAAATTAAGGTTGCTATTAATATTTAAAAATTATGTTGCTAACTTCATTGTTGCCAACTTCAGGTTTAATATTTTTTATTCTAACTTTTTTGTTTTTCGAGATAAATACGTCATGTTTGGGTTCATTTTAAAGGTTATTTAATAGAGATTACAAATATAATAATAAAATTAAAGTTGACGTTGACACCTGAAAGATTTTTTTAGCTGTGCGTCGAATCTGTTTTAAAAAACACCAAAATCATCTTTATTGGACTATCTCTAGAACTAACAAAAGACCTAGAACTAGAATCATTCGGGTTTAGCCGTCTTGAGAGACGTGCGGCTAAATCCGAATGTTTCTAGTTCTCGGTCTAGTGTTAGTTCTAATTTTGCACAAGAACTAACGCTAGACCTAGAACCAGAAACATTCGGGTGGGTTGGGACGGCTCTACAGTTTATTATTTAACTTTTCTGAGATATTCCCAAAAGCCATCTTTCCAAGATGTTGCGTACCTTTTACTTTAAATCTTATTTACTCATGAACTTGAGGCACTTGAACGTTATAAGTTTTTATAAAAGAGCCCACAAAAAGTTGTTTACAGTATTATTGCATCAGCAACTTTAAAAAGCTTGTACATTTTAAAGACAACACGTTTTTAATTATAACTTGAAAAAGTATCAATTCGGTAAGAAAAAAGTAGACAAGACTCACCGTATTAGATTCTTGATGCTTTGTACTTTGTAGTTCTGACCTGAAAATAAAAGAAAAATTATTCGAAACTTATTTCGCAATTATAAAATTTTTCAAGACAAAGATAAAAACATGAAAAAAGCTAAATAAGAAATATAATAGAAGAACAAAGTCCTTTATTTAGAAAACTTTCCAATCCCCGTCATAAAAGCGTGCCTTCGAAAATCGTCTAATAGCTCGATTCGACCGGAAGTGATCGGATTAAAAGTTTGCGACGTTGTTAAAACTTCCAGCTAACTAAACAAGTAAAATAGTTAACAAAGGCACAACGCGATAAAAAAAGGCATTGAAACGTAGCTTTTAAAAATCGTCGAAAATATTAACGAGGTCTCCAAAACTTTGGATAAAAAATTTTAAAAAAAAATCGTCTACATAACCTAATATTTATTTAATATTTTTCGTTGCTTACTTTAAGAGCAATTGAAACGGTAAACGATCGCCGCAAATTCCGAGTGGAAACCCGTATTTTATGGAAATACATTCCAATAATGGTCTGAGTTTCCCCTCGCGTAAAAAACCATATAAAATAACGATACCCCATCCGATACGAAACAAATATTTCAATCGAACTAACGGAAAAACGTGGTGTAAAAACCGGGTGTGCTTAACGGAGACAATTTAAAAGGTTAAAAGTTTTTCCAACGGACACGAAACGCGTTTATACATCCGCTAAATGGTCTCGTATATAATGTCTAACCTTCTACCTTTAATAGAATGGTAATTTATGGAACTACTTCTCGACTCTTCCAACGGCTCTCCACCAAACTCCCTTTTTCTTTTTTCACCCTTTTTTCGGGACGACGAATATTACCTGTAACGACGACGCTCTACGGCCCCTGCGTTTTATTAAATTACGGTAAGAAAATATATCAACTCGAACAATTTAAAGTCTGACGTTGGGTTAAGTACCTTTTCAATGTGACGAATGCCCATTTTATATTAAAATTATTATTTTTATCTATTCCATCCTATATATTTCAATTTGTTTCACCACGTTTATTGTTAATTGTTAATAAAAAAAAATTTTGACTTTTTTGAACGATTTGACATTAAAATTTGACGTCGAATTTTTGATAGTGACGCCATCTATGTTTGAACCTAAAAAGTTAATTATTAAAATTAAATATTGTTTTGTAAATGTAATTTTTGTAATTATATTTTTTTGATAAATTAATTAATTAAGAATTAATAATAAAATAAATAATAAAAGTAATAATAAAATTAAAAAAGTTAATAATAAAATGACTTTTTTTTGGAAAATAGTTGCTATAGTGTACACGCGATGGCGCTGAGATGACGTTAAAATTATTATTTTTATCTATTAACTAATTAATTAATATATACACATATCAATTTCATTTTGTTTTATCACATTTGTTATTAAATAAATATTAATATAAAAATGTTTTTTAATATGATTTATAAATTTGAAGTTGATTTTTTAATAGTGGCGCCATCTATGTTTGAAGCTAAAACGTTCTTGTGACAATTATTAAATTGTTTTGTAAATGTTACTTTTATAATTGCAGTTTTGTCAAAAATTAATTAATAAAAAACTAATAATCAGATTCATAATAAAATTAATAATAAAATTAAAACAGTTAATAATGAAATAATTTTTTGTTTATAAAATAGTTGTTACAATGCACACAAGATGGCGCTGATCTGTCAACAACAAATAAACCACCCAACCTAAAACATCCCTATAATAATCGCCATTTAACACGAAATAACCAACATAAATGTTAAGTAGGATTAAAAAAATAAACGCGAATAATACCATCAACATATGATATAACACGTTAACTAATCAGTGCTTATAAATCATGGTAAGATATCCAAACAAAAAAAAATGGTAGCCTGACAATGGTCTCTTTTTATTTTGACAACTGTTGAAAGACATAACCTAAATTTAAAATTACGCACTGTATTCGGGGGGGTTTTTCCACTAAATCTTCTTAATTAATGAAAGATCATGTCCCAAATCTTACAGGCGATGAATGAAAAGTCGGCATTAAATGCCTTAGAGAAATTAATGGAGGAGTTCTTTTCTCCGGGAACCTCCAACGTTCGAAAGAGAGATATCGAAGAACAACTTACTAGTTTTGGGTGTCAAGGCGATAATTGGATGTATTGCGTGTATTTTTTAAATAATACTACTAGTCAGTATGTTACTATGTATGCTTTGACCACAATCGAGGTAAATTACTTTTTTTTGAGGTTATTGTATATAATTATTTAATTTTTTGTAGTCAGTGATATGTAGGATGTGGAATAAAATCGAATGGGAATGCAAAGAAGAAATAAAACATAGATTGTACGGATTTTATGTGGAACAAGACGAAAATTCGCCTCATTTCATCCGAAATAAATTAGCTAAATTAATGGTTGATATCGCTAAAATCGATTGGCCGCATTTTTATCACAATTTTTTCACCCACATTTTGGTCGTATGTTAAACAATTTTTATAAAAATGAAAAATTAATTGTTTTGTTAATTGTAGTTATTAAAAAGTGATAAAGCTCAACTTTTGGGATTGGTTTTACTACGAACGTCTAGCGAAGAAATGATGAACGAACGATGTGATGTGAGTTCATCGCGAAAAGACGAACTTAAAAGACTGTTACAAATTAACATTCCAGAAGTATTCCAGCTTTTAATAAGCATTTTACATAATTTAGGTTAAAAACAATTAATTATTCGATTAAAAATATTAAAAAAGGAATTTTTTAGGTACAAAACCTAGACATAAAGCAACGGCAACACCCCCACCTTCTCCAACGCAACCAAACCCAACTAATTTATCGATAACCCCTCAAATAACATCCACGAAATTCCGACCCGATTCGAAAGCGATTATTCGAGAAGCCCTTGCCGCTACGCAACATATTTTTTCTTGGGTTCCACTTACTTTGATTCCCACGGATATAATCGGTGCCATATTTCATTTTACTCACATTTCCAGTTATGCACAGGTAATAATAATGCATGAAATCACTCAAATAAGCCGTTACAAATGAAAAAAATGCAGAAAAGTGTTAAAATTACCGAAAAATCACTTTAAAGTTTCGATGTGACGTCACAAAAAGTGACGTCATCGACCGTGCTAACCATATACAACAGCACATCTGTTTAAAACGCATATTTTCCGGTGAAATTCGGTTGTTTCTTAGGTTTTCGACGCACGACGACTAAAATGTCCTTGGTTACCATCTATAAACTAAAGGTAACTTAAAATCTATACCTGATGCCCTACCTCCTCTTTTTTTTTTCATGCAACCACCCTTTTTAAACGGTTTATTCATCCATTTTACAATTTTCACATTTAAACTATCGTTAAACCCACGATATTTTCTAGTTCTAGGTCTAGTTTTAGTTCAATGAAAATGATTTTGGTGTTTTTTGAAACAGTTTCGACGCGCAGCTAAAAAAAAACGTTCAGGTGTCAACGTCAACTTTAATTTTATTATTATATTCGTAATCTTTATTAAATAACCTTTAAAATGAGCCCAAACATGACGCATTTATCTTGAAAAACAAAAAAGTTAGAATAAAAAATATTAAACCTGAAGTTGGCAACAATGAAATTGGCAACATAATTTTTAAATATTAATACCAACCTTAATTTTTGAGATTTTTTCTGGTATTTTCGTTTTTTATGAAAAATTATGTTTATTTTAAGACATTTTGATAAAATTACGAATATGTCAAAATTGACGTTGACATTTCAAACCGGAAATTGACCATAACTTCATTAATATTGAAATGAAATATGTCGTGTTGGTACTCATTTCAAAGGATTCTTAATGACGATTACAAATACGTCAAAATTGAGGTTGACATTTCAAAGTTGACAACTTCATGGTGTTAATGTCAACTTTGATTTTTATGTATTCGTAATCCTTATTAAATAACCTTTAAAATGAACCCAAACATGACGCATTTATCTCGAAAAACAAAAAAGTTAGAACAAAAAATATTAAACCTGAAGTTGGCAACAGTAAAGTTAGCAACATAATTTTTAAATATTAATACCAACCTTAATTTTTGGGATTTTTTTCTTATTTTCTTTTTTTATGAAAAATCATATTTATTTTAAGACATTTTGATAGTTACGAATATGTCAAAATTGACGTTGACATTTCAAACCGGAAATTGACCATAACTTCATTAATATTGAAATGAAATATATCGTGTTGGTACTCATTTCAAAGGATTCTTAATGACGATGAAGTTGGCAGCAATAAAGTTATCTAAACTTTAAAGTGAATTTTTCGGTATGTTTTACACTTTTCAGCACATTCTTTTCATTTTTAAACTATTTTTTTGGGTCATTTCACACCGATAAAAGAAATCGTCTTATATCAGATTAAAATTATTTAATCCGATATTAATGATTTGTTTTAGGACGACGATGATATGTGTTTATTAGCAATTTCAACGTTAAACGAATTATTATATAGGAAATGCGTCCCACTGTCAAGTTCTCCCTTATTTATACAATTGTATCATAACACGATACAATTACTTAAAGATGTGACTTGTACGATGGGGGGGAGGATTGAAACGTTAAGTTTCGAGTTAGTACTTATTTTTATGTGTTAAATAAGATGATTAATTTGATTTGTTGTGATTAGTTTTGTTGGGAAATTGGCCGAGATGTTGTGCCTTATAATGGAACAGCATTTGTGGAGGTTAGAATTAGAACCGGGATTTTCGGCAATCGAGCTTTTATCGTTGCTCTTTCAACTAACCATTCAACTGCCACAATTACCCTGTTATTTACGGTGTCTTTCCGTATGGGCCACTTTTATGAAGCAAATGAAACCGCAAAATGCTCACAGGTTAATAATTAATAATCTTCGTCTATATACTATATATTTAATAAATTATTTTAGATATTCTGAAGCTGTGCAAAGTTTGATATCCGCCGTTTTAAATAAAATGCAATTTATTTATAATTCCCCCCAATTAAATGGATTGACCGAAATCAAAGATGATAACGTAAGATTTAAATTAAAAGTGATTAATTAAACTAGAACTAGAAACATGATTCTCGAGTAATTTTTTTTTGCTACTGCCAAATTTGAATTGTGTGTACTCGTCGTGTTCCTTGAGTCATTTTGAACATCTTAGGAACAAAAAAAAATAAAAAATTAAAATTGCAAACTTAGAAGTTAAGGTACTAAGTATTTTTGGCATTGCCAAAATTGAAATGTGTGCATTGGTCGTGTTATTAAGGATATTTTAGATATTCTAGAAGCAAAAAATTTTCTAAAATTAAAATTGCGAATTTAGAGCTGAGAGAATGAGTTTTTGCAATCTAGTAATTTTTTTTTGCTACTGCCAAATTTGAATTGTGTGTACTCGTCGTGTTCCTTGAGTCATTTTGAACATCTTAGGAACAAAAAAAATTTAAAAATTTAAATATATATAATATATTAGAAGCTTTCTAGTTCTAGGTTTAGTTTTAATTTAATTAACACCGTTCGTGAAAGCGTTCGTAAATCTGAATTAATTTTGTTTTAGGATCAATCCGAATTTGATTTATTTATAAAAAACTCGATAGAAATAATAGCCATGGTGGCGGAGCACGCGCCATTATTAACTTTTAACGAAGTGGTATGCTTCAAATTATTTATTTTAATTCTAATATAATTCGAATTCAATTTTTTTAAAGTTAATTCCTTGGAAAAACGCAAACGACATCTACACCATGCTTCAAGGTGTCGTAAACAGAGTAAGTTGTACAATTTCATTACAAAGTACGGAATATCATAGACTGCATTGTGTACTCAGGGATTTGTCTACGCTAACGCAAACTTTAGCGAGACTTTCCACGTTATTTATCGAACATGGTAATAATTAAATTAATTAATAAATTCATTAAATTAACAAATAATTTAATTTTTAGGTAATGAATTTATGTCAACATCAACAATAGCCGACAATTTAATAAGTAAAACGATCGAAAGTGCCTCATTCGCGCGATACTTTAGATTTTATCATTTAAAAGTGAACGACGAAAGACTCATCAATGATTTTATAGAAGTGTAAATATCAATCACCTGTTTATTAATCCCTTTATTAATTAATTAATATTTTTTTAGACAAAGCCAATTATTGGCTGCTTTAAAAACGTGGTTAATTTGGTTATCAACAAACTCGGAGAAATCCTTAAACAAATTTGACAAACAATTAATCGAACTCGCTTTGTATCATCTAAAATCGGCTCATGAGGAGCCCGAAAAAGTGTGTCACGCTGCCGCTCACCTCTTTTTAAGCCTCTCATCGGCGATTTTCCCGCCGAATTTAATTTCGATTCCCGAAATCGTCGAGTTTATCCAATTCGCTCCCACTTCGAGGTATTATAAAAAAGAAACGAGTAAAGTGTTAAACAGCGCGTGTTGTAACATCTTGGTGAGGCCGTGGGGCGATTTGTCTCAAAGCGATTTTCAAAAACGCACTTTATTAATTAATTCGTATTTTAACGGATTAACGAGGGAATTTCATGATCTCCCACCTCAATGTGTCGATGAAGTTAAAATTAATGAAATAATAGGAAATGTACTGCCAATTTTGTCGAATCTCGTCGAATTTTGTAATGGTTTTCAATCGCAATCGAAGAAATTGCTTTATATGGGATTAAAGGTAAATTAAAAAATTATTTTTGTTGTTACTAATTCGTTTTTTTGATTTTTAGGGATCTATTGATCATTCCTTATTATTGTTCCCTTTGTACTCGAGGTTTTCTGAAGCTAGTAATCACATTTTAGTATTTTTTCTAAATGTATTAAACGTGCTTCAACAACAAATGGGGCCTGAAGTTATTAAACGAGCTATTGAGATATTCTTAGAAGTTGCCATAAGGTAAATTTTTTTTTCTACTGCCAAATTTGAATTGTGTGTACTCATCGTGTTCCTTAGGTCATTTTGAACGTCTTAGGAACAAAAAAAAAATAAAAAAGTAAAATTGCAAACTTAGAAATTACGGGACTAAGTATTTTTAGCATTACCAAAATTGAAATGTGTGCATTAGTCGTGTTACTAAGGATATTTTAGATATTGTAGAAGCAAAAAAATGTTCAAAAATTAAAATTGCAAATTTAGAGCTGAGAGAATGACGTTTTGTAGTCGAGTAATTTTTGTTGCTACTGCCAAATTTGAATTGTGTGTACTCATCGTGTTCCTTAAGTCATTGTGAACATTTTGGGAACAAAAAAAATTAAAATTACCAATTTAGAAATTAACAGACCAAGTATTTTTGTCATTGCCAAAATTAAAATGTGTGTATCAATTTTTAGAAGCACTGCTAAACCCGAATATTTCTAATTCTAGGTCTAATGTTACTACTAGTGACAGTGCAAGTATAAAACTAGAACTAACAAGATACGCCTCACGTCTCTAAAGACGGCTAAACCCGAATGATTCTAGTTCTAGGTATAATAATAGTTCTAGTGATCTAGCACTGTCACTAGAACTAACACTAGATTATATTGTTGTTGTATATCTTTATAGATCTAAAACCAGAACTAACACTAGACCTAAAACTAGAAACTTTCTAGTTCTAGGTCTAGTATTAGTTCTAGTTTTACACTATCACTAGAACTAACCCAAGAACTAGAATCATTCGGGTTTAGCCGTCTTGAGAGCTAAACCCGAATGTTTCTAGTTCTAGTGACAGTGCAAGTGTAAAACTAGAACTAATAAGATACCTAGAACTAGAATCATTCGGGTTTAGCCGTCTTTAGAGACGTGCGGCTAAACCCGAGTGATTTTAGTTCTAGGTATAATGATAGTTTTAGTGATCTAGCACTGTCACTAGAACTAACACTAGATTAGATTGTTGTATATCTTTATAGAAATAAAACTAGAACTAACACTAGACCCAGAACTAGAAAATTTCGAGTTTAGCCGTGCGTCTTCAGACGTTTTACACTAGTTTTACACTATCACTAGAACTAACCCAAAAACTAGAATAATTCGGGTTTAGCCGTCTTGAGAGACGTACGGCTAAACCCGAATGTTTCTAGTTCTAGTGACAGTGCAAGTGTAAAATTAGAACTAATAAAATACCTAGAACTAGAATCATTCGGATTTAGCCGTCTTTCGAGACGTGCGGCTTAACCTAAATGACTCTAGTTCTGGATATAGTGTTAGTTTTACATAGTAACAGTGGAAGTGTAAAACTAGAACAAGAACCATTCGGGTTTAGCCGTTTTAAAAGACGTTGGGCTAAACCCGCACGTTTCTATTTTTAGATTTAGTGTTAATTCTAGTGTTAACTCTAATTTTAGTTAATTTTGTTTTAGTGAACAACAATCGAAAAACTTGTCCAGTTTAGAAAAACTTTTACAAATTTTACAACTGATAATAGAAGCCCCAGGAAATACATACAAAACATTTCTGCCAGGAATTTTGCAATTATGTTTACACAACGTGTGCCCTGTTATTCTTAATCAACCGAATGAACACCCCGAAATATTCGTCGTTTTATTAAATTTATTACACAGGTTAATTTGATAACATTTCTTTTTGTTTTTGATGACTAAAATAATTTTTTTTTAGTATTTTATTTTATCGTTGGAATTACTTTTTTATTTCGCAAGTTCGTTTGGGACATTCGCCCGGTTGTAGCGATACAGTTCAAGGGCCGGATAAAACTCAGCAACCGGACCAATTGTTGACAATTTTACAAGTTTTTGGACAAGCTTTGCTTCAATCCGACATAAACGTGTTTCGAACCAGCTTAACATCACTGGAGAACTTAAATAATAAATGGAAATTGTATCATAAAGATTTATTTAAGGAACACCTCCTTCCACACTTCTTAAAAGTGTTAATGTTCTCCCCAATCAATAAAACCCACGATTTATTAACCGATGATATACAAGCGGCGATTTATAACATGGCTTTGGTTAGTTTTGGATGCTTTTTTACCACGTTTCTTCAAAGTTTTTTAGCCCTCGTTTCTGGATTAACCGACGCCCAACGAGAAGAGTTGAAAGTGTCTTTTAAACATGATACGGTAATTAATTCACGTATTTTTTTTTTTTTATTTTTTAATTTTTTGATTTTAGGATATGCCATCGTTTATTCAAAATTTGCAAAGATTTATTAATGATGTCTGTTGTTATCGAATGTGTAGTGTGTCCTCGAACAGTGTTGTGTCATAATTTGCACAATCTTATTTAAACTTTATTTTGTATATTCTAAAAATAAACTTTTGGAAATTTAAATATATTATATAAAATTTTTGATATAAAAGAATGTCCAACATACTATATTTTCACCTTTTTTTGGCACAAAATTAAGTTTTAATCGATATATAAGCTACGAATTTGACAGGATCTTTTTGGCGTAAAATTAAATTTTAAATTTACACAACGAATTTGACAGTTTTTAACCTAAAAAGTCTAATCGACAGGTTTACCACCTACGTGTTGCCAACATAACTTTCAACGTTAATTAAAGTGTTAAAAATAAGTGGTGTTTTGAAAGTGGGGAAGATAAAAAGATTAGGAATCGAGTATTAACGAATGTATCAACCCCACGAATACATTAAACTCGCGATATATTCGATCGCTAACTCAAGGTCATCACACATAAAGCGTCGTTGTCATCCGGTGTGGGATTGAGATGATTTTGGGTTAACCTCGTTCGGTTTTACGCAATTTGATAATCACGGGATTAGTTAATCGATGATTATCAAACCGTTTGGTTCGATTTTGTATAAATAGAACAATATATTCGATTAACTAACATGTTGTTAACCTATATGTGTCAATTGTGCATTGGGTTGCTAATTTAATTTATTTTTGGTTGGTAATGGAGATGTTTAACAGATCGTAGTGTTTTCAGAGAAACAGGTAAGTTAATTTTTTTGCCGCTAATTGTTGTTTTATTAATTAGTTAATCGATATTAACACCAAAAACATTTTACAACAATTTCATAAAAAAAATAAACTCATTAATGTGAGCGTTAATTTAACTTGGATATAAAATCAACAATTTTATTTTAGTTCCACCCCCCACTCAGAGATGGCTCTCTTATGATTTTTAAAAATTTTTTAGGTTAATATGAAAGGCAAAAGATGCCCAAATTTTACAAATGCGGAAAAAGCCGCGCTTATAGAAATAACTGGGAGATATAAAGCTATAATTGATAATAAAATGAACGATACCACATCGCTTCAAAGAAAATCGGAAGCATGGATAAATATCACAAGAGATTTTCAAGCTGAGAGTGGACCCCGCGACATGACTAGTTTAAGACACCTTTATTGCAACATCAAGCGAAACGCTAAAAAAGAACTTGCCGAGAAACAGCCATTAGCTATAAGAACTGATTTATTCCCAACGTTATTTAAAATAGAAAATGAAAGTGATGAAAGTAACGAAAGTGAGATTAAACGGCCCCGAAATAGGAGTAGTAAATTTACACAAGAAGAAGAATTAAATTTAGCTTTAGAGATAGAAAAATTTAAAGATATAATCGAGTGCAAAATGACCGACAAAATCACAAACGCGGAAAAGGTTTAATTTCGAAACATATTAAGAATTTTAAATCATTTTTAACATTTTAGAACGAAGCTTGGATTAAAATCGAATCCGCGTTTAATACAAAGAGTAAGACTCAACGGACGATTCAACAATTAAAATTTAAATACGACCATTTCAAAATGAAAGCGAAAAAAACGTTTGCAGATTCATCATCGATTAATACAAATAAAGACCCGGTGATGGACGTGGTGTTACGAATAATCAATAAAAGTCACATCATTGATTTTGATACATCTCGAGATCCTTTAACGCTAAATGAATGTGTATCTGAAAATTCTGTTGAGAATTCAGTATGGGATGAGGAAGAATTAGATATAAAGGATACCGAGATAACTATAACGAATAATAATGGAACATCTGAGGTAATATCCACATAAATTATTTAATTATATATTAAAATTTTAATATCTTTTAGGATATAATTATCGAACCGGAAAAATTACAAAGATTGGTGGATAATAACGTTCAATTGGGTTCAATCATACCCGCAGAAAATAAGACACTTAAAAAGGTGATTTTATCACCCTATTTGTTTTTAAGATCTATTTATTTAAATAATTATTATAGAATTGGAGTACGTTGGAATACCGTAAACCAAAACCGCCGATTTCGAAAAAATTGCGTCACATAACTAGTCGCCAATCAATGATGGACGATTATTACAGGAAAAAAACCGAATTGATGTGTGAACAAATAAAGAAAACCGTCTTAGAACGAGAGGAAATATTAAGGAAAAGGAAAAGGGACGAAGAAGAACACGAAAAAAAGATGATAATATTAGATTTGGATATCAAGTTAAAACAAGAAATGTTATCGGAACAATAAATGTTTTGAAATTTAAATTATTAAAAAAACAATATATCTTTTTAATTAAAAATACAAATTAAATTTTGTTTTGAGGCTAACATTTTGACTTACAAGTAACACTAGGGAAGTCCCATTTCTCATCTCATTGGGGTATTAATCGGGATTTAATTTAGAAACACATGAAAATCGCATATAAAAGGATTATTGAAAGTCGAGTGTTTAGCGCAATCTTTAAATTCTTTGAGGGACAGCTACACTATTTTGCCAAACGGAGATTTATAAAGGAGACTCCTTTATTAATAGTTCTGCAAGAGGCTAATGGTAAATTTAGACCAATCGTTGAAAAAACTTTGTACAAAGCGGACAATATTGTCGTATTTGCAACAAAATCAGGCAAATTAACATCTGATCTTGCCATTAATTGGCTCAAACACGTTTTTTACCAAACCCCCGAGAAAACTCTGTTCTTTTGTTAGATTCTTGGACTGACCAGACTGAAAAAAAATTTGACAACAGTTTTTCTAGAAATCCGCCTTAAAATTATCCTCATTTATTTTATTTTTTTTTAAGTTTTCGCAATATTTAACAAGGGTGTACAATTTCTTTGTCCACCATTTTGAATTCTCGAAAACGGACATCATATTCGTCATCAGCGACCACAAAAACCCCTAGTGACATGATTTCGCAATAATCATAAAAATAATTCGTAAAATAATCGAATTTATCTTCAAAATCGGAAGGAATATGACGATTTGCCATACTATGGCATTAATCCTTGGGCCTCGGCCGCAAGCAACCTCAGTTTAACAAGGAAAAGTCACAGATTTTACGTCCTAACTTCAACTGAGGTCGCTTGCAATATATTAACTAGTTTTGAGTTGGTCTGGTAGTAATCCTTGAGCCTCGGCCGCAAGCAACCTCAGCTTAATAAGAAAAAGTGACGGATTTTACGTCTTAACTTTAGCCGAGGTAGCTTGCAATGTATTAACTAGTTTTGGGTTGCTATGGTATTAATCCTTGAGCCTCGCCCGCAAGCGACCTCGGCTTAATAAGGAAAAAATGATAAATTAAACCTTAACTTTAGCCTCGGCCGCAAGCGACCTCGGCTGAATAAAGCAAAGTAACAGATTCTATGCCTTAATTTTAACCCAGGTCGCTTGTGGCCGAGGCGTTGCAATCTATTGACTAATTTTAGGTTGCTATGGTATTAATCCTTAAGCCTCGCCCGCAAGCGACCTCGGCTTAATAAGGAAAAAATGATTAATTCTATGCCTTAACTTTAGCCTCGGCCGCAAGCGACCTCGGCTTAATAAGATAAAATCGTTGCGATGAATTAACGTTTGAACGAACATAATGAAAAGTCGCAAAAATTTAAAAAAAATGGTTTGAAATAGCACAAAACTAAATAGAATCACATTCAAATCAAGCGACTAATTGGTGGACCATCAAAATTGTCGAGTTTTAAAAGGTAGAGTGAGTTCCACAAAATTGAGGTGGAGTTGTGTTGGATGCGCTGAAAAATACGAAAAAAATATTAGAATCTGGTATATGAGATATAGGATGGTAGAGTTAGGGTTACAAAAAGATTTAGATGAATTATTTTTGGGACATGTTCTTATTTTTGGTTTATATCTACAATTTCCTTTTCACTTCTTCCTGGAGTTACTAATATCTTTAAATTCTAGCTATAGAGAGAGCGAGAGAACGAAAGGAACACAAGGGAGTCTCAAAAAACAACAAAAACATAGTAATTGTGATACTAGAAAACGTGCTAAATGTGAAAATGAAAAAATGAAACGAATTGATACCACTTTTCGATATAATAGACGAGATGAAAGCAAATATTGCATTTTCGATAAACATTTTTTGGCTATTTAATAGACGTTTTTTGGAAGTTTACTCTTGGCAAATACGAAAAAGAGTGGATCAATTTATTATTTGTTTGCCATTAGTTGTAAAAATTCTACACGTGTAGGAATTTATTGAAAAAAATCGCCAATAAACGTGTAACCATTTTCAAGTAGGAAGTGATGTGATAAAATTGATAATTAAATAAAAAAAAATTTAAATCAATCAAAATTATTTGCTAATTGTGTGCCTAGCCTAAAATTAAGCGTTTTATTAAAATTTTCATATTTAGAAAGCGATTTAAATGAATTTGTCACTTAATTGTCAAATATCAATTTGACATTTTGAATCAGTTTAAAACTTAATCAATCTTTTTTGAGTTTATAACTCAATTTTACATTAAAAATCATCTTTTTATTTGGAAATAATCATTAATTTATGTATTTTTCCTTTTTAGAGTAGTAAATAATCATTTTTATAACAGCGATTTTAACTTGATTCCTTAAACAAAAAAATCCTAATTAATTTCTTATTATGTCAGAAAAAGATCTTACTTATTATCTTACACAATTTTTATAAAAGCTTATTTGCTTTTTTTATTTATTTTTGATAACAACTAAAAGCGAAATTATCTTTGAAATTATGCATAATGACGCGAAGAACTGTCATTTACGCTTAGTTTTAATCAATACCAACCCTAAATAAACAAAATTACCACCTAATTAATTTAATGATTTATAAGATAATAAATATTCGCAAACACCATCAGCTATATATAATTAATTATTAATTCTGTTATTGATTGTAATTTATTGTGTTAAAAACACGTATAAATGAATAATTAAGTTTGTATTTCCATTGATAGAGTGCGCTAGTTGTATATTTCTAAATTTTTGACGTTTGACATAATTAAATTTGACATTTCCACCTTTGACAACTTAACTGTCAAATGATAAAACTTCAATTTTGATTATTTAAATAATTTATATATTAATTTTTCGATTTTTTAAAAATCGTTTTCTATTTAAGATCGTGTTTCTAACGCAAACTCGGTAAACCAATCGACTTCAACAACGAAGTTGAAGCGGCAACGCGATCGTGACCCAATTGCGGTTTTTTGAACCTTTCAAAAGCGGCGTTTTAATACCCGATTGTTTTTCAATTTCAAAAAAATTAATCTTATATTTATATAAAAACAATAAAATGGATCTAAACAAGATTAATTAATAACCTATTTAGGTTATAAAATAGAAATGAAAGTGAATTTGAAGTGATTTGTGTGAAGGGATTAAAAGGAGAAGAGGGGAGTTGGTGGCATGGTAACAGAGCACTCGGTTGCCGAGGTCCTGCTGCTTGTTGGGGTTGGTTAGGGATTTTCGCAAGGACAAGGACAAAGGTTCTGCGCATGTTTGTGGATGTGAATCGATTTCCCACGAATGGGTATTTTCCATTCAGTGCTATGCATCAAAATGAATCAAAACTCTCAATGAAAGAAATTTAATATAAAATACCTGGTTTCTTGAATTTGTTTATTGGGTTGAGGCGCCACACCAGTTACGGAGAAAGTTGATTTTCTACCGGCGTTGTCTCTGTTTTCTGACCTCGGAGATTTAATTATTTTTAAATCTGGCGGAGGAGCGACGGCATCAAGCGCCGGGAGTGGCTCCTTTGCCCCCGGGGCGTAGAAGAAACGAGTTATAAAGTAGAAACGTTTTGTACGGCACGTATCACAGGTGTCCATCTAGAACCTTATCTTTTAAGATCTCCCATTTCTATAAAAAAAATAATTTTTATTAATTTTTATTTCGTTGCAAGTCATTGAGGAGGTTTAAAAGCCACAAAACGATTAAATCGGTGTTTATCGGTGCTGAAAAGGTTTTTTAGATTATCGTTGACTTCCGGTCGGTCGCTTTTTCACTTTTTATAACACATTACCGGAGGGTTTCCTGTCGCGAATTGGTTTTGCGGTTTTAACGTTGTAATTGTGCTCACAAGAGAAAATAAAAAGAAACTAATTCAAAATCATTCAGATAAGAAGGACTAATTTCAATCTGACCCAATTCTTTTTCGATCTATTTATTTAAACTTATATAACAGGTTACTCCGGAAATCATTAACGATGCAAATCGGCCCCCTTTTTTTCGCAATCGACACGATGTAGTTGGTATCCTGTTTCCGGCGCAATTTCAATTAAAAAAACAAAACCCACCCTGAATACATTTACTTTCGATCTAACCATAACCTAACATAAAGAAATAAATTTAAATAGTTCCCTTTTACACTAATCTCTAATAAAAACGAACAGATTTAGGGCCACGTTTAAAAGTGTAGTATATTGAGGGGGAGTGTGCTCGTAAAAATTATTTTTAAACATTAAATCGAAGTTTAAAGCGTTGTTTTCTTGATGTTGTCTTCTTGTTATTATGCAAAAGATGCGAGTTGAGTGCAAACGGGCACTTTTTAAAAATTGCAGTCACGATATCGCGTTAGAAGCAGCGTTACCCGAACTAAAACGGCGAGGTGTATGCTGTCGTAACGTTTTAAAATCGTATACGCATCGAATGCGAATAAACAACAAAGTCATCTTAAGAATATTAATAAAATACATACATATAAATAAAAATCACATTTTAAACGTCAAATTTTGTATTTTTAGGTTAGTTTAGTTGTCAAATCACATTTTAAACGTCAAATTTAAAACGTCAATTTAGAACGTTTCCATTGAACGTCAAATTTTGTATTTTTAGGTTAGTTTAGTTGTCAAACAAAGAAAAATGTTGAGTTTTTCGTTTCAGTTCAGTTTTAACTACGTAAACGTTTACTATAAACACAATCATCTATTTATTTTTTATTTACACGTAATGGATCGCTTCCTGTTTAACGCCGTACATTGTTCTAAATCCGTCGCATACACTTTAAACCGGGATCGCCCTCAAAAATAAACGTCCGTTTTCGATCGATTCATCTCGGATATGATTTCCTCTTTTTAAAGCGGCAACAAAAAAAAATTTCGTTTTTCGATTTTTCTATTTCGAGATAACGAATGGGATTTATGTTTCCTGAAGGATCTGGTTGAGAATCAAAAGACCAACCGGTTGACGACGACAACGTTGTCGTCGACGAGAAAACGGCCCCGCGAACGCGAACGCACGGTTGCATAAGAGATTTTTGCCCGAGAGTTGGAGGTAAACGACCGTGGGGCCCCCGTGTTCTATGTTAATGAAACGAACTGCCGTCTATTATGTCCTCTTGTCCCATAATGACTGATTTAATACACTTTGTAAGGGGGGATGAACCGATTAAATGATAATTACCTTAAAGTCACCAAGAAAGAAATTAACCTCTTCAAACTTCAAACGTCATTTTTTTTTGACATTTGATCTAATTATTTTAGGTTATAAATTAAATTCATCATCATCACTCAGCCCTCTGTGTTCACTGCTGGACATCCCTATTATTATTATTATTTCCCTATTTTAGTCATAAATTCTCCTTAATTTATTATAAATATATGAATTAATTTATGATACGTTTATAAGTAGTTTAGCGCCATCTATTAACAAAAACAAAATCAAATAAAAACGCGGTAATTTCAAATTGTTTGATTAATCATAAAAGTTATTCATAGAAATTTCAACTCAGCTCTTTTTTTATAATGAGTACACATAAACAAATTATTTTAATACATGCTGATCGTTGTAAAAACATACATAAACATATTTTTTGATTACTTTTTTGCTGTGAAAATAATACGAGGGTTGGGATTTTTTTTTTGAAGGGGATGTTTGAATCAGGCGAGAGGGTGAATTTCGTAACCATAGAGACCGGAGAGAACGGAAGGAGCACAAGGTGAGAGTCCCCAATAATAATGTATTTCAAGAACAAAGAAACATTGAAACTGGGACGTTTGAAAACGTGCTGGATGTGCAAATATCAATCTCGGTATAAACAAGGAAAGAAGGAAACGGAATCGAAAGGAAAAGACGACACTTTTCGATATAAAAGGCGAGATCAAAGCAAATAAACATGTTCGATAAACATTTTTTTGGGGATTTAATAGAGAGGACCCACGTTTTTCGGGAGTTTGCTCTTGGCAAATACGAAAAAGAGTGGATCAATTTATTGTTTGTTTGCTATTTGTTGCAAAAATTTTACACGTGTAGGAGTTTGTTGAAAAAATTGGCAATAAACGCAACCTATTTAAGTATTTAGTAGGAAGTGATTTGATAAGAAATTGATTAAATATAAACAAATTAATAATTACGCCAACTTCACCCTAAACATATTAGTATCAAACGTCAAATCATTTTTAACTGTCAAATGTCAAATTATTTTTAACTGTCAAATGTCAAATTATTTTTAACTGTCAAACATCAAAAAACGATTATTGAAAAAGAAAAAATAAAAATCCAGCAACAAAAATACATAAAGGTAAATCATTCAAGGTTACCGCTTATCTAAATCTAATTTTTTGTTCCTCTTTTGATATCAAAGCTGTACCGAGAGCTCTGTTTACACTCTGATAAGAAGCGAGCGAACGTAGACAACGAGTCTATCGTATCGTTTTTATATTATATTATACACCAGGAATTATTATTTCAAATTATAATACAAATTCGTTTAAAAAACGCGATTTAAATCGATCGTTTAGCTGCTACCTTTTCGTCCCTATAAGCTCTCTGTATATAGGCGAGTGGAACTTTCCTACAACGACCACGACGACGAAGCAAGAAGTGTTGATAAATAACCTTGACCCAAGCGAAACCAAAAACAAGTTTTTTTCACTACGAAGAGAAAAAAAATTAATAAATAAATAGGTAACCCGTATAAAACAAATCTACAATTTTTATTTTGATAAAACTTAAACAATACCAGAGAATCCCATTAAGTACTCTTTGTTCCATTCTTGTTAAAAGCGGCTAAAACACCGCATTGCACTTGAAGGTGTATGCAAATTTTAAGATTTCACTTAAAGAATAACGTTAACACCCAACTAAATGTTATTTCTTATTTATTTATTTCTTTTTTTTTTGTAGGGAAAGGAAGAGTAAACAAAACGGGCCTAAAGCACCTAAAGTTTGTTTTCATTTGCGCTTTTGAGGCGTGGATTTGAACGTTTCCATCGGAGTTAAAATAATTTAGATGCTACGAACAGTTTTAAATTGCTTTTAGGAAAAGTTTCGAAAATATAAATTAAAACTTTCAACATTTTTACAGTGTCATACACAAGAAAGTTGTATGTTGTAGAGATGCTAATTTACTCTTCTGAAATGGTCTACATCACTATATCTCATTTATTAACGTTTGTTATTCTGGACAAAATTGCCCCTAAGTGACCTCGGCTAACTTCGGAGTGAAGAATCTATCTCGTTTGAAGATAGATTCATAACTATTAACAATAACTGTTAACAACCAAAAACTGCAAAATTGCAACCTCCTGGCTGCAAAAGATGTTTGCTAATCTTGAATTACTTACTGACGCACCTAAGAGCTATAGAACATACCCAATCATTAATGTTATCTATTCTGCAATGTTCTCACTTCTTTCTGTATCCATCAATGTTTTCTTGGGATATAACTAATCAAAATAGGAAAATGGAGAAAGAATTTGATATAACCTTAATAATAAATGGAATATATCCTGGATGTATAACCAATATGGAGAAGATAGTTTAGCTAGACGTTTTCTAGATTTTTCTGGGTTTTAATTCCAAATATTGTGGCAGTTTTTGGAATATACATTTTGTCCAACTGTAGTTAACACAGCGCCTTAATGGGGAATCTTTAACGAGACCATACAGGCAATACAATAAATATAAATATTAATACAACGCATATTTTGCTTACTAATAAAGCCATTAAGCCAACAATGAGGTTCATCGCACAGGATGTATGTAAATTCAGGATTTTCTTCAAACTTTAGCAGAGCTTCATCTGAGAAGTTGGAGTGTAGTATTCTGCAACCAGTAAGTTATTTTTTAAATGTAATATTTAGTCTTGTGCAAGCAGTAAGTATCCTTCAAGTACTTAGTAGTTGTTTAGTACCAATGTGGAATCTTCTCCAAACACTTAGTAGTCTTTTGGCAGCAGTATGTAGCGTTCTAGAAGCAGTAAGTACTTTTTGAGAAGAATTATTTTGACATTTCAAGTATGCAGTGGTTTTTTCAGCAATATCTAGCATTTTGGAGGTAATAGATAACTTTTGGAAACAGTATTTTTTTTATCGACGCAATTAGTAGTCTTTTGCCAGCAGTATTTAGTCTTCTGGAAGCAGTAAGTAGTCTTTGGGAAGTATTATCTAGCTTTTCCAAGTAGATAGTAATGACACATCTGCCGGTTATGTAAGATCAATTTAAATAAGTCTTGGATTATGCATAAAACTTACTTTTACATTGTTGATAGAATCATATTAGACGATGAAAATAAAATTCTCGTGTAGAGGCCGATTCTGGCAGAAAATTCGTTTAGTTTTTGAGGAATATAATGGTTTTTGAGGCAACCCGAGATTCTGTGAACTTTCTATCTTTTAATGCAATAACAATATGGAATATAGTGATATCTTATGCTAACTAGCGTTACGTATCACTGTCACTAGAATTAACACTAGACCTAGAATTAGAAACATTCGGATTTAGCCGCAAGTCTCTCAAGACGGCTAAACCCGAATGATTCTAGTTTTAGGTCTGGTGTTAGTTGTAGTGAAAATTAATATCTTTTCCTTTTTTATTTCAGAAAGAAAAACATCTCATCGATTTCTATTAATAAAATGGATAAGTGGAAAACATCATCTGTTACATATCTTCGTGACAACAAGACCAGCTGTTTTCCGTCTAAATGTAAGTACTTAAATCTTTAGAAATATAACAAAAACCAGAACTCTCTTAATCTTTGAATGTTTATTCGATATCCTTATTAATTAGTTAAGTATCAAATGAAAAGTAACAAACAAAAAGTGTTAAACTAAAAGAAATTTATTAAAATTTCCATTTTTAATATGTATATTAAATTTTTTTTTGTGTAAAGATCTTAACTCCATCCAAACAAAGAACCGGCTGTCCACGGCTTAGAGATCACGTATGCCACGACTTTCGGGTTAACGTCGGTTAAGATCGTATCGAATCGGTTCGTTGGAGGGGGTCGGAGTCTATATAACCCTGAAGATGGTCTTTGTAGCGTCAGTTCACAGTCAGATTACTAGTTTTAAAGAGAAACTTTTACAACTTATTTTTTATTTTTTTTATTAACAAAAAGAAGTTAACCGGTCCATAAAAAAAGCCGGTTGTGATAAAATAGTGAAAAATAAGAAAGAAAATCGATAGAAATGGAAGTGCTCCCCATTAATAATAACTCCGTTGAGTTCAAAAATAAAAATGGTAAGTTAAAAATAATTAAATAAAAAAAATTTGATTCAGAACTAATTTAAATTGTTTTTAATAGATGTTAATTATAACTTCTATGAAGTTAGCGAAGATTTAGAAGACTCATCGACGATTTCCGCATTATCCGATCGGTTGGGCGAAGAATTAAGGGCAGCGAAAGGGACGCATTTATCGTGCGGGGAAGTTTTGTTACCTTGCGATTTACTTCCACGCATCGCTCGTGATATCTTAGAAAAAGCAGATAGCGAACCTTACGGTCTTCGAGGGTGCACCTTGTATTTGAGTTTCGAGGGGGCCGAAGAATGCCGGAAATTATGCACGATTAAATGCGACCCGACGACGACGTCAACATTCGAGGTTTTTCTCACTTTGAAGCAATCGACCACCGGTTGGAACTTTTTACCGCAGTTTATTAAGAAAATAACTCGTGGTGGCACAATTATGATTAGTCCAAATTACGATTTGACTAAGAAGAAATTGTACCGGTCGTTTTCTGAGTAAAAAGAGGATGAGTACTTTAATTTTAAGGATATAATGGATTTTTTTAATGAGAAAAGCGAAGCGTGATTTAGATTTTAGAGAGAAAAATCGTAATTAATAATCGTATTTAAGAAAAAAAATCTTTTTTCTTTCTTTTTGATAGTTGGTAACTTTACAAATATTTTTTCAGTATTTTTCACTTATTTTTATTTGTTTCTAATCTAGTTTGTAACAAATAGATCTCGTTTTTTTAACTTTTATCTTTTAAAAGAGGCTACTAATGTAACTTTTTTATTAATTCTACGTGTTATTTGTTTAAATTTTTTTTAATATTAAGGATTTTTATAAAATCCGTGATACTCCCAGTGATATATACGAATATATTATAATAATATGCATATATCAGCACATATTTACGTATTATATAAAAAAATTATATTATATTAATAAGAAGAATACGGTATAATGAGAAAAATTGAAAATATTTTTTAAAAAAACGTGGTACCTGCTGTACTTATACGGAGAAAAGTTGCAAAAAAAATTGATTGTGTAATAATTAAAAAGATTTCTCCATATTTGTAATAATAATAATTAATAATAATCGTCTCTTTCTTTCAATTTATTGTGATATAACCGTTTTAAGATACAATAATTATTTTTTTTCAAATTAATTTCATCAACAATTTTATATCATAACAAAAAGTAACATTTTTTTTCATATATAAATACTTGTAACGGTTAAAAATAACGTTTGTGATAGAACAGGTCCGGAAATCGCGGACGTCTCAAGCTTTTTTTATGTACAAAATGTGAAATATATCGATGTTTTTTTTTTAATTAAACTATTTCTTTCATTTTATTCCCCCTAAAACTTCCTTTATAAATTAATATAAAATTGGGTTAAAAAAAATATAGGCGTGGGTTGCCAAAAATTCACTCCAAAAATAACTATTTAAATGTTTTTGAAGCCGGCCGGCGAAATGTGTTTACACTTTTTTTTTGCGAGGCAAAGAATTTTATTTTTTTCCTTCCCCTCCTCTCGGAATTATGTAATCACTTCCAATCGTTTTTATCGTACAATATACGGCGATAAACCGCGCAAACGAATCGATTATTAATAAAAAAAAAGCAGATGTCTGGTTTAGACATCGAGATAGATCGATATTTATTTTTGTTGTTGATAAGAAATCTTACTCGAAAGTTATTTCCTTGATTTTTTTAATTCATCAAGAATTATTTCACTTAAACAGTTTCTATTTTTTGTTTTAATCTTTGAATCTAGAAAGATTTTTCTTCCGTTATGCAGAAATCTTTAAATATTAGTTGTTATGTATATGTTGTTTTAACGTTATCTATGTTTATCTTATGAAGGTTATTTTAAGTTGATGTTACAACGTCAACTAAGTAATTCTTTCGGAATTTAACTGCGCTTATTCAACATTCAATACTTATTATACTCTATTTTTTAATTCGGAGGAGTGTTTTCAAATTGAAGTGGTCAGTTTTAAGCAAAAATTATAATAGGAAAATTCGAGATATTGCCGGCCTCCTAGAAACATTCCTACACTCCAATGATTCTAGTTCTAGGTCTTGTGTTAGTTCTAGTTTTAGTTCATTAAAGATGATTTTGGTGTTTTTTAACAGTTTCAACTTTAATTTTATTATTATATTCGTAATCTTTATTAAATAACCTTTACAATGAGTCCAAACATGACACATTTATCTCCAAAAGCAAAAAAGTTAGAATAAAAAATATTAAACCTGAAGTTAGCAACAATGAAGTTAGCAACATAATTTTTAAATATTAATACCAACCTTAATTTTTGAGATTTTTTCTAGTATTTTCGTTTTTTATAAAAATTATGTTTATTTTAAAACATTTCTAATAAAATTACGAATATGTCAAAATTGACGTTGACATTTCAAATCGAAAATTNATATTGCCGGCCTCTAGGTCTTGTGTTAGTTCTAGTTTTAGTTCATTAAAGATGATTTTGGTGTTTTTTAACAGTTTCAACTTTAATTTTATTATTATATTCGTAATCTTTATTAAATAACCTTTACAATGAGTCCAAACATGACACATTTATCTCGAAAAGCAAAAAAGTTAGAATAAAAAATATTAAACCTGAAGTTAGCAACATAATTTTTAAATATTAATACCAACCTTAATTTTTGAGATTTTTTCTTGTATTTTCGTTTTTTATAAAAAATTATGTTTATTTTAAAACATTTTTAATAAAATTACGAATATGTCAAAATTGACGTTGACATTTCAAACCGGAAATTGACCATAACTTCATTAATATTGAAATGAAATATATCGTGTTGGTACTCATTTCAAAGGATTCTTCATAACGATTACAAATACGTCAAAATTAAGGTTGGCATTTCAAACCAAAGGTAGACAACTTCATGGTGTTAATGTCAACTTTAATTTTGATGTATTCGCAATCTTAATTAAATAACCTTTAAAATGAACCCAAACATGACGTATTTATCTTGAAAAACAAAAAAGTTAGAACAAAAAAGATTAAACCTGAAGTTGGCAACAATAAAGTTAGCAACATAATTTTTAAATATTAATACCAACCTTAATTTTTGAGATTTTTTCTGGTATTTTCGTTTTTTATAAAAAATTATGTTTATTTTAAGACATTTTGATAAAATTACGAATATGTCAAAATTGACGTTGACATATCAAACCGGAAATTGACCATAACTTCATTAATATTGAAATGAAATATATCGTGTTGGTACTCATTTCAAAGGATTCTTAATAACGATTACAAATACGTCAAAATTGAGATTGACATTTCAAACCAAAGGTTGACAACTTCATGGTGTTAATGTCAACTTTAATTTTGATGTATTCGTAATCCTTATTAAATAACCGTTAAAATGAACCCAAACGCATTTATCTCGAAAAACAAAAAAGGTAGAATAAAAAATATTAAACCTGAAATTGGCAACATAACTTTTAAATATTAATACCAACCTTAATTTTTGAGATTTTTTCTTGTATTTTCGTTTTTTATAAAAAATTATGTTTATTTTAAAACATTTTAATAAAATTACGAATATGTCAAAATTGACGTTGACATTTCAAATCGAAAATTGACCATAACTTCATTAATATTGAAATGAAATATATCGTGTTGGTACTCATTTCAAAGGATTCTTCATGACGATTACAAATACGTCAAAATTAAGGTTGGCATTTCAAACCAAAGGTAGACAACTTCATGGTGTTAATGTCAACTTTAATTTTGATGTATTCGCAATCTTTATTAAATAATCTTTAAAATGAACCCAAACATGACACATTTATCTCGAAAAACAAAAAAGTTTGAATAAAAAATATTAAACCTGAAGTTGGCAACAATAACATAATTTTTAAATATTAATACCAACCTTAGTTTTTGAAATTTTTCTTGTATTTTCATTTTTTACGAAAAATTATGTTTATTTTAAGATATTTGATAAAATTACGAAAATGTCAAAATTGACATTGACATCTCAAACCGGAAATTGACCATAACTTCATTAATATTGAAATGAAATATATCGTGTTGGTACTCATTCCAAAGGATTCTTCATGACGATTACAAATACGTCAAAATTGAGGTTGACATTTCAAACCAAAGGTAGATAACTTCATGGTGTAAAAATAGAACTAACACTAGAACTAGAATCATTCGGGTTTAGCCGTCTTTAGAGACGTGCGGCTAAACCCGAACGATTCTAATTCTAGGTCTTATGTTAGTTGTAGTGATAGTGCTAAGGTAAAACTAGAACTAACACTAGACTATATTGATATGTTACATTTTATGAGGATTATAAAGTTCTCTCTGGTATTCATTTAATTTTACTTTTACTTCTCAGAATTAAAAAATCAGTGTTGACTTTTTAAATTGTGATTTAAATCGCGCATAGTTGGTAATGTGTTAATAAAATGTTTAAAAATTGACAAAAATAATAAATAAGAAACACTTACTGCGGGTTGAGATGTAATGGAGAATCATGAGTTGTTCTTAAAAATAGCTACAACCTGGCTATGAACTTGTCATAACGTGTTCAAGCACGAAAACCTAAAAAAGAAGAAAATCAGATTGTATAAAATAATCAAAAAAGAAATATTTAGATAATATAGAAAGAAACACAAAGCGTATACTACAATATGATGATCAATTTAAGATTGATTAATGTTATAATCACTTAATTAGTCATAAGATGTACAGGGTGGCCAAATAAGCGTGCAAAGAGTAGAGACTTGCGGTAAAAAATTTAATAACCAAAGTTTTTTTATGTGCCTTAGTTTAGAAAATCCTTCACACTTTTCAGAGCATTCCTCATTCTATTGGTTTTTTTTGTCCATTTAGAAGTGAAAATAAACGTAATTTTAAACATAAAATGATTGCAAAATTAACTACTACTAATTGCCCTAAAGAAATGATCTCTCTTCTAAAAATTTGTTTAATGCCTCCTTAAATACTCAAATTCTATGAGCTATGTTCTATCCATTGCTGGAGCCTCTCTTGCGTGGAAAAAAGTGTTCCTTGTTTTGTCTGGTTGTAAGTTGAGTTTGATTCATCGCCACGAGGCGCCACATTATGATGATCAACTTGAAGTTGATAAAATATTGATTACTGGGCCTTGGCCGCACGCAACCTCGGTTTAATTAGTTAAAAGACGAAGTTTACAATTTGATAAAGCCGAGGCGCCATAATGGTGATCACTTTCAGGTTGATGCAATATTAATCATAGAACCTCGGCCGCAAACGACCACGGTTTAATACTAAATTTGAGAAACTTTTCTTTCAAATGATTGAAGACCTGCTCTCCTTTGAGCCCAATTTGTCTAATTTGACATGAAACGGAGGAAAAATGATTTTGATTTTAACCAATATGAGTGTTTTTCACATTTTCTTTCTCATAGGCACAAAAGCAGCAATATTTCGTGAACCCACTCTTGATCTAACATAGGAAATTTTTATCCTTGTAGTTAGAAGGTTTTGTTATTGCAGTCTTGATCCCAAGAGTTCAGCTTGTACTTTCGAAGGTTTTAGATTGCGAATCAAATCGTTCAGTTCCTCTTGATTGAAGAGCTGAAGCGAAGTGTCAGGAGATTGAGGGCAGTACTCTTCTACATGTTCTGATTCACTTGAAGTTGGGTTGGATTGGGTCAGGAACAGGCAACGCTTCAGTAATATTTGTGAGGCAGAAGTAACAGTCTGAAAAGTGGTCTTTACATCACACCATAGGAACACTTATTAAAGAAGCACGTTTTGTTTCTTCCTCTTCCATCTTCAGGGTGTTATCCGTGTTCAGTCTGCGATATTACTTCGTATTTATTCATTATGCATTAAATTCGTCTTGCTCATTATAGAACAAACTCAGTTGGTACAAATTCTTTAATTATTGTTGGAAAACTAAAGTTTGATGACTTGGTTTTAGATAAGATCATATTATTCAAAAAGTTACATGAAGGCAGAGTTCTTAATTAAGATTGAAAAGGTGGTTAGAAACTATTAGATCAAGTACTTAAACATTATTCTAGACGAGAAATTGATATTCTTAATGGATAATCAGTAAATAATACGTTTCGTAAAAAAAAATTTAACAAAACGAGAATTTTCACATCGTCGATAAGATTAAATAACAGCTTGTTTGTCAGAGTTGGAGGCGCATAATGAAGCCTGGCAATTTATCCAATTTACCCTCGACAATGAGTTTCAATTAAAATATCGTTTCTGTTTATAAACGAAACGAAGGCGAGAACACACGATTTTTACAAAGATAAATTTCCAAAAAAAAGGTTGTAATAAATTTTTTTCCTTGATTGTTTTCGTTTCTTCACCGCGGTGGTAATATTATAGAGAGAGAGAGTTATTTTCAGACAGTATTTTTCAGATGAGACACATGTTCTTCTTGTGGCCCCCACATGTGTTTTGACTTTAAACACCAAGGACATTTTATTTTTAAAAAGAAACAATTTTTCAATATTTTTGATTAAATAAATTGTTTTATTTAAAATTATGTTAAAGTCAGGTAAGAGTTGAAACCCCACCTGTTTTCTTTTTCTTTCTTTGTAAAAGGGACCTGTAAGGATCAACAAGGGGAAGAACTTGTCTTGGGGGATCCTTTTATAACCCAAAACCCTCCCCAATATTATTTTCTTTATATCCGTTTTCTTTATGTGTGTACAGGTGGAAAAAAAAAGAAAAAAATAGGCTATTTTGTTGGTGTTATTTTTAAATTTAACGGCCTTGAGTCAATTTTTGGGAGCACTTAATAAGTTTTAGTGATTATTTTTCTTGTCGCAAATCAAATAAGAAAAGTGGAAACTCGTGGCGATTTTTTTGCCAAAACTTATCTGATTATTTTGGCAAAACCAATAAATCGTGTTATCATTTTTAACGAAGAAATAAACGGTATATCGCCTTTAGTTTAAACTCGAAAGAGTAAAACGGGCGATTTCTTATGGTAGATATGTTAATACGATCTCTAGAAAGCCTGGTCACGTTCTGAGCGTTTCCCTCGCTCTTCGCCCCCCTCGCATCACCATCGAAGTTAAGGCACAAACACTCCCCGTTAATCCCCGGTGTCCCCCGTGAAATGAAAATGTATAGGCACACGTGCGCATATCCCTCTCCTTCTTCATCTTCTCCTCCTCCTACTTCACTTCAACTTCTTCTTCTTCTTCTTATTCTCTTTCTTCATCATCCTCCTTCAACTAACTTTTAAGCCCCTTTTTCTCTCGTTTGAGTTCTTTTTGGTTTCTGGATTTGAGAACGAAGCAACAAGCGGGAGCCGGTTACAAATAATAATAATAAAAAAAAGAAGAAGAAGAGGGAATGAAAAGGCGAAACGGTGTAATACAGTGGCAGTCGAACGAACGGGGAAACCGGTCGAGCCGGTTTTATAAAGAGAGGCAACAACAACGCCTCCGCCTATGTACCTTTACAGCGACTTGAGAAGAGAAGATCGAACAGCTCCGAGAAAATGAAGAAAAGAAGAATGAAACGAAGAGTTGGGTTGAATAGAAAGAGATGGGGGACGTCCCGTTTCGGGGGCCGGATAATAAATAAACTCTAATAGTTCCCTCTTTGTTTCGCCCACAAGAGAAAGCGGCGAAGATGTGCGTCTGTGTCAAAATTAATCGCCCGAGGAAAAATGGACACAACCTTTTTTTTCTTTTCTTACCTTTGTTCTTCTTTTTATAATTCAAGTTTCTTTAACTCATTTCTTAATTCCAATAAATTTTAAACATTCATCATCGAATCCATTTATCCACACTTGGAGTTTCGGGTTTTACAGAAATGGAATGAACAACTCGTTTCTTCGAGTAACCTCCATTCACGGCGTTCCATTCAATGCAGATGAATCTAAAAAAGAAAAAAATTAATACCATTTTTATCAGTTTCTTTCTTATTTTTGTGTTTTGATTTGTTTAATTAATTCATTTATGAAAAGCAGCGACACAATCTTTTTATAACAGGAAGTGATAGCGAAAACCGTAACAGGAAATTATCGTTTTAATAGAGTTATATTATCAAAAGATATATTTAGTTGATGTTTAAATTATGGAAAAGTTTTTAATTTCACAAAAATATTATCAAATATTTTATGAATCAATTAGCGCCGGTACGCTTATAACTTCAAAATCTATTTAGATTCATTATTATTTTTAGTAAACACATTGTTGAGTCTCGACGTCGACGATTTTTTAACCAAACAGAGAAATACACGTGAAACTTTAAGGTGTATCATGGTTTGGGTGCGTGATTTCATTAAAATTATTTATTTTAAATTGTTATTAAACAATAATATTTGTAAATANAGAAATACACGTGAAACTTTAAGGTGTATCATGGTTTGGATGCGTGATTTCATTCAAATTATTTATTTTAAATTGTTATTAAACAATAATATTTGTAAATACTAATGGCACAAATTAAACCTTTGATTTATCAAGAATGTCAAAATGTTGATGATGTGTCTAGAGTACCAAGATACAAAGTAGATGTACAATCAAAGTGTGGAATAGATAATGAGTTTCAAATACTGAAGAGTATGCATAACCAGAAATAGAAACTTGAAGACTAAAGCAGTAATTATATGACACCACGAAAAAGCTATTAAGGACTACAAAAATGTGAACCCTCACTCAATCTCCAAAACTATATGTACAAATCTATGCCTTAATTCTCTTCTTCTCTGCCTTCCTCAATCTGATAACAATACATTCCAACCCCGAGTATCTTAAGTAGTTCTTAACAATCACTCAATCTCTATTGCGCAATTGCAATATTAGTACTCTTATATCTCTATTGATATCAATTTTTGACAGAAGTAGTTGCTACCTTATGACCTTGCTCAATATTTTAGAGACTCNCCAACCCCGAGTATCTTAAGTAGTTCTTAACAATCACTCAATCTCTATTGCCCAATTGCAGTATTAGTACTCTTATATCTCTATTGATATCAATTTTTGACAGAAGTAGTTGCTACCTTATGACCTTGCTCAATATTTTAGAGACTCTACATATTTTAGATGCTCGAACATATTTTAGAAAATCGAATTCTTAAGATATATTTATGAAATATTCCATATTTATAGAGGAAAGTACGTTCTTTTCAATGAAGGAAACCGTTCTAGAAAATCTCAACAGGTTCTTGAGATATCAAGATTTGAAGAAACGACCATTTTTATAATTAATCTAATTTTTCGCAACCTTGTTTAAAAAATCGCGAAAAATCGTATTCTTAAGATATATTGATGAAATATTCCATATTTATAGAGGAAAGAACGTTCTTTTTAATGAAGGAAACCGTTCTGGAAAATCTCAACTGGTTCTTGAGATATCAACATTTGAAGAAACGACCATTTTTATAATTAATCTAATTTTTCGCAACCTTGTTTAAAAAATCGCGAAAAATCGTATTCTTAAGATACATTGATGAAATATAGCATATTTATAGAGGAAAGTGCGTTCATTTTCATGCAGGAAACCGTTCTTGAAAATCTTAACTGGTTCTTGAGATATCAAGTTTTGAAGAAACGACCATTTTTGTAATTAATCTAATTTTTCGCAAACTTGTTTAAAAAATCGCGAAAAATCGTATTCTTAAGATACATTGATGAAATATAGCATATTTATAGAGGAAAGTGCGTTCATTTTCATGCACGAAACTGTTCTTGAATATCTTAATTGGTTCTTGAGATATCAAGTTTTGAAAAATTTGATTTATCAAGAATGTCAAGATGTTGATGATGTGTCTAGAGTACCAAGATACAAAGTAGATGTACAATCAAAGTGTGGAATAGATAATGAGTTTCAAATACTGGAGAGTATGCATAACCAGAAATAGAAACTTGAAGACTAAAGCAGTAATTATATGACACCACGAAAAAGCTATTAAGGACTACAAAAATGTGAACCCTCACTCAATCTCCAAAACTATATGTACAAATCTATGCCTTAATTCTCTTCTTCTCTGCCTTCCTCAATCTGATAACAATACATTCCAACCCCGAGTATCTTAAGTAGTTCTTAACAATCACTCAATCTCTATTGCGCAATTGCAATATTAGTACTCTTATATCTCTATTGATATCAATTTTTGACAGAAGTAGTTGCTACCTTATGACCTTGCTCAATATTTTAGAGACTCCACATATTTTAGATGCTCCATCTTCCAACTCTACCATTCATCAAGAGAGGTATATTATTCGCATATTTAACAAGGTCCTCAACCTCGGTGTCAATACGAATCTCTAAGCTTGATTTCAACACTATCTTTTAAATAGTTTAGGAAGCCTGTATATTTTAATAGAGACTCAATCTTCTTTATATCGCCCTACAACTCAAATTATAAGATCCCTGCTGCTTTACCGCTCACAAGAAAATGCTCAACCAACCAGAAGTCCATGTCTTTCCCAACGCATCATTTTCCAGTATTAATCATATTCTCTGTAATTCTCATCATTCTTCCCGTTGGCACCTCTTTCATGAGTCTGATAATTGATAAACTCACACCTTCATATCTCAACAGCGTCCAGTTCTTTCGCAACTTTGACTTGCTCAATATGAAACCAAAGTCTAATTTTCTTCAATATGCTTCCCGATATTTTCTTCCTATTTTTGAACAATTACAAAAATTTTATGAGAAAGTAAAAATAAGAAAGTAATTTGAGAAATCTTTATAATTATATTAAAAGTTGATATTTTAATAAGACGTTGTAAGTTTAATTGATAAAAACAAAAAAGATAAAACGAAATTTGTAAGCGCTAACAGAAGGCCGTGATTCTGGCACGCTCAATAATAATTATACAGTAGCCATCGTCGTCTTCGTTAGATAATTTCCTATACAGTCCCGGCCATTAGCTTCTAGAACTGATAACGGCATATTAATCGAATAGAAAGTCGGTTGGGTTGTTGGTCGTTGTACGTGGTAGTGCTAGTTTAAACATTAATCGCGATTCATTTTTTATTCAAAAAGAAACGTTAACATTCTAACATTTTATTTTATTCACGTTGAATCAACCCCAACGTTAAACAGAAATAACGGGAAGCCCTACCTATGGGGGGGTTCAAAACACCCCTTTAATCTTTATTATGCAGAAACATTTCGTGACCAGCTGTATCGTTATTCTGATGGAATGAATTTTTTTTATTATTGAGAAGGGGTGAATGTTAAAATCTTTAAATCTTTAATGGTTGTATCTTTAAATTTAGGTTAATAAATAATGCGAGAAAAAAAAACATGAATAGAAGTGAATTGAAGGTCTCTCTCTACAAATACAAAACGAAATAATTGCTCTATACGTGATCGAGAACATGTACCGGTTGTTTACTCTCAGCGGCGTGGCCCCCGTTTAAAAAGTTAAATTTAGAAGCGTCACCATGGTCCGACCAGTTAAAGCGGAAAATAATAAAAAATAAGTTCTCCTTTAAGTTATAAAAAATGACAACTTAGAAATGATTGAGTTTAAAACGTTTTTAAGTAATACAGGAAATTTCGATGTAATGGATTTCGGAAATAACGTATAAAATACGATTAAGACATACTAATCAATTGTATTAATCAGTTAACAATGTTAGTATGTAGAACTAACACACTATGCCTAGAACTAGAATCATTTGGGTTTAGCCACACGTCTCTAAAGATGGCTAAACCGTCCTCAGACGCACGGCTAAACCCCAAACTTTCTAGTTCTAAGTCTAGTGTTAGTTCTAGTTTTAATTATTATTCAGTGTTAGATTGTTGAATATTTTCTACTGAACTAAAACAAAAACTAGATAGTAAGGTATTCTCAATTCAATTTTAATAATTTCTTTAATCTTAATTCGTTCTTGAGATATTTGTTAAAAAAAAAAAATTTTTTTTTTAATCGTAAAAAATCGAATTCTTAAGATATATTTATGAAATATTCTATATTTATAGAGGAAAGTACGTTCTTTTCAATGAAGGAAACCGTTCTTGAAAATCTCAATTGGTTCTTAAGATATCAAGTTTTGAAAAAGCGACTATTTTTGTGATTAACCTAATTTTTCGCAACCTTATTTAAAAAATCACGAAAAATCGAATTCTTAAGATATATTTATGAAATATTCCATATTTATAGAGGAAAGTACGTTCTTTTCAATGAAGGAAACCGTTCTTGAAAATCTCAATTGGTTCTTAAGATATCAAGTTTTGAAAAAGCGACTATTTTTGTGATTAACCTAATTTTTCGCAACCTTATTTAAAAAATCACGAAAAATCGAATTCTTAAGATATATTTATGAAATATTCCATATTTATAGAGGAAAGTACGTTCTTTTCAATGAAGGAAACCGTTCTTGAAAATCTCAATTGGTTCTTAAGATATCAAGTTTTGAAAAAGCGACTATTTTTGTGATTAACCTAATTTTTCGCAACCTTATTTAAAAAATCACGAAAAATCGAATTCTTAAGATATATTTATGAAATATTCCATATTTATAGAGGAAAGTACGTTCTTTTCAATGAAGGAAACCGTTCTTGAAAATCTCAATTGGTTCTTAAGATATCAAGTTTTGAAAAAGCGACTATTTTTGTGATTAGCCTAATTTTTCGCAACCTTGTTTAAAAAATCGCGAAAAATCGTATTCTTAAGATACATTGATGAAATATAGCATATTTATAGAGGAAAGTGCGTTCATTTTCATGCACGAAACCGTTCTTGAAAATCTTAATTCGTTCTTGAGATATCAAGTTTTGAAGAAACGGGAATTTTTGTGAATAATCGATTTTTTCGCAACCTTATTTAAAAAATCACGAAAAATCGTATTCTTAAGATACATTGATGAAATATAGCATATTTATAGAGGAAAGGACGTTCATTTTCATGCACGAAACTGTTCTTGAATATCTTAATTGGTTCTTGAGATATCAAGTTTTGAAAGATTGACTAATCTAATTTTTCTCAATTTCCTTTAAAAAAATCTAGAAAAATCGTATTTCTAAGATATATTGATAAAACATTCCATATTTATAGAGTAAAGTGTGTACTTTGTCATAAACAAAACCGAACTTGAAAATCTCTTTTCGTTTTTAAAATAAACATTTTTGAAAAAACCACATTTTTTATGACTAAAATGGTGAAAATCGAATTCTTAAGATATCTTTATGAAAACAACCTATATGTATAAAAAATAATATAAACCCCTACTTCAAAATCTCCAATTGTTTTTAAGACAAACATTTTTGAAAAATTGTTAAAAATAAGATATCTGCATGAAATTCAGGTTATATCATAAAGATTTTCGAAATGTTCAGCAAATTTTAACCTAATTTCATGTATCACACCCTATATCCATTATCAAATTCACTTTTAAACAGTTAGATGACATAATTAATTAGTGTTTTGTTTTCGGCCATCTTGGATTTTTTTTAATGTAAAAATGAAAATATCTTGGGAAGTTTTATAAATAAATAGGTCGAGTTTAGGCTCATTTTAAAGGATTTTTCATAAAGATTATTAATTTTTAATATTTTCTATGTTAATTGATTTCCGATTGAAGAATTCTTAAGATATATTAATGAATTTACTATTATAAGCAAAACCGTGTTTAATTTTATTAATTAATTAAATGTTACAAAATGTATAAAAAAAAATTAAAAAGTAAAGGAAAAACTGTGTTAACTCAGGTCGATGAACCTCCTCTATAAAACACATACAACACACCAACCAACTAACCGCCTCGTCGGAGGAGGAGAGTATATCAGACACTTGAGCGGTGTGTTACGAAATTTTACGACCAAACCCCGGATTATAAAAAAAAATCCTTTTTTTAGTTTTCCGCAAAAAGATAGAAAAACAAGTTGTGTTTAAAGCTATCATTTTTTGCAATTAAAAAAAATGATTATTTAACCATTCAATATGTTAATTGAGCATTGTGTTATTGAGCATAACTGCGCATAGAAACAGAAAAATATGGAAATTGTGTATGAGTCATTCATTAAAAAAAAGCAATCACCATTTATATCCGATAACATCGTGTAATAATAACAAAATGATTTCTAATGCGTGTTATTACGGTCGATTTTTATTATTTTCGATAACGTTTTTTTTTTGTTAGTTGTTAATCTGCGCCCTTGGGTAAATGGTGAATATGTAGAAAAGTGGTCCCAAGTTGGTGACATTGAAATCTAAACCGTTGCGGTCAGCACACGGCACAGCTGGTCTCGGCGGGCGTCAAGTTACAAGAACGGATACGGTATTTTGATTTGACCGCCGCTTCTCGTAATGCTGTGCCGCGATATACCATTTCCACCTGATAAATAGATAACTCAAATCCATCTTTAGTTACAAAAACTTTGTTTTACTTCATTTTTTCTGTAATTCAAGTCAGGGTTCTTACTTTTAATAGAAAAGATAGTCACAATGACATTTAAGTGTCACCAAAGTAAGTGTAACGAAGTTAATTTAGTGTTAATTCAGTGTTAACCAAGAGTTAATTCAGTGTTAACCAAGGGTTAACATTGTAATTTTTGTTTGGGGTTATCTTTATGAGTTCTTCTTTTATTTTATAATAAAGATGTGTTCTTTGATATTAATGTAACTCAAGGTAAAATCAACAAATATAAATCTAATTTTTTTCATTCCGCGAATATTGGCTTGTTTTCTCGGAAATGCTTGTCATTCGAAACGTTATCGTTACAAAATACGGGTGTGTTGTTTTTCGAAAACGTTCGATAATCGTTGTTTTTCCAATCGATTTTAATGCCGCCGCTCTTAAAATAGTCCTTAAGTTATCGTAAACATTATTTAATCATCAATAAATCACGTTTTTTACATAATAAATTAGTTTTAGCCTTGGAAAAAAAGAGCTCAATAAAAATATACAACAATCTAGCGCTGCTTAACAAATAAAACTAGACTAACACTAGCACTAGAACTAACACTAGACCTAGAACTAGAATCAGTCGGGTTTATCCGAAATCTTTACACAAAAAAATGTAATATTTATATTAAAAATTGAAATTTTAATAAATTTCTTTTAGTTTAACACTTTTTGTTTGTTACTTTTCATTTGATACGTAACTAATTAATAAGGATATCGAATAAACATTCAAAGATTAAGAGAGTTCTGGTTTTTGTAATATTTCTAAACATTTAAGTACTCACATTTAGACGGCAAACAGCTGCCGTTTTGTCATAAAGATATGTAACAGATGATGTTTTCCACTTATCCATTTTATTAATAGAAATCGATGAGATGTTTTTTTTCTGAAATAAAAAAGGAAAAGATATTAATTTTCACTACAAAACTAACACAAGACCTAAAACTAGAACCATTCGGGTTTAGCCGTCTTAAGAGACGTGCGGCTAAATCCGAATGTTTCTAGTTCTAAGTCTAGTGTTAGTTCTAGTATTACACTAGCACTATCACTAGAACTAACACGTATTAGAAATAGATATAGTATAGATTATATACGTATTAGAAAAATACGTATATATATTAGATTATATAGTAGAACTAGATATTGATGTGTATCACGAACAAAGATATCTTAGATGATATTGAGATATGATGGAGAAGATGTTGAGAGATTTCAGCGAGTGATGAGAAATGTTAGGAATTAAGATGAAAGATGTCAGAACTGAGGTTGGCGAATGTCGTAGACAACTTTTGGTTAGAACTAGGATAATGATATGTGAGGGATACTTTTACCACCATAGACGATATTAAGAAAGCTCAACGATTTTATTGGAAGATATCACGACGTTTTAAGCTATGATTTATTGAGAAATGTCAGGGACAATGTTCAAGTGATCAGAAAAGTGTAGAGAGACTTAGATTTAGTGATTAAGTGATATTAAGGATATATTAGAGATAGCAAGGATGATATTGATAGATGATGGATCCACTGACGATATTCATGAAGTCAATATCATCCAGGTTGCAATTCTTTCTTATTCGAAGTATACAGGGTGATTCTTTTAATTTGAAACAATCGAATATCCCAAAAACTTTATATTTTACATCAAAATTAAAGTTAATTTTTGACCTTAATGTAATTTCTAAGGTGGTATCAAAGTCAAGATCAAATTTTATATTTTGATTAAAAATTAACCTTGTAGTCGAATTTTTAAAAGTAAAAATAACATTTTTGTTGCAAACTAGGTTGAAATGTCAAATTAACATATTAAAGTCGAATTAAAAAATTATTGAAATTACATTTTTTGTTCAATTTAAACGAGATAAACACCTGACTATGCAAGCAAGACACGTACACGTACACATAGGCTGTAATTAAATCGACTTCGAACGTTTATATTACTATATTTCAATAATAAGTTGAGTTCTTGCGATGTAAATGACACAAGCTCTCCGTCGATTAAATGGGAATTAATTAACACAATTTTATTTATGCAAACGATAACGAAAACGTTAAGATTATTGCATCATTCTTTACAATAGTTTCTTGAATTATTAAATATTTATTTTAAAACGTTTAGTCTTAAAATGCGGTGAGAGTTAAGGTAACAAAGAGGAGTTTTATCGTTATAAAAAAAAATGTGAAAGAACTTTAGGTCGTGAAGGGCGCGCACGCGCATCGTTCGCTTCTTTGTTCGGGTTTCGACTTTCGGGACAAAGAAATTAGGGAACTCGGTCCCCATCGAATTATTAGGGACGTTTCCTTTGTCTTTCCCTTTCGTTTCCACCGGTTGGGTTTTTTCCTCTTACTTATATCCAACATCAAATAAAAAAGATTTAAAGAAAGAATCGTTTTGTTTTAAACATATTTTAAAATGAACATCATCGCAAAGGCATTTTCTAATCCTCTACGAACGCGATTTGTTGTTTTTGTTGCGATAAGAAAAAGCTTCGTACACTCGTTTATCTGTTGGTAAAAAAATAAGATTATTTAATATTGACTCTTTAAAATAATAAATTGGACTTCTTCGAAATTCGATGAGTTTTCGTAGAAATAGGAAAGTTTTTTTATGTTTGGAGAAATAAAGTTATAAAGATGGTTCAAGGTTAAAACTGTTGAGCTGCGCAAAACGTTTTCTGTTGGGTAAATATTTTTGTCGATGGTAGAAGGAACCCAAAAAAAAATCTGTTTTCGAATGGCGTCATCGTGCCCTGTTAATTTTTTGGTAACATTACATAACTAGCAATTCGGGCTCTTCTATATCAATCACTTTTTTTTTGTTTTTTTTTATTGACCTTTTCTGCCAAACAAAAAACTAGATTAATGATTCGTTATTTGTCAATAACTTAATTATTACAAAACGAGTGAAGAGAACAACAACAAAAATTTATGCACGAAACGAGTAGGTGTATAACAAAATAATACCGTTTATATTCACTTAACCTTGAAACAGTGACTCATATACTTTAAACAATAAAGTTGAATTAAAAAAAATGAATTATTCATGTAATTAGCTTTCATTTGTATCTTATGTATTAAAAAAAAGAGTTTTAGAGAATTTAACTTTTTTTTTCAAGGCTAAAACTAATTTAGATTAATACATTTATATTAATTATTATTAAAAAATAAAAATCGATCGAAAATATTAAAAATCTTTTAAAATGAGCCTAAACACGACCTATTTACCTACAAAACTTCCCAAGATATCTTTATTTTTATATTAAAAAAAAATCCAAGATGGCCGAAAACAAAACACTAATTAATTATGTCATCTAACTGTTTAAAAGTGAATTTGATGATGGATATAGGGTGTGATACATGAAATTAGGTTAAAATTTGCTGAACATTTTGAAAATCTTTATGATATAACCTAAATTTCATCCGGATATCTTATTTTTTTATATATAAAGGTTGTGTTCATAAAGATATCTTAAGTATTCAAAAATTTCATCTTTTTGAAAACTTGTTACCTCAAAATTTTTTATTTTATACCGGGAATTTCATATAACTCGCAATATATGAATGCAGTAAAGATGGCTAAACCCGAATGATTCTAGTTCTAGGTCTTGTGTTAGTTCTAGTATTACACTAACACTATCACTAAAACTAACACAAGACCTACAACTAGAATCATTCGGGTTTAGCCGTCTTGAGAGACGTGCGGCTAAATCCGAATGATTTTAGTTCTAGGTCTTAGGTTAGTTCTAATATTGCACTAACTCTAACACTATCACTACAACTAACTCAAGACCTAGAACTAGAATTATTTGGATTTAGCCGCACGTCTCTCAAGACGGCTAAACCCGAATGATTCTAGTTCTAAGTCTTGTGTTAGTTCTAGTGATAATTCTAGTTTTAGTTTAATAAAAATATGCAACATAGTGATATTTTATGTTAACTAGCGCTATCTACCACTGTCACTAGAAATTACAACACTCCCTCTTGTTTCTATGGAAATATATTTTTGTATATTGCATCTTAAGTGAAATTTACTGTATAATAAAAGATCTTTGACAGAATCTTGACTTTTATACCTTTTATGGTGTTAGTTCTCAAAAGATGATAAGGAAATGAAAATATAATATCGATTTTGCATTTATAGCAGTTTTTCTTCGTATGTAAATTTAAGAATAACACAATTAATTCCCTAACCTACACTAACAATGTCTTTTTTAAAATTAAATCTTTTTTTTAATTATTAATTAACACCAAGGTCTTAAACGGTGTTGTTGATATGTCGTTGTCTCCTTTCTCTCTCTTTTATAATTTTTTTCTCTCCTTATAGATGCCATTTGCATAATAATGGCTCATTGTTTAGTTTATACTCGAAATAAGCGAGCTTCGGCCGTCTCTTTTCTTCGATCGAGGAACGGTTTGCCGTCTTTTTCTAGACGATACCTTATAAAGAGTACGAGCAATAAAATTATAAATTCGTATATAAAACGTTGTTGCTATCTCACAAGAAAAACACTAAAATTTACTAAAAATAATTTAATAAACGTTTTTTTTCCTCTTTATTCCATAAAAGATAACGTTTTTGATTATTTAATCTCGAGGTCAGTTTATATTTTAGAACGATTGACGTATTTAAACACATAATTGTTTTCGTTTGGGTGATGAAAGTTATTTGTTTTAATTAATTATTATTTAATAAAAAAAAAGTAAAAAATGTTAAGTTGGATTGATCTTGAGGTAAATGGAAAGGTGTTTTGTTGTTGGTGTATAAGAAGTCTTTAGAACGGAGGTTAGAAATGCGCTCGGCTCAAACCATTCGATGGCCGGGCGATTTACGATTATTGTCGCTGAATGTATTAACATTTTGCGACCAGTTTTACATAATTTATTCCAACAACAACTCAACTACAGAAACAGAAACGAGCAACAAAAATAATTAATAAAATCATTCCAGAAAAACACACATTTTGAAGAGAAAATAGGGAATAAGGGCTTTTAACTTTTCGTCACGCCTAAACCGGAGGCACTAAAACTTAATGATCTCAACAACAACTCGCACCGAATCCTGGAGAAACCGGTTTCGAACAAAACAAAGATCATCATCAGCCAAAAAAAAAAAAATTAAAGAACCTCTAAAAAAGCATAAATGTTTCAGTTTTATGATGTAATTTAAGTTTTAAAGTATAAATAAAATCAAAAAAGAAAAAAATTAAATAAAACTAGAATATTTACAAAACTGATAACGAGAATTTTTTAAAAGAAAATCTACGATAACCTCTACGCGACCCAGAGAAGCTCGTTTAACTATTTGTGTATGCGATATCTACATATTATATATACGGTGAATATTCCGCATTTTTGTTCAATCTAACTATTTTTAAACATATTTTCTTAAATAACAAAGCAAAAGTAACATAAAAAAGACTTTGGACCCGAAAAAAAAAAGTTCTAATCGAATTATATAGTTATGTTACGTTTCGAATCCAGATCAATCCAGTTTTCGGAATAATTTAAAAGCAAACTAAGAGTATAAAAAGGTTTTATCACTTTAAACGATTGCAAAGTAAATTTATGAGAAATTTAAATATATACGAAGAAAATTCGATAAGTTATTGCATAATCTAAAAAAAAAATTTAAATACAAATATTCATAAAATAACATACGAAGCGGATAACTTACTTTAGATATCCAGTACAAGATGTGAAGGTAATAAGACAGGCAGAATTAGGCACGGACCACTAATTATTGATAACTGATACCAACTTGAAAGCACCTGAAAAAGAAACAATAACAATATAATATAAAAGACTAAAACTGGAAGAATTGGAAAATTAAAAAAGAAGAGAGGAGTATAAAGAAGACTGGAAGAACAAGAAGTAGAATCAGAATAACAGTGGAATCTCAACGACAGTTCTAGAATCATTTGGATTTAGCCGTCTTGAGAGACGCACGGCTAAACCCACATGTTTCTAGTTCTAGGTCCAGTGTTAGTTCTAATGATATGAAACTAGAACTAACACTAGACTAAGAACTAGAAACATTCGGGATTAGCCGTACGTCTCTTAAGACGGCCAAACTCGAATGATTCTAGTTCTAGGTCTTGTGTTAGTTCTAGTGATAGTGCAAAATTAGAACTAATATTAGTATAATATATTGCACCATAACATAATAGAAGGGTTGGAATGGAAAAGGGATTGAAAAAAGGTGACAGTTTAAGTCCGCTACTCTTTATAGCATACATGGACAGAATAATAAGACAACCTACGCAGTCGAGACTTGGAGTACCACAACCTAACCCCGATCTACACTAATGTCAGGCAGAGTAGATGTTTTACAAAGAAACATCCAAATATGAAAGAAGAAGAAACGGGAGATATTGATGTAAGAATAAAGGGGCAACAACTAGAGGTGGTAGAAAAGTACGAATATCTTGGAGCCATAATAAGTAAGGATGTAAAGATAGATCAGGAAATACGAAACAGAACAGCAAAAGCAAACTCCTACCAAATAAAGCTAAAATACAATTATATAACACCATCTATATACCCACACTTAATTATTGATCCGAAACTTGGACTATTTTGGACAAGCACAAATCGAAAATAACAGCAGCAAAGATGAAGTACCATACAAGATATAGAGGGAACAACTAAGTGGGTATGGTCATCTGGTTCGAATGAAAGAAGATAGAATAACGAAGAAAATGTTAAACATAAAGCCAGAAGGAAAGAGAAAGCGTGGTAGACCAAGAACCCAATGGGAGGGAGAAAATGCTTAAAAGAAAAGCTGAAGTACAAACTATGGCCAGAGATAGGAAGATGTATAAAAGATGGATCTAAACCCCAACATCTTAACGTATATAAATGGTGGCAAGAGAAAGAAGAATATTTAATAAATAAAAATTAATTTGATATAACGTTTTTAATTATTAATTAATAAATAAATAAATAAAGAGAAAAATTTAACTTTCTATGAAGAAAATAAAAAAACTTATTTTCTTAGGTTCTACTAGGTAAGGAGTAGAAATGGTGTTTTTTTCTTTTTCTCTACTCGAGGAGCCAAGTTTCACTTATTAAAAGTAACTTTCATTTCTCAATGTCCCCCCGAGTTAAAAGAGAACTTGGTTTTCTACTAAACGCGAAAAAAAAATAATTTAGAAGATATAAAAAGTTTATTTTTTTTTTATTACAAAGTTTTTTTATTTTAACATTTTATTTATTAACTCTTAATTGGTCGCAACGTCCACGGCTTAAGCGGCTAATTAAGGGTTATTAAATTATTTCATTATAAAAAGAAAAACAGATCATTTTCTGTGTACTTTATCACACTTTTGCAAAACTCAAAACAAAAAAAAAATCGATTTAATTTAATTTTTGATCCGCTTAAATAATTTTGAGTTTTACACAAATCAATCGACTAAATACACTTAAAAACGCGATTATTACAAAAAAAAATAACTACAGCCACTTCTCCTCACTTATTTTCTTTTAATTAATTCGTCCAAGACACAAAAAGACTTTTTAATCATTTTTTTTTTTAAATAGATGAGATCTAACCTTTTGGTGCCTTAAAAAATCAACAACTTCTTTTAATACTGCAAAAATTAACCGCAAAGTTAATCATTTTTAATTAATTAAGTTTTGAACATTATTTATACACAAAACAACAAGTTCGTTTTGCCAAAATGAATTATTTTCCCCTTTACAATTGCGTAAACACATCTCGATGCCAATTTGGCACCAAAATTCGCTTAAAATTGTTTTCAAAATAATGTTTAAAACTCAATTTTTATATAAAGGGGCCATTTTAAGACGGCGTTTTGTCTAAAACCTCCCCAAATCTTTTAAGTTTGTGTTTAAAGAAGCCATCGAATGCTCCATTTTTTAAATTTATACTGATCATCTAATCTAATATCACAAATAAGATAATATTAAAAAAAACGGAGGCTAATTTTTTTCTTTTTTTAACAAGTAAAAATAAAAAAGAAAAAAATTTTGCCCATCCTCTCCCGTTTCTTAAAGTTTACTATCACGACTCGTTTTTAGAGATATGAATATTCATTTTTAACAAATTAATAATAACAAAAAACTCCTAATTTTCTCTTCAATTTTTAAATTAATTTCTTGTCAGTCTTCTTCAATGGAAAAATAAAGAAACTCATACATTGTATGATCTGTAAAGCTTCCTTTTTTCCAGCTTAAAATCGGGGCTAATCATCATAGTTCCACCTCTTGTAATCTTTCTAAACAAAAAAAAATTAAATTAGTACAAAATTTATAACATAAAATTATAATAAATTAACTTACTTTATAAATTGAGATAAAAATGAGTTCCACCCCGCTGTTGATTGCTTCAAAGTTAGTGTTAATTCAAAGGTGCTAACAGTCGATTGATCACATTTGATTGTCGATAACTTCCGGCATTCATTTTCGCCTTCGAAGTTCAAATAGAGCGTACACCCCCGAAGTCCATACAATTCAGAGTCGGCTTCGTTATAAATCTGCCTCGAAATCTCTTCCAAAAGTCCCGAAGGTAAAACGACCTCCCCGCAGGAGAGGTGACTATGTTTAGCCGATCTTAACGTAGTTTCTAACAATTTCGAGAGCGCCCCAACGGCGGCTTCCGTTGATTCGCACTCGTCTTCATAAACCTCATAATCGTACACTAAAAAAATCAATTAAAATTAATTTGACACGCTGTTGCTAAGGGAAAAATTAACCACAAAAATTGACATAACCTCAAAATCTTTTATTTATCGATTTACGTACCTTTGCTAATGTTGTACGCTACGCTATTTAATTGTAACACTTCCATCGTATTAATTAAGATTATTATTATCACAAAGAGAATCGAGGGCACAGACTCGGCGTTTAAAAATGAATTAAACGACCGACCTTTATCACTGGTTATGGTGAAACTGTCACAAATCAGCTGAGTTATCCTTTTTATAAGGTTACCCCCACTGTTTACGAAACGAAGCGGTCGCGATTGGCAACGAAAATAACCGAATATAAGGAAGCGTACGTGATTTTTTCACGTAAAAATCACCTTTCAAGCTCTTTGTTTGAAATAATTAAGAAAATAATTCATTAATTGATTCGTCTTGATTAAAAATAGAAACAAAAACGATTTTTATATCAAATTATTAAAAATAAACTCACCAAAAAAATTTTACAGGTTAGAATCACCCCGGTTTTAAAAATCGCAATTCTTCCTGCAAAACAAAAAGAAAACGTAAAAAAGCTTTAATAAAACTCACTTTGGGGATAATTTTCTTTTTTAACATCAAATTTACCCCCTTTTTCTTCATTAATTTACCACGAAATACGGCGTCTCATTAAAAACAAAAACAAAACGGGATTATAGTTACTACAAACTTAAGAAAAAAAAAATTTTATATAACCTTGAAACGTCAAATTAAAATTAAACATAACCTAAAAATTAATTTAAATTAAGATTCTGATGCAACCTCAACATCTAAAGATAAGCTGAAAAATATCTGATGCAACATTTTTAGTTAGTGACTACTTGCCGCATTATACGAGTTAATAAGCACGTTTTACAATAATGAGTCATTCTGTGATAATGCTTAGTTAAAAAGAGGGAAAAAAGCGAGGTCGTACTTTAATCCACGTTAATTGTATCTTTTTTGCTTTGGTTGGAAGAGCTACAAAAGAAAGAAAAAATTACAAAGGAATAAAAATGTTAAAACGGTGCAGAGATAACAAGTACGTGACGACAACCACGTTGTGCACGTCTCAAAAAGACGTTGATGATGATATTAACCGTTTAATGACGTCGATTTATCGTTTTTAAATATTTTTATTTAAATGGGATTTAATTTCAAAATATGTATCGATTCGGATTAGTCATAGAAACCTTGAAGATTGTGTTTTAAACCTTAATTGTGCAAGGTTTTAAAACAGTTAAAAAAAAGATTAATTCGTTTCGTAATTGTTTTTAAACAAATTTATTAATTTCTTGCTGATAAAATTGTTATTTCTCCTTAAAATTCTAGAACATAAACGAGACTCTTTAAACACGTTCAAACACGCTTTTTTCGAGGCCTTTCTTCCTTTCTTACCGTCTCTTATCTTCTCCTCTCTTTTTAAATTGAATAATGTATCCTTCTAGAATATTCTAGAAATTATTAATGTTAAAACCGAGGAAATGATTCTTTTTTTTTGAGTAATATCTTATCAAAATGTAAATTGTGAATCATCTCGACAATTTTGTGGTGATTAATATAAATAAGTTTTAATTGTTTATTGGGAATTTTCAAACAAATTGAAGCTGGAAGGTATCAACTAATCTTTGTGAAACACACTCATGGTAAAATAAAATAAATTAAGAAATTATATCAAAGTTGAGATGTAAATAATACTTCAATCAAACAAGTCATGACATGTTTCTTATATTTGTGTACATTTAAGTGTTTATCTCGATTTATCCGCTATTTGAGTAGCGTTCTATATGAGTACTTTTAGAAATCACGTTTGGTTATTACTTACTTTTAGTATAACCAACATTTTTATCGCTACTTCTCCTGCAAACCATACCTTACCTGCTCAGGGATCTATGACACCCGTTGTTTGTTAAAAAAGTACAGTTTTCTGACAAACATATCAAAGTCTCAGGACAGTCTCTTAAATAAGACTACTTTCTTAGTCTTTACTTTATACAAACTTGACCTGATAGAAACATAAATCCTTCAAAGTTGACGAATTTGTGTTGATATGTCAAATGTAGCGCCTCGCCCGCAAGTGACCTCGGCGGTTTGAGGGTAAAATTCTACATGTAAGAGATAACAAGATATATAAGGATCGATTTGAGGCGAAATCGTTCCTTATATCTTTATAAATATACAAAGTGTCTTAAAACGATGTATTAATACAAAATCGTCATTTTTGATTCTAGCGCCTCTGTCGATTTGAGGTGAAATCATACCTTATATTTTGTAAAGATACAACGTCTTTTAAAAAACGACGTTTATCCTCACTCCGCCGAGGTCGCTTGCGGGCGAGGCACTAGAGTTCTTCAAAACTAACGATTTCGTGTGGATATACCAACCTCAGTGCCTCGCCCGCAAGCGACCTCGGCAGAGTGAGGATAAATGTCGTCTTTTCAGAGACTTTGTATCTTTGCTAGATATAAAGAACGATTTCACTTCAAATCGCCGAGGTCGCTTGCGGGCGAGGCGCTAGAGTCCTTCAAAACTGATAATTTCGTGTTGATACGTCAGACCTAGCGCCTCGCCCGCAAGTGACCTCGGCGGAGTAACGATAAACATCGTTTTTTAAAAGATTTTATATCTTTACATGATATAAGGTATGAGTTCGCCTCAAATCGACAGAGGCGCTAGAATCAAAAATGTCGATTTTGTATTAATACATAAAAAATGCAGCGCCTCGCCCGCAAGCGACCTCGGCGATTTGAGGTAAAATCGTTCATTCGGATTAGCAGTTCCAATACGATTTGTACATTTATGGACTAAACAGTTTATAATCGCTCCAATTTCTTCATAGGTCTTGATAATTCTCAGTTTTTTAGTAACAATTTTATAGCAACTGCTCCAAATGTCCTATTAGTCCACCCCAAGCTGAAAATGAATTTCAATCAATTTATTAGTTCAAAATGTTTCATAATGTTGCATATTGGGCTGTTTAAGTAGCAAGATACAAGGCATTTACGAACGTATTGCATCACCTAAACTAAGCATTCGTGACTTATCGATTTTATTAAAAACTTGAAAAGGAACAAAATTAAAATAGAATAGAATTGATATAGAATTGATATAGAATTGAAATAGAACTGAATTGGGTTTAAGTGCACTCTTAATTTTTTTTATTTATTTAAAAAAAATTATTAAATTTCTTTTCTAATTTAAAATGAAATCTTTTTGTTAAAACGGCGTCCACCAGACTGTCTCCTCTATCTCTATACTTTCCCTAATTTTTGTCGCCCCTTAAGTAGTTGTCTAGACATAAAGAGCTTAACTTAAAAATCCTTTGTTAACATTTTCAAACAGCCCAAAAAAATCTTTTTGAAAGATTTGCTCATCGACTAATAATCACGATAAAAACATTTAAGTAAATTTAATTTTAATTTGATTTAGTAACATTTATTCAAATAGTTAATAAATGATAATAATCGATTGTGATATGAACCTGAACCGTATCATAACAAAATGAATAGGTAGGTTAAAATGATTCATCGCCGTTGCGGTTTTTAACTAAACTTGCATCACAACTAAACAAAAAAAAATAAAAGCGAAAAACCAATTAAATTGCAACCAATGGTGTTCGTTGTGCAACGATTGGCTCGTCGACATCGTACGGTTCGGTTATTTCCTAGAACCGGGGCCCCCGGCTGCCGACACATCGTGTGTAAAATAAAATCCTTTGTGTGCTAGACGCACCGGCGACATAAATCCATCTCTTTTTCACTTCTAAATAAAGCCATTTGTCATTTCAAACTGTTTTTAAAAATGTTATTTCATTACAAATAAGTTAAATAAACATTTAACTTAATTTATTGTATATTTTAAGAATGGTTTGAGGTGAATTAAAACAAATTGTATCTAAGATTCGTGGTGATTCATATAGGAAAGTTTCTTTTTGCGGGTTTCATTCGAAAGACAAGTTTTTAATTTATTTTTTTAATCATACCTTTTACTAAATTTTTGCATTATTTAAAAAACGTTTCCAATCCAATTCTATTTTAATTCTATTTGTAATTATGACTAATATAAATTGCTAAATTCTAATTATGCAATAATTGTAATTTGACGCAAAGCCAATCAAAATTTAATGATGTCAGTGAACTTTTAATCTTAATGTTAAATAAATAACTTTTTAAACATTTAAAAATACTGTTTAAATTAACTTATTTATTATTTGACGTTTAAACGTCAATTAATTTTGACAACGCGAAGTTCGTTGAAGAAATACCAACCTTAAATAAATTTTTTTTTTTTAATTTCATCCCCAAATTAACTTAAAAATTAAATAAAAAATTAGTTCATATTTTTCGATTTAATTTTTACACATAAATAAGTTACGGATTTATATGAACAGAGATAGACTGAAGTAAATAATGATTTCGTTGAAAAATCTAATTTCTTGCTAAATTTTTATCTTTTCATATAAAACCGAAAAAAAAAAAAAAACAGGAAATACCCCATCACATTAAAAATTATGATGAAAATGACTCACTTTTTAAATTTTCTTTTGATTTGATGTAATAAAATCGTTTTTTTAACAATTTTTCCTTCATTTTAGTTTTTGACACTAAATGTCATTTCTTTAGTTTTAACACCGCGAAGTTGGTCTATAAAATACCAACCTTAAATAAATTTATTTTTTTAGCTTTAAATTTCATCCCCAACCTAACCTATAAAATCTAAAAATTAATTACAAAATTAATATTTTTCGATTTTTTTTAAGTTAAATTTGATGTATTAATACAAAATTTGAGATATACTTAGAAGAAGATATACTTAAATAAAGTTAAATGGAAAATATTTTAGTTTCCACAAATAAATTTTTCTCAAAAATAAAATTGGCTCCATCTCATTATGTTGTTGGATTATTTAGAGAAAGTAAATACAAAATACATAATCATACAGATCGGGCCAGACACGAGCTGTTAACCCAACAAAAAACCACGAGGCCCTATATTTAATGCAACTTTTTTAAGACCTATCTGATGCCACGAGTCCAAATAAAATTGTTTTTGAATAATTTTAACGATTAATGAATTGAATTTTTTGAAAATCTTTGAACTTCAATATTACATAAGAGTCGACAATCAGTCTAGCACTCAAAATAAGTCGTCTCAATCAGATTAGATAACACATTAAAAAATTGGGTATCTTTAATATTTCTCTTTGTTTAACAAGATTATTTTTTTTTAGTGGAAACTTTTTTAGCGCTATTTCTGTAGCGCGTTTTAATTAAACTTCCTGGAATACACCCCGAATCCGTTCGTTTTCGGGATCTCACATCTCATTCTTGGCATGAAGCCCGCTTTTTCCAAGACTGCCGTCTTTCGTCACAACCCGTACTTTTTCAACTATAGTAATACTTTTTATTGCACATCCGAGCCAGTTCACACGTTTTCTTCCAAACGATTCTGACGCAATGTTTATCCAACATATGGCCCATCTGGTATCATCACTTTTCTTTTTAATTATTTTTATTTTTTCTTTCAACATTCAGAACTGTCAATCAAATAAAGTGACAATTTTAATAATTACAGAACTCTTCTTTATCGGCTCTAATAAAAGTGACGTTTAATAATAATTATTATTAAAGAAATTATTCCTTTTTTAGAGGAGGAGAAAACTCTCTTAGGTCAACGGAAACTTCCACACGCAACGTTTGCCTCCAACATTTCTTGTATCTACGATTCCCCGGTGAAACTCTCGGTGTTAAAACTGTTGGTGTTTCTAGCTTTGCCCCAGTACAGCGTCGCGGTAACGTTTCTTTCTCTTCATAGCCGCTGAATAGTGCTGTTGCTAACCGGAAAACATTTTCGCTTACACTCGATGAGCGAAGCGACACTTTCTTCTTAAACTTTTTTTCGGCAATTATTAATTTCCGATAAAATCGCTTGGTAACAACTATCGACACTCATTTGAAATGAATAGATTTTGATAATAAATAATAGGATAATTTCGTTCGTGAATGGAGCTCCTAAAATAGATTTTAATTCCGACCAGATGTGTTCGTTTTACGTAAAACCGGTCGATTTATAATTTATAAATAACAACTTGAAGTTTTGTTTACCCCAATATCTCATCGAGAAAATGCAGCGAGATGTTATTCTTGGATTAAAAAAATAAGTAATTAGAAAAAAAATTTTACTCATCCCCTTTCTTTTTCGGGTCCTTTTTCACTTCCTCCTTCGTAAACGATCCCACTATTTTTAATTGAGCCTCGGCCCTGTAAAGAGAAAAAAAATTATTTAAGAGGGGGTAAAATCTCACCGATTCTTTTTCGAAAGGCCATCTTCAGAGTCCCTTTAGCGCAGAGGATAGCGCGTTGGACTTCTAATCCAAAGGTCGCGGGTTCGATTCCCGCAAGGGATGGTTTTTAATTTTACCAAAATAAATCAATTTGACGTTTATACTTTATAAACGTCAATTTAACATTTTTTTGAATTGTAGTTTTTTTGAGTTATAGAAACCATAAATCTAATCTAATAATAAAATCCGGTTAAGTTAAAACGTTCTCCTCAAGCCCTGTTGTATATATATATATATATATATATGTGTGTGTGTGTGTGTGTGTATTAGCGGTAATACAACACTCGAGGGGGGTAACGAGTCGACGAGGTCCCAACAAATTTAGATTTACGTTCTCGTAAAGTTCTCCAAGATCAGATTACCAAGCGAAATAATAAATAAAAAAATTTTAAAAATCAAAAATTACAAAACGTGATAAAATAACTTATTATTAGTTGAACGATTTATTAGCATTATTTTTTCCGAAACTAGAACGAGGTTAACTTAAAAAAAGTGATCCAAAAATAATTTCGATCAAAAAATGAGCAATTTAAAAAAATTAAATCCCAAAGGGACAAAATTTAAACTTAACAGTGACTCAAAATCACTTGACAATACGAAATTGTTAACTTTAGAGGGTTCTAGTGCCTCGCCCGCGAGCGGCCTTGGCAATTTGAGACGAAATCGGTCTTATATCTCGGTAAAGATACAAACTCTCTTAAAAGACTATGTTTATCTTCACTCCGCCGAGGTCGCTTGCGGGCGAGGCGCTGGATTTGATGTATTAATACAAAATCGTCATTTTTGACAGATTCTAGCGCCTCGCCCTCACGCGACCTCGGCGATTTGAGACGAAATCGTTCTTATATCGTGGTAAAGATACAAAGTTTCTTAAAAAACGACGGTTATCCTCACTCCGCCGAGGTCGCTTACGGGCGAGGCGCTACATTTGATATATTAACACGAAATCGTCAATTTTGAAGGGATTCTAGCGCCTCGCCCTTAAGCGACCTTGGCGATTTGATACGAAATCGTTCCTTATATCTTGGTGAAAATACAAAGTCTCTTAAAAGACGACGTTTATCCTCACTCCGCCGAGGTCGCTTGCGGGCGAGGCGCTACATTTGATCAGGCGACCTCGGCGATTTGAGGATAAACGTTTTGTTATAGGAGACTCTGTATTTTTGCAAAGATGTAAAAAAACGATTTCGTCTCAAATAGCCGAGATCGCTTGCGGGCGAGGCATTGGGGTTGGTATATTCACACGAAATCGTTAGTTTTGAAAAATTCGAGCGCCTCGCCCGCAAGCGACCTCGGCGGAGTGAGGATAAACGTCATCGTTTAAGAGACTTTGTATATTTATAAAGATATAAGAAACGATTTTGCCTCAAATCGCCGAGGTCGCTTGCGGGCGAGGCACTGGGGTTGGTATATGCACACGAAATTGTTAGTTTTGAAAAACTCTAGCGCCTCGCCCGCAAGCGACCTCGGCGGAGTGAGGATAAACGTCGTCTTTTAAGAGATTTTGTATATTTGCAAAGACATAAGGAACGATTTTACCTCAAATCACCGAGGTCGATTGCGGGCGAGGCGCTAGAATCTTTCAAACTTGACTATTTCGTAAAATCTAGCGCCTCGGCCACAAGCGACCTCGGAGGTTTAATGCCTATGAGGTTATCTTAAAAAAAAACATCCTAAAATAATTTAGATCAAAAAATTAAATCCCAAAACGACAAAATTTATTAAAAGGGTTAAGTTAAACTTTAAACGAGACCGTAAATCAATTTGCTCTGCCAAAATCACTTGACGCAAACACACCTTATAGTATTTATAATGTTGGCAGGAACTTCTAAAGTAAGGGGGCAACGACTGTAAGTGAATTTTAGTTTCGGTTCTAACACAATTTTCGATACGTAACTACATTGAATAAAATTATTTTTCCAAAAAAAAAATTGGATGGCGTAACAAAGTAAATATTAAAATTGCACGGAACAAACAAAAACGTTAATCAAACACATAAAAGAGCGTTCTTTGTACATAAAAAGGATAATTTATTAAACAAATCCCTTTGTTTAAGATAATTTTAGTGCAAACAAACCACTTTCATAACAACTCTAACAAGTTTATAACAATATTCCACGAAAATAAATCTTATCTTTTATTAATCATTTCTCAAGGATATATTTACTCATAAATTTTTATTAATTATTTCAACATTAACCCCATTTAAAAGGGGCTAATTTCTATTATAGGTTAAGTTAACAGGAAATGCATCTTTTTACATAAACGTTTATTTTAAGACGCGAAACAACCTTCGCTCATTGGCATAGGTAAGTTAAGTTACTCAAAATAAAGGTTTCCAAAAATTAAATAAGTTATACTTATTTTATCATTGTATTAACGTAATCGGTTGTTTGCAAACAAAAATAATCTTGTTTAAAATAATTGTCAGTGTGAAATGAGATACGATGTCAAAGGGTAAAAGATAAGAGGGTTGCGGACGTCATTTCAACGGCTATTATTATTATCGTATCATTTTCTCATTGTTTGTTACTCGATTTTTACGATTTCGAAAATAAAAAAGATTTTTTTAATAAACAATTTTTCCCATTCAGTAGAAATAACGAGGTAAATTTTATTTTAAACAAAAACCCAGATAGAGATAACGCTTCTGGATCATTAGCTTCTAGTAGTCCGGCTCGGAGTGAAAATATCAACTGAGGTCAGTGCTCCAGTTTCTTGCCAATCTCGGGTCAACGCGACCAATACAGTAGCCAATTCTATCTTTCCGTCACTCTTTTTTACAAGACGTACAAAGGCTTTTTTAAAACAATAAAGATTGTTCTTATCTCCTTTAGTTCTCTTATTCGGTGATTTTAAAACAAGACATCTTTTTATTCTATTTCTTTATATATCTTGACCTACCATAATTATTTTAAAATTATCGGTTTTATATAATCCCATTGTTAACCCACTTTTAATTCGTCTTAGATGACTTTGTTATTCTCTTAATCTCTCAATGTATTTAAAATGCGTTCTTCTGACAATGAGTTCTTTATGAGCTTCTGAGTTTGCAGATGATTTGCCATCTTATGACAGTATTACTATTGATATTGGGCAACCTCAAGCAATCATAACATCAAGGCTAGAAAATAAACTTGAGCTTTACCAGCCAAAAGATTAAGCAGGATTTTGATCTGGGTTTGAAAGACCATCTACAAAGTATAAATAAAGAGAAAACTGTGTTCTGCTGCTTCCATTAAGCCTAATCCTCTACTTACATATGAAGCAAAAACCCTGACTTTATCGGCGGCATTCGCAAAAAGACTAGGAATGGGAACGGAGGTGATGAAATGATTGGAGAAGGAGGTGGAATGACTGGAAATGGGAATGGAGATGATAGAATGACTGGGAAATGTGGTAGAATGGCTGGAAATGAGGATGGACGTGATGGTATTACTAGAAATAGAGAAGAGATGACTGGTAATGGAGGAAGAATGATTGCGAATGGGAATGGAGGTGATAGTATGACTTGGGAAAGTGGTGGAATGACTAAAAATGAGATGGAATGACTATGATTGGTAATAAAATGACCATGTAATGAGATGCTTTGATTACAAGCTAGCAATATTTAGAAAATGTAGTGAAAAAATTCCAACCTCATCAACACTACTTCTAAAAACAGAAAAAAATGTCGCTAATAATTTGCTTCCTTAGTAATGTTTCCTCTTCAATTCTCCTTTTGCTCTATTAACAAGTACCAAATTTTTACCCAACCCAATTGTTACAATATTATCCAAAAATGTCTCAATATCATTTCTACACACTCAACATACCTCAATATCATCCTTAACACCCTTCAACATCGCTCTCAGCCTTAACAAAACCTCCAATATTCTGTCAACACTCAATATCGTCTTTGACAACCCTTAATATCGTTCCAAACACATTATTTTATATCATACTTTCTGCATTATTATAAAAAATTCACACCCAAAATTTTCCTAAACATCTCTCAATCTCTTAACTCGATTATTTTCCTAAATCATGTTGGTGAGCTAAGCCCTAAGATTTGCAGTGGCAAAAAAATAAACCGAATTAATTACAAGTTGTTTTTTTTATAGAAATAATTTAGAAGATTAAAATAACCAAGGCAATGAAGATATATTTTTAGTTGCCCGCGATCGAACCACGTCAATTAAGATAATTACAATCGAGGTATACACATATGTAGGTAAAGAATTTATTATGTAAGAGATAAAATAATTTTAAACAAATTTCCGATATTAAGTGTTACAACAAATTTATTTGCTTGATTTCCGCGTACAATTTCGAGCACGTTTTCTTGGCTGAAACATCTCCAACGTGATGGTTCTAATTCGGACCCAATTATATTTAAACCAAAACTCGTTTCCTGTTACTGAGCAAGTTTACTGAACTTTTTCGATTTAAACAATTTCAAAAAAAAATTCATCGAATCATTAAATAATTTATTATTACCAGGTGTAGAGTTTAAAGAAAATTCTAAATATAGAAGGAGGTGTTATTGAAGGTCAGTGGGTCATTTCGGTTTCGCGAGGGTTCATTTTTTTTGTTCCGGTTTAGAATCAGCTGCTGGTTTCCACTTACAACCCGCAGCTTTGAAAGGAAGTGGGTGCAATTATTATTCGTTAAAAATGGTAAAAAAAAAAGCCGTGTGGATTTTATTATTAAAAGTAATAAACATGTTTGTGACACCACCTTGTTTTTTTTTTCGATAAGATCTTTTAATTTTTAAGGTAGATTACTTTAATCTTAGTTAATTTGAAAAAAAAAAAACTTTTCCACTTTTGAATCGCCGAGACGGTTTGGCTACCAAAAAAAAAATAATAATCTTTGTACTTAAGCGTCAATGAAAACGTTTTAAACGCCCACAGAAAATTATGTCACATACTAAATGCGGCTAAAACTGGGACTCTTATTCAAAAAAAGAAAATAACTAGGTTATGTTGTTGCCAAAACGCGGACTTTTTCGATTTTATATTTAAACTTTACTTAACGACTCTTTGTTTTCGGTTCCACGCCGTCTGACTGCGATTAATAAATAATAAAAATTTTTCCTCGATCATAAATCATCTGATAAATACAGATAACGTAACAAAATAACACTTAACAGCCGTTGGATAAAAAAAATTAAAAAATAAAAGCGTCAAAAATAGAACCTTACTTAATTGTTTACCGCTTATACCTCGATTGTTAAATAATATTTGATTAAATCTCGATAAGGATATCTTTTTTTTAATCATTTCTTTTCGGACCGAAAAAACATGGAATTATGGACAAGTTGAAAAATAAAAACATAAAAAACAATTAATTATCTCACTTAATTGTTTACTATTCACCATAAATATTGAATAATTTTAGATTAAACCGCGATAAAGCCTTGATAAATTTGATGAAACCTTCAACTTGTTTTCATTTCTTTCCTTGATTAAAAAAAAATCGATCTCACAACCTATTATTAGAGTTTCGATAACAAAATCATACGACAATCATTAACAATAAATTATTTTTTCCTCCCATTGTTATTTTATGTTTTTATACTTCAAACTACACTCCATAAACTTTTCTATATAAACTTTTCTATATAAACCAAATAGGGAGGGCGTTTAAAAATAAAATCGCGAAGTCAATGTCAAGGTTATTGAGAGCGACTTACGTCCGTGCGGTTACAAATTTAGTCAATGTGCCTTTGGTTAATTTTAGAGCTTGAAAAAATAAAATTAAAAACCAAAATTTCAAAATTTGATACCTCAAAGGCGGCAAACTGTTAATGCTAATCTTAGAATCGGCATTTTGCAGTCTCGAAGCTTTCTTATCGGAAACGGATCCGGTGACGGATCGAATCGATTTCATCGATTTTATCGATTTTTGAGGTTTCTGCGAGGCTTGATCCTTCCATTTTGCACTGCTCGAATATTGCATGAAATGGTTACTTTCAGTTGAGCAAGTCATTAATGTAGTAAAAAGGCTTTTTTCCTTTTTAATATGAAATTCCTAAAATCAAAAAATTAATAACAAAAAAATTACTTTTAAAATTAAAATTAAATTTACCTCATCATCTTCCGTATACTCCTCAATCTCAACTTCGCTCGTATTCGGACAAACCAAATATTGCTCAACAACACTCGTTAGAGACAACGGGGCTGAATAATCAGTTTGGTCCGTTGTTTGATCCTTCGTTGAAACAAACGATTCGCTATAAACCCTCGGCTGTGTGGTGTCCATAGTTGGTAATTTTTCAAGAGATGGTTCTTCCACCTCCGTTGTCACAACGGGGACATTCGATGCAGCCCAAGTATCCGGGGGAGAACAAATCGGAGGCTGATCCGGCTTCCAAACGGGGTCATTTTGAAAATCTTCCTTCCCAAAGTCGTGCATATTAAACTCCAACTCGATTATCCTTTTAATAGCTTCGTAAGCACAATTAACTATGTACTTTATTGATAACTTCTCAAACTCCCTTTTCATGCATTCGTCCAAAACGGAATTGATGAGCTCATCTCGAATTGAGTAAATAGCCGAGAAATCGGTTTCTTCGTGACTATTAAAAAATAATTAATTAATTATATTTTATTTAAAAATAATGTAAAAGAACTTACGGAAAATCTAAAGAAATTTTAGAACTCCCAGCGACATCTACCGTGCTACGACTGATATTTTTCGAACTTTTTCGACTCGATCGAACGCTTTCTGTCATTTTTAAAACTAACTTCACTTCGATGTCACAAGATGGGGATAACCTAAAAAAAAATTTGATAATATTAATTTTACATTAAAAATTGTATTAATTTTAAATTTCGTTATTAATTTATAGCTATTTTAAAAGTTATTTGAAAGATTATTCAATTAAGAAACGTCAAATGTCAAACAAATTTTAAAAAGCAAAAAAAATTAAACTATAATAATTCATACAATTAAATAATTGTAATTGATTTAATAGAAAGTAACTTTATAACTGCAATTGATTGTTATTAACTTATTAATTTAAAAAGTACTTACTAAAATAACGGTTTTAGCGAAACCGGTGATTCTGTGAAGTTGCAGATCAACCTTGACTGTCTTATTAACTAACTTCATTCTGTCAACACAAGATGGATCTAACCTAAACAAACATTTAAAAAAATTCTACATAAAAATATCCTTAAACTGCTTTAATTTTAAAGATTCTTATTAATTAAATCATATTAAACTATTTTAAGAGATTTTTGTTATTAATTAGAAAATTACTCACCAAATTGACTGTAAAATCCTGACTAAAATTGGCGATAGATGTGAAGTATGCTCGGCTATTTCAAGTCTGTTAGCTAATTTCATTCTGTCAACATAAGATTTAACCTAAAAAAATATTTTAAAACATTAATTTTATATTAAAACATCTTCAAACATCTTTTAATTTCAAATTTCTCCATTAATTATAAACAATTATAAATAATATATAAATAGTTATAAACTTTTTGTTGAGAATAAATTTAGAATCGTTAACTGTCAAATTTAGAAAACGTTTCAAACGCAAAAACAAAACTTATTAAGAAAAACACTTACAAATAGAATAACAACTTAAAACTTACAATTAAATAACGGGAATTGATTGAATAATCGTTAAATATTATATTAATTGCAATCCATTATTCTTAATTTGAAAATTACTCAAGAAAATAACTGCGTAAATTTAATACTCGTTAAAATTGGCGATAGCTATGAAGTAGCCAAGTTTGAGTGCCTAACTTCATTCTGTCAACATAAGATTTAATCTAAAAATAGAATTGTTAAAATATTAATTTTATATAAAAAAATCTCTTTGAATTTTAAATTTCTTCTTTAAGTTTAAACCATATTAAGATTTTTTTTAAATATTTGTTAAGACTAAATTTAGAAACCTCAAATGTCAAAGTAACAAAACTTTTCAAAACCAAAAACAAAACTTATTCAACGAATTTACTTACGATTAAGCAATAGTAATTGATTATTAAAAGTAATTAGTAGTAAATTATTATTAATTTGAAAATTACTTACTAAAATTAGGGTGTAAAATACTCGGTAAAACTAGCGACATCTGTGAAGTAATAAACTAATAATATAGTAACTAACTTCATTTCAATAATAATAGATGGATGCAACATAACCTAAAAAATGTTTTCTTTAATTAAGCCCCTTTGAATTGTTGTTTGTACACAAAAACATAATACATGAAAAGATTATTAATTTAAATAAAAGTCAAATAATAAAAAAATAGACAGTTTAAAACGTCAGTTAAAAAAAAATAACGTTTACATTTTACTCTGACGCTTGTTGTGGTTGTCGCCAGCCCCAAACAAGTTTAAAAACGCGTTTTTGGGATCGAACCGAATTTTAAAAACATCCCAAACGCCCAAATTCTAGGTGTTTGTTAGTTGGTGTAAATCAAAGTCAATAATCGCTGTAAATAAAATGAACATAACAACGTTAAAAGGGGTTTTTCCCGAACCAAGTGAGTCTAAATCAAAAAAAATAACCGCATCTTTCTTAATTTATCGTTTTAAGAACCACAACCCAAACGAAATTTCATCAAAGAGAATATGCGGCACATAAAATACCTCCAAGGAGTGCTTCAACCCGATCTTCCAGTGGCACCGCAAAAACTTTCAAAATCTCAAACTCAACCAAAGACAATTAATAAATTGACATCATCAAGAAATAAACTTAGGGATACAGCGTCGCAAGATAGCCAAAAAATATCGAAACCGTCCCAACAAAAAGGCTCTAATAAACGAAGTACAGGAGTTGAGGTTAAACCACGATTAGAAATACGACAGCTAAGAGATTTTGGGGAAATTACGAAAAAGGAGGATGTTGCTAATTGCTTGTTTAATGAGAAAGATAAAATCACTCATCGAGGTATTCAAACCGAGCGAAACGATGATATGAATAAAATTTATGATTGTGGGGTTATTAAATATCCAAGTCCGGGGCTTGTTCAAGATCTGATTACAGGAAAAAAGAAAGAAAAACGAAATGATCATGGGGATTCAGTTGAACGGTCGTCGATTGAAGATAAAACATCTTCAAGTAAGAAATTAAAAAATTTATTTTGAGGTTATGTTTTAATTTGAGGTTGTGTTCCATTTTTAGTAGGTGATAAATTTAATTATATAAAGCAAAATATAAATGCGATTAAAAACAAAGGGAATAAATCCGATACAACATCAACGACGGGGTCTCTCCCCCCTAATTATCAAAAAGGATCAGTTCCAAAATACCTTAAAGACCGCAAGGAAGAGCAATTAAAAGAAGGTCCTGTCGACGCGGAGTGCCCCCCCGGACACGTTTTATTACCAGAAGACGAACGTAAAGAAACCCTACGGGTGTTAAGACAAAGTATGTAAAAATTTCGATTTTAAGAAGCATCTAACATAATTTTTTTAGGTTATGCCGACCGAATTTCCGAATTAAACTCGATGCCGGTGCGAAACGATACGTTAAAAATGCGTAAACGCAAAGTGGAGTTGGAGGAGGAATTGAAAAAAATCGACGAAGGGATTAAAGTATTTCAAAGGCCCAAAGTTTATGTAAAAGTCAATGCTTAGGCAAATTTCACAGCACCGAATACGAATTTTCATTATTAAATTAATTGTGTTTTGTATTAAAATATGTAAATAAAATTAGATCGCAAAAATCACCAAATTAAAAAATTAATTTATTAATAAACGTTTTTTATGTACAAATTCGTTTTCGATAAAATCCACTTTTTCCATTCGAAAACTTTCCTCTTCCATTTTGAACCACAAATCGTAGTTAAAATCGGGGAATAAAATCGAAATTTCTCGTTTCGCTGATTCGTCCGAATCTAAAATTGATTTGTGTATTTTTATAACCTAAAAATTAGGATAATACCTGAGCCGTGTGTCGCATTTCTTGTATCAGATAACCCAAAAGTTCCTCTAATCGTGTTAGGCGCTTCAAATTGAGCTTTAAAAACTTTCGTGGGCCCCATTAATCGCCTCCAATCGTTTATCGCGTTTATTTTTGCTAAAATATACATTTCTGAGGGGCCACTAAAATTATTTCTTTTCTTATTTATTAAACTTTTTTGATTGAAATGTTTACCTCGTTACAAAGGTGACTAATCTGTTATAAAAAAACTTTTTTTTGTGTTCTTCGTAAAATTTTGAGGCTTCTTCCATAGAAATCCGATGTTTTTTCCACTTTATCACGTTAAATTGATTTTTTAATAAAAGTTGGCGAATTTCTTTTACAGCGAATGGGTTTGATACTAAATGCGGTTTTAAAATCGCTAAAGTTAATTGTAATCTCAACTCCATTTATTAAATTTGTGAATAACAATAAAATAATTCAATTCTAAACTTTGAGGTTAGGAAATTTTGACAGTTCGCGTTTGACATCTTAATTATTTAAAAATAATTAATTTATTAATATTTATTTAAAAAAATAACGAGATTACAAAGTTAACATTAAAAAAGTATTATATCACCCACTAAAAATAAAAACCAAACCCTCAATTAATTAAATCAATGAATGAATCATATTTTAGGTTATGTAATATCAATGATGTTTTTTATTGGTCTTAATATGAATAATCGGTCGGGGAGAACCAATTTTGCATTAAATTTCCCGGGGGTTTGGTCGCAGTCTTTGTACTAGCAGATCCCCGGTCTAAATTGGTTGCAGTGTTGCCAACAGTTCTACAAAAAAAAATCAAAAATAACCTCCTTCTCAAATTTAAATTTAACTTACCCCTGTTGACCCACTGCAACAATTTCGCCATCATCCATAATCTTTTTCAAATTATGTACGGAATAACGATTGTACATCCCCCAGATGCTGTTCATTAATTTACTGTTGTATTTCATCGGGGTGTACGCCATCTGGTCTAAAAAGAAACAATTAAAGCGGGAAATTTGAAATGGAACTTTATTTACGATCAATGTTGAAAGGTTTCTTTTCGTCGATGTTTTGCATTCTTTGGATGGTTTTTTCGCGATTTTCCCGAACTTTGCAGACGGCGAAAGCCGCGTGGCCAACAGTGGACATCTTAAACGATTCTAAAAATAATTATTGATTATTAAGTAAGTCGCAAAAATTGAATCCAAATTTTACCTGAGGATTCTTTTTGATTACAATAGCACATAAATCGACGATTTTCCAACAAAATCATAAAATTTCGCTTCAAACAAGCACTTATTAAAATTCTTCTCAGTTCTAAAGAGAACTGAGACAAATATGAAATATATTGATGTTTAAAAAGGAAAATGATCGAGATTAAGTCCGGTTAAAGTTCAAATAGATAATTTCGCGTCTTTGTTTACGTATTTAAATGGTTAAAATTAGCTAAAACTTTAATTTGGATAACAGATTTACGAGTACGATTGTTTTAAAACTCTAAAATATAATAAATCCTTTTGTGGCGAGTCTTATTCGTTAGCAAAAATGATAAGGTCATCTTAAAATGATAACCGAGGCGATTCGTGAGGTTGCCAAATCGATAAAAGAACAGGATAAAACCAATTTTAATGGAAAATTACCGACATGAGAGTATTTGGGTCATAGCGATTTTAATTTACGAAAATATTATTTAAAATTAAATCTTTTTAACTGATTGTTTGTTAGATTTTAAAGTTTATTTACAACTTAAATCAAAATTTTCCACTTCAAAATAAAAATATGAAACGTCAAAAATGTCAAAGTGACATTTGACATTTTAGGTTATTTGTGTATAATAAATAATAACATTTGTCCAACAATTAGAGCCGTTAGATTTGACGAGATCACTAATATCAGTGATTAAAGTATGTTAAAAATGTTTAGAAAGTAATTGTTTTAACATGCTGAGTATCGCAACACAAATTAGTATGTATATGAAGTTGCCTAACATTAAAAAAGATAAGATGAGATTAAAATAAATCCGAACATTTTTATTCACAATCAGTTGTGTGCACTCAAAGTGTTATCATCACTTAACATATTACGTAACGAGGATCATCCCAAAAATCGTGCTAATTTATTCAAAAAAAAAATTATTTTGGTAAGAATTAAATTTTAGATAAAAAAATCTGTTTAAATCGAGTTTATTCTCATAAAAACCCGCTTTACTCAACATAAATACGTTTAATTTAGATGAAATAAATAAAAAGATTATTTGCTCAACTTTATCTTTACCTAAAGTAAAGATAAGAAATGTTAAGGTTTATGTAGATTAAAAACCCCGCCAAATTTTGAATCGTCCCGTCAAATGCGGGTTATTTTTATTGGTTATAATTCATATTGGTTAAAAACCCTATTGGTTATACCCCCTACTCATCGCCGGTCTCGTTAATGTGGGCATTATACATACACACGCATACAGAGGCGCACGTTACCCCGTTCTGTTTGAGAATTTGTTACACCGTGACATTTCATTAATTTAAAAAATTAAAACATGAACGGCATATTAAAATTCGGACCGATATCCACATTTTTAAGAGCCACAAAAATCGTAAGTTACAAAATTTCGCACAAAAAAAAAAAAAACCTCAACACCTGAAACCGTTTAGGTTACATAACAAAATTTCCACAAATCTTTTTTGATTTACGTCAAAAGAACATTCATTTACTTTTAAGCTAAAAAACAACATTTCTTTTTAGATTGGGCATGGAAAATCATCGTCAATTGGGGCTTTATCGAGAGCCATGCACGTCTCCGTTAACAGGGGCGAAGCAAAACTCAACACAGACATGTCAAAAAGTTACCCCGTTTACGATCATAAATACGACGTTTTGGTTATCGGCGCTGGAGGAGCCGGATTGAGGGCTGCTTTCGGACTCGTCGAGGGTGGTTTTAAAACGGCCGTTATCACGAAATTATTTCCAACGAGATCGCATACTATCGCGGCGCAAGGAGGTGTAAACGCTGCATTATGTAAGTTTGAAAGTAATGATTATATCAAATATTAAAAGAATTAATAAGAGATTTGTCAAAAAAATTTGAGGTTATGGTCACAAATTTCTTCATTAATTAATTTCCCCAAAAATAATATTTATTATTTCTCTAATCACTTAAGATTAATGGATTAACTTTTTATCATAAAAATAAATTGTTTTATTACCTGATTATTTATATCAAACATTAAAGTCAAAAATTTTTTTGAGGTTAGGTTCAAAATTTTTTTTATCATTATTTTTTTTGATCACTTAAGATTAATTGTTATGATAAAGCTAAGTTATTTTATTACATACCTTATTTATATCGAATTTTCTTCATTTAGTTGCTTGAAATTAATTAACTTTAAAAGAATCACTTAATAACACCACAACTGTCAAAAAATTTTGAGGCTACGTTCAAAAATTTTTTCATAATTTTTTTTAATCACTTAAAATTAATTGTTATGATAAAACTAAATTTGTTCATTACCTGATTAGTATCGAATTTTCTTCATTTAGTTGCTTTACATTAATTAACATTAAAAGAATCACATAAAACACAACTGTCAAAAAATTTTTGAGGTTGCGTTCAAAAACTCTTTCATTAAAAAATAATATTTATTATTTTTTTTAATCACTTATGATTAATTGTTATGATAAAACCACGATTTATATCAAATTTTCTTTACTTGTTTCAAATCAATTAAAATTAAAAGAATCACTTAATAATAACACAACTGTCAATAAAATTTTGAGGTTGGGATCATAAATTTTATAACCTCTTATTTTTTTATCTAAAAATAATAAACTCAAAGATAAAAATCACTGATACATCTTTACAACTTAATTGCTTTTTAATAATGACATATCAATTTGGCCCCTTCAATGCAATAAATCATTTTTTATTGATAAAATTTTTTTTAAACAGCAAATATGGAAGAGGACCATTGGTTATATCACATGTACGATACCGTAAAAGGTTCCGATTGGTTAGGAGATCAAGATGCGATTCATTACATGACTCGGGAGGCTCCGCAAGCTGTCGTTGAGTTGGAAAATTATGGATGCCCCTTCTCGAGGACTAAAGATGGTAAAATTTATCAACGCGCCTTTGGGGGGCAATCGCTTAAATTTGGTAAAGGGGGCCAAGCGCACCGGTGTTGCGCCGTGGCTGATAGAACGGGGCATAGTATGTTACACACACTTTACGGGCAATCTTTAAGATACGATTGTAATTATTTCATTGAATATTTCGCTTTGGATCTAATTATGGATGGGGATAAATGCAAGGGGGCGATTGCTTTGAATATGGAGGATGGAACTTTACACAGATTTTTATCAAATAACACGGTTAATTAGTTAATTAATTAATTAAGTAATTTTATTAAAATAAATTACTTTGTAGGTTTTAGCCACGGGCGGGTTTGGGAGAGCTTATTTTTCTTGCACCTCAGCCCACGCTTGCACAGGAGATGGGCACGGTTTAATTTGCCGCGCAGGTCTTCAACTCCAAGATATGGAATTTATCCAATTCCACCCAACGGGGATTTACGGCGCCGGTTGTTTGATGACGGAAGGATGCCGAGGCGAGGGGGGATTCTTAATAAACAGCAAAGGAGAGCGTTTCATGGAGCGTTACGCCCCCGTTGCGAAAGATTTGGCGTCTCGGGACGTCGTTTCTCGCAGTATGACGATCGAAATTCGCGAAGGGCGCGGAGTTGGCCCCGAAAAAGATCACATTCACCTCCAACTACATCATTTACCAGCGGAACAAATTCATTCGAGGTTACCTGGAATCGCCGAGACCGCTTTAATTTTCACAGGGAGGGATGTCACGAAAGAACCGATTCCTATTATTCCAACGGTTCATTATAATATGGGGGGAATCCCAACGAATTATAGGGGACAGGTTTTAGTTAACCATGATGGTCACAACGACAAATTCATCCACGGTTTATACGCTTGTGGGGAAGTCGGTTGTTCGAGCGTGCATGGAGCGAACCGTTTAGGGGCTAACTCCCTCCTTGATTTAGTTATTTTCGGAAGAGCTGTTGCAAACACCATTAAAGAGTGCCACAAACCCGGCGAATCCCCCGGTGAATTAAAAACCAACGATGGTGAAAATGGGGTTGCGAACTTAGATAAATATCGCTACGCTAAAGGAAGTGTAAAAACAGCCGATTTACGTTTGGCCATGCAAAAAAATATGCAAACGAACGCCGCGGTGTTCCGCCGTGAAAAAGAAATGAAGGAAGGTATTGATAAACACATCGAATTGTATGGCAAATTAAAAGATGTTGGAATAACCGATCGCAGTTTGATTTGGAATACTGATTTAATCGAAACTTTGGAGTTGGAGAATTTGATGATGTCCGCATCGCACGTTGTGATTTCCGCCGAAAATAGGAAAGAGTCGAGAGGGGCTCATGCCCGCGAGGATTATCCGAAACGTATCGACGAATTCGATTATGCAAAACCACTCGAAGGGCAACAAAAACAACCGATTGAGAAACATTGGAGAAAACATACTTTATCAACGATCGATCCAGATACTGGTTGTATTAGCATTAGTTATAGACCGGTTATTGATGACACTTTGGACCAAAATGAATGTAAAACGGTTCCACCTGCTATTAGGGTCTATTAAATTTATCAAATAAATTTTTTTTATTTATTTGGATAAGTATCAAAGTGTACAGAATCGAAAATTATTTACATTTTTATTAAAAAAGAAAAATGTGATAAAACAACATCCTAATTGATTAATTTTTGTTGTTATTAATTTTTTTTTTCTTTTGAGGTCGGCGTAAAAATTTGAACAGGTTTAAAGAAACGTCGTAGAAATTAATTAAGTTATTATAGGTTTATTAACTTTTATTTATTTAAAAAAAGTATTTGTGGCAGTATTTTTCGCCGACTTATTAAAACATACTAAATAAATGCAACAATTAAAACTTTAATCCATCTTTTTATTACAATTTAACCCCACTTTTTGGTTTATGAGAGAACAGTCAAAAAATGTTGAGGTTATAGTTACAAATTTCTTCATTATTAATTACCTCAAAAATAATATTTATTATTTTTCTAATCGCTTAAGATTAATGGATTAATTTTTTATCGTAAAAATAAATTGTTTTATTACCTGATTGTTTATATCAAACGTTAAAAGAATCACTTAATAACAATTGTCAAAAAATTTTGAGGTTACGTTCAAAAATTCTTTCATTATTATTTTTTTTAATCACTTAAGATTAATTATTATGATAAAACTAAATTATTTTATTACCTGATTTATATCAAATTTTCCTCATTTAGTTACTTCAAATTAATTAAAATTAAAAGAATCACTTAATAACACAACTGTCAAAAAATTTTGAGGTTACGTTCAAAAATTTTTTCATTACTATTTTTTTAATCACTTAATATTAATTATTACGATAAATCTAAATTATTTTATTACCTGATTTATATCAAATTTTCCTCATTTAGTTGCTACAAATTAATTAAAATTAAAAGAATCACTTAAGACAACTGTCAAAAAATTTTGAGGTTACGTTCAAAAATTTTTTCATTACTATTTTTTTAATCACTTAATATTAATTATTATGATAAAACTAAATTATTTTATTACCTGATTTATATCAAATTTTCCTCATTTAGTTGCTACAAATTAATTAAAATTAAAAGAATCACTTAACACAACTGTCAAAAAATTTTGAGGTTACGTTCAACAATTTTTTCATTAAAGAATATTTATTATTTTTTTTTAATCACTTAAGATTAATTAAGATTTATATATTAAATTCTGATAGTTCTAAGAGTTCTATAAACGAAGATGGCTTTTAAGCTGAAAGTAGTCAGATAATTATATTTTAATAAACGACCAGTTGAAAGTACAGAAAGTTCACATATTTTTAATATCAAACCTTTACATCATTTTATTTTACACTTTTTAGATACATTTCTTTCTCACTTAACCCATTTAGCTTTACGCTTCTCAATAAAACTTTTAACACCTTCTTGCCCATCTGGTAAATTAATATTATCGACCATAGTAGTTCCCCCCATTTCATACGCGCTTTTTAAATCAAATTGAATTTGTTTGTAATAAAATCGTTTCCCCAATTCGATGACCGCGCGACTTTTCGATATAATCGCCGAAGTTATTACATCTAAATCGTCCTGTAAAGATTCTTCGGTTGAAAGTTTAGAAACAAGCCCGATTTGTTTCGCTTCTTGAGCGCTTATCGGAAGCCCGGTGAATAACATTTGGAGGGCGTTCATTTTTGGGACGCATCGTGCTAATGGAATTCCAGGGGTTGAACAAAAAATACCGAAAGTTGCTCTAAAAAATTTTTTTTGAGGTTATGTAAAATTTATTTTAAAGTTTTACTTTACCCCGGTGTTGAGAACGAACTTTTCGTTGTACAAATCGCCATATCACATTGAGCGACTAATTGGCACCCGGCGGCGGCGGCTACTCCATTAATTTTCGCAATAACCGGAACTGGACTTTCCACAATCGACATCATCAATTCGGCGCATTTATTGAAAACTTTTTCGTGCTCTTTCCTACCTAATTCAGGAAGCTAATTTTTTAATTATTATTTGCGATTAAGTTAATGTTGGTTTTTGTACCAATTCTTTAAAGTTATGTCCAGCTGAAAAAACAGGTCCTTCTGATGATAAAACGATAACTCTAACTTCATCATTTAAGCCCCCTTCGCGTATTGAATTTATTAAATTATCCATCATCGGGGTTGATAAAGAGTTTCTAAATCATCTTTAATAAGTAATGGGGAATTAAATTAATTAATTAAGTTTTACCGTGTTTTTGAGTCACACATTATTACATTTTGTACCCCATTTAATAACGAAACTTTTGTTAAGTTTTGTGTTCCAAACTAAAAGAAGTTTGTATGGATTAATTTATTAATAAATAATCATTTTAGCAATTACCTTTGATAATAAATAAGATGTTGTTCGAAAAGCCATCTTTTACAAAGTTCAAAATATGGGGCTATTTTTAGATTTTTTTTAAAGATTATTTCAAATTGAATTGAATTATTAAATAAAATTATTATTAAATCTAATCGTTATTACTTATTAGTCTTATTACAATTAATTTAAATAAAAATATAGTTTAATGAAAATTAATTTTAGGTTATGTTTTATATTAACGCCATTTGGGTTGCATAACTTTTTTGTGATAAATTTAATAAAATTACTTAAAGTAATTATTGCTCTTTTTTACCTAATTCAGCTAATTTTTTAATTAGTATTTGTGATTAATTTAATCTCGGTTTTTGTACCAATTTTTTAATGTTATGTTCGGCTTTAATGATAAAACGATCACTCTAACTTCATCGTTTAAGCCCTCTTTTCGTATTGAATTTATTAAATTATCCATCATCGGGGTTGATAAGGAGTTTCTAAATAATTTATTAGATTAATTTATTAATAAGTAATTATTTTAGTAATTACCTTTGATAATAAATAAGATGTTGTTTGGAAAGGCATCTTTTACTTTATTTTTAGATTTTTTTAAATTTTAATTCAATTATTAAATAAAATTATTATTAAATGTAATGATTATTATAATTAAATTAAATAAAAATAAAATTTAATGAAAATTAATTTTAGGTTATGTTTTGCATTAACGTCATTTGGGTTGCATATTTTTTTTGTGATAAATTTAGTAATATTACTCAAAGTAATTATTATTATCAGATAATGAAATTATTAAAAAGAAATGAATGATTTAATAATTTTAATAAAAAAAAGTAATGTAATAAAAAGCGATGAATAGATAAAGAAATAGCGGTTATGTTTGGTGACGACGCGTGCGCCCTCGCGAAGTTAATCGCGAACTCAGCCAGTTGTTTCCGAATGTTTGCGCCGTGTACATGTTATAAATCGTCTCCTCTCTTATGAAAAGTGAAAATCCGGTGATTATTTTTCGGGATTATCGTCGTTGTTACGCGAATAAACCACAAATTCTTACTTGGAGAATCAAAACCACCAAAACGGGAATAAACCCCGTTACATAAATCGACTTCATTTCAAGACAACGCCCCGTAAAAAAATCAAAAGTGTTCATTGAAACGCAACATTGAAAGAAGATTAAATACGGAATAGAACGACAGTTATAAAATATAGTTTCTTTTTCGATTGGGATTTTCGGACGGGGACAATTTTTTTAGTTCTATCCTTTTTTTTAATGTTGGTTTAACGTTCTTTTCTCTCTCTTTCTCCTATGATTGTGGCCGAGGTTTGTGCGAGTGTGTGTGTACCTATAGTTGGCTAATGTAAAAACATGGCCGCCTGAAACCACCACAGATCGGAGGAAACCAACACTTTATATGTCTTTTGTTGGTCGAAATTAGAAATAATCCGGACGAGAATGGAGCTCCGGGTCGGAAACAAATACAGACTCGGACGGAAAATCGGTTCGGGTTCTTTTGGTGACATCTATTTAGGTAAGAAATCAACATAAAATTTTTTTTTAACCATTTTTTTTACGATGACAGTTCTTGTCTATAATAGACGTTATAAATTTCGATTGCGGTTATAAAATAAACAAAAGATTATTTTTTTTCATCTCTTTCTTTTTATTTAAAAAAAAAGGAGAAAAACCTTTTTAACCTTAAAAATTGACATGTTCATTTTGACGTTTCACAAAAAAATTATTTTATCACTTTAAAACTTTAAAGGAATCGATTAAATTTAACGATTATTTATTAAATTTGATTTGAACAATCAAATCATTACGATTAAATTAATTTTTTACGAAATTAATTTTAATAAGCAAGTTTCTCTTTGTGCTTTATTTCGATTACACCATGTTAAAATAAAAATTAAATTCGTTTCAATTTAACGGTTAACAATTATGAATATGTGTTGCATTGGTATAATTAATTTGATAAAGGATTTATCAAGGGCGATAAAACACGCTTTTTTTTTTTAATAAATATACATAAAATTTAAAGAATTAAGGTTAGGGATTTTCTTTGTAGGTCAGGACACGGATTTAGATTAAAAATAACCACCAATAAACCGGTTTTATTAGCAATTTACAAAACTTGGTCACTTTTTATTGAGATTTATGCTAAAATTAATTCAACATAACCTAAAAATCAAAAAAAAATCACAAATGAAGTTAGCCTCAAATTAAAAAATGACAATTTGACATAACCTAAAAAAAATTATTTCTAATTTAATTTATTTATTTTTTAGGTACTAATATTTCAACGGGAGAAGAAGTTGCGATTAAATTAGAATGCATCAAAACTCGACACCCACAATTACATATAGAATCAAAATTTTACAAAATGATGCAAGGCGGAGGTAAAAAACTTTTATTAATTATTCAATTAACTTCCTACATAACACTTTTAAGTAAATGTCGACTTATATAACGAGATCATATGTTAATTTTAGTCCTTCGATTTATTTTAATTTATTCTCAATTAGTTAGAGTTTATTTAATTTAATTTTTAGTTGGAATACCGCAAATAAAATGGTGTGGATCTGAAGGTGATTACAATGTGATGGTGATGGAGCTTTTAGGACCATCTTTGGAAGATTTATTTAATTTTTGTTCGCGCCGTTTCTCATTAAAAACCGTACTATTACTTGCCGATCAATTAATATCTCGCACCGATTTCATTCATTCGAGGAATTTTATTCACCGCGACATCAAACCGGATAATTTTTTAATGGGTCTTGGTAAAAAAGGAAATCTTGTTTACATCATCGACTTTGGTTTGGCCAAAAAGTATCGCGACGGACGTAGTCATGTTCATATACCTTATAGAGAAAACAAAAATTTAACCGGTAATAAAATAAATAATAATTTTTTTTTAAATATAATTATTGTTTATTTAGGTACTGCACGTTATGCAAGTATAAACACCCACTTAGGTATTGAGCAATCAAGAAGAGATGATTTGGAATCGCTCGGATATGTTCTGATGTATTTTAATAGAGGTTCCTTACCTTGGCAGGGTTTAAAAGCAGCCACAAAAAGACAAAAATACGAAAGAATTTCGGAAAAGAAGATGTCAACACCAATAGAAGACCTCTGTAAAGTATGTTTTAATTTAATCATTTGTGATATTATTCAGAAATTAATTTTATTTATTTGTTTTAAGGGTTACCCTGTAGAATTTCCTACATACCTCAATTATTGTAGGCAATTGAGGTTTGAAGAACGCCCTGATTACAGTTATTTGAGACAATTATTTAGGACACTGTTTCATCGGCAAAGTTTTACTTATGACTATGTATTTGATTGGAATATGCTCAAATTTGGTACGTATTTATAAGGCTAAAATCATTGGCTAAACCCTCTATAATCTATGAGATTATATGGAATGTCTTTGATATCATTGTTACTTTTATGTTAAAAGTTTATTACTAATTGGGTCGTTTTTACACAAAAGATGAAATCTACAATGTTGGGTTCACCCCCTTTGTTTTATTTGATCATGGGGATTGTAAAATTTTCGTTGAGGGATTAATTTTTATCTTTTTGTTGATTTAAAGCATATATTATTATCAAGCTGGATTAAAGATATTATGATATTAGGCTTTAATGTACAGCTATAAACGTTTGAAATTACTGTGGAGATGTTATTAATAGAAATATTAAATGAAAGGGAAGCTTGTATGATAAATTTTAGGTTTTAAATGATTCAGGACGATTTTCAATAGAGTTGTATTAGTTGGGTTAGGTTGGACATTATTGTTATACTTTTCTCCTTGTGATTTTTTAATCCATACACTCACACTGCTAATCAAAAGGTTATGGAGCTAAAATCATTAGTTTAAACCCATCTATGAGATTATATGGAATGTCTTTGATATCATTGTTACTTTTATGTTAAAAGTTTATTACTAATTGGGTCGTTTTTATACAAAAGATGAAATCTACAATATTGGGTTCACCCTTTGATTATATAATTAATCCATACATTCACACTGCTGATCAAAAGCTACTCTCTTCCAGGTTCTGATTTGATTTAAAGCAACACATTGGACTTACAAGTTAAGGATATACTATTATCAAGTTGGATAAAGATATTGTGATATTAGACTTTAATGTATAGCTATAAATATTCGAAATGGCTATGAAGATATTATTAATAGAAATATTAAATGGAAGGGAAGCTTGTATGATAAATTTTAGGCTCTAAACGTATACATATTAATTCTGGACGATTTTCAATGGAGTTGTATTAGTTGGGTTAGGTTGGACATCATCATTATACTTTTCTCCTTGTGATTTTTTAAGCCATACACTCACACTGCTGATCGAAAGCTACTCTCTTCCAGGTTCTGACTTGATTTAAAGCAACAAATTAGACTTACAAGTTAATGATGTACTATTTTCAAGTTTTATTAAAGATATTATGGACTACAGACCATAAAGTTGTTATCACAATGAGGCTTTAATGTACCCCTATAACTTTAAACATTCGAAATGGCTATGAAGATATTATTAATAGAAATATTAAATGGGAAGCTTGTATGATAAATTTTAGGTTCTAAATGATTCAGGACGTCATCATTATACTTTTCTCCTTGTGATTTTTTAATCCATACATTCACACTGTTGAGTTTTTCATCACTTCATTCTCCTCTATATCATTCTGAAACTGATCATTATATTGTGATGTTGCGGCCTTGTAGATCTTTTGATTAATTAAGTGTGGCATATTGTGGCTTTGCAACTTTGTAGACTTTTAGATTGACTAATTGAGCTGAGGTTGGGTTTGCAGCATTTTTAAACCTTTGGGTTGTAATCCTATGGAGCAGATTTTGTGTTGCCACTAACAGTTTAGTGCTCAACCTACAGTAGTTAGTACAGAAGTTCATAGTCAACCTAGTAAAAAACCTAGTAATTTTTTTCACTCTCCTATAAAGCATGTAAGACAATAAAGATAATTATCATCTCTATTTGATTCATTAATAGCTTATATAGAATCAATAAATTATAACGTTTTGATAGAGATATTTGAATTAAAGAGTGACGTGAAGAATATTTAGCTGAAATATAAGCAAAAACCTCATAACTGGATTTTATCCAAAAAACGTTAATAGACTTGCAGAGCAATACTGAAACAAATCTTTCATTATTATCAAACTTCGCAAAAACCATCAATCTCAACAGTCGCAGTAAAAGTTTATCTAAATTAAGTTACTTTAAACTTATCGAACCTAAGAAAAAAAGTATCGATTTTTTGATCTAACCATCAATTTCTTCGTGCTCTCTTCTTCACAATTACAAAGCGGATCATTTTTATTGCAGGTCCTGTGGAAATATATGATCTAGTCTTAATCTGATGATTAAGTTATAGAATTGTGGTGTATTAATGTATTTTAGTCCCACATTTATTTATATTTTTGATATGCAAACTAAATAAATTGCTCCCAAAGCAATACATGGATATATTAATATCATGCATCTCGAACTGAATCACTAGAATCTTTAACATTGTGCTTTACAATGCTCCTTTTGGCTTCCACGTGTAGTTTTTGTCGTTAAATATTGTTTCTTGTTGGTTTTGCAGTGAAACTCTTTCAAATAATTAACGAGATTCGAATCTAGAAGAATTCTTTTTATTGAATATTCAGATTCTCAATGTTTCTATTCGCTTGAACGATCCGAAACATCCAACATTCAAATTAGTTGAGCTTTTTGGAAGATAAAGAATCAGTTAAAAAAATTTAATAATATACAGGGTGATTTATAACATACGGAGCAGACTAAAAGGGTAGGTACTAGGAGCCAAATTGAAAATATTTTTCTAATAAAATTTTGACCACAACTTAATAATCACAAAGATATAGAACGTTAAAGTTGAAGTAATGGCCGAGCATTTCTTACCATATACGGTATTACACTACGCTTAAATTCAAACTGCGAATATTTCGGGGTCACTTGAACAATGCATAATTAATAAAAATAATAAAATCTTTATAACATAGCAGTTACGGCTATTTAAAAATTTGTTAAAACGCTCAAACGGTGGTGTTTGTTTATTGAGAACCGAAGACGCCACGAGAGCTGGCAGTAAATCATCGTTTTCCGCTGTTACAAATGCCATACGTAGTAAATTAAAATTCACAAACCGCTAGAGAATAATTTATTACATTAGTTTAATATGTCTATTGTACAATTCAAATAGCCACGTCGAAAAAGTACGTCTGTTCTTCTAAGGGATGTACCTCTATAATTATAACCTCAAATTGAAACGTCTTGTGAATCTGTTGGTGTTTTCACAAGCCGAAAATGAAATAAATTAATAATTAATGAATAAATTATGAACCACTGTTTAAATAAAACTTACTTAACCCTTTGTGTCCCAAGAAGTCAAACATTTTGAAACTTTGTGACAGAATCAGACAGAATTAAAACGTTATTTAAAAAATTAACATGCGATATCTATGTAACTATTAAGTTTTATTAAGTTTTTTATTAAGAAAATCTCTTCAGTTTTACCTCCAGTACCTACTCTTTTAGTCTGCTCTGTATGTTATAAATCACCCTGTATGTTAAATATAATTATTGTGAATGCAAAAGGTGATACAAGAAAGAGAAATAAAATTGATGAGACTTTGTTAAAAAAAAATTGATTGAAGTTGTTTCTCAAATAATAAAATTGTTTATCTACCCCCTTGAAACAATGTTTTGATATTTTTAAGTCTATTGGTAAGTTATTTGTTTTGGCATTTGAATCTTTTGGGATGAGTCAGCTTGAAGGTGTTCCAAATGAATTCATTAATGTATTCACTAACCTTAACAACGCCAGAATTTATTGCTTCATGTACAAAGTGGTGAAATTTTGACATTGAAAATGGAATTCTTTCACTTCTAGAATGTTTTTCAGTTTCATCAGAAGCACATTGTAGTATTTTGACCACCAGTTTTTATAATCTATATCTTCTGTTGCAACTTCCTTTATAGTAAAAGCGTAAACTCGGTACTTTCCGTAAGTTTCTCTTAATCATTCCAAAATCTTTATCACAGGGCAAAAAAGAATGTCCTCACTGCTACACTTTTTATTAGTGATTCTTGTTTTGCCCTGGACAATTATCAGAAAACAATTTATAATGGAGTATTTTTCTATACACTCCATTATGAATGTAGTGACTTCTTTAGAGTAATTTGTTTGTCTTTAAGTCGTGAATGCAGAACAAACTTAATTAAAATTGGTAAAAAATGCTAAAGGTTATTTCTTCGTGGTGTTTGATGTTTTCTTTAAGCTTATAGCTGAGGTTGGTAATGTTATATGTTTTGTAATATCTTATATTGAGACTTTGTTGTTTCATTTGATGCGTTTTTAAAACACAATTAGCGTTCCAGGTGTTTTATTTTGATCCTTTTGTTAAATTCAATGTACTTTATTTGTGTCATCAACCACTTCAAATCCTTGTGATAGGAGAGCAGTCTTTATCACTTAGCCTGATCAACTAGCTCTGATTACAGAGATTACTTACAAATTGTATGGACGCTCTGAACATTTCATTAATCCAGTGGTAATCCATGGTTTTCTAAAGGTTAAAGGTTAATAATAATGATATCATCATTATACAGTATTATTAACAGATTTTGACAGGATAACATTGATGAACTATACTAAGGAGTCGTGTCTTTAAAGCTGTTTTATCAAAATTAGATTACATATAATAAATAAATAAGATGAGGTAATAAAATTGAATTATTAATTATTTTTAGGTGGTCCAAGAGGTGCTCACGGTGAAGAAAGTGGAAGATCCGGAACGAGATACGGCTCTCACGCGGCCACACCCGGCGATTCAACTCCTTCAGCTCCTCAAACGCGAGCGAGACGGCCCCACGAACGCATGGATATCGTCCCAAACAACGCGGCCGCACCTTTAGATGATGTTATAACCAGTAGTAACTAATTAAATCATTTTTATTAAGTCTAATAACTCGCAACAAAAAACTTTTCTTAGATTCACCGAGATTATACGAAAGCGAGCGAAGAGTATCGATGAGATTACGAGCGGGACAAGGTGCTCCAAACGCTTCTACCTCCGATTTAAGTAATTCAAAGCAGGCAAAGTGAGTAGATTAGTTTAATAAACCTCAAAGAAATCGTTTTAATTTTTTCGTGGGTGTCTTATTTTGTTATTTATTTATTTTTTGTTTAATCTTTTTGTTTCATTTTTCCCCCATCATCACCATCACATCATCATCAAATAAAAATTAATGCTTTGCTTATTTGGATTTAAAAAAAAAATCCAACACAAAACCTATGTGTCTCGTTTTGTTTCATTCTGGAAGCGCCAGCGGCGTGGGGATGGCACCACCAAGTCAAGCGGTGGCGGCGGCCGCGGGGGCTGTGCAACAAGCGCCCCCGAGGCGGGGCAGCGCGTCCAAAGACTCGCAAGCCGGCCGGATCAAAAAATGAAACGCTAAAAACAACAACAACCCCTTTATTTAACACAAAATCAATTTCTGGACGTCGAGTATTCTCACAATAAAGTTATCGTAATTATTTGAGTTTTTTAAAAAACATTCCCGGTGAGTGAATATGAAATGAAATAAAAATAAAGACGTTTTTGAGTGCGGAGAGTGATTTCAAATAAATTTACATTTCTCGTTTATGTTTTTGTTTATTAAATTTGTTGTGGTGTTAAGGCATCCTTTGTGCTTATTTTTTTGAGGTCAAATTGTTAAACGGGGAGGTTTATTTGTTATTTTTATATGAATAGGGTGGATTCGAAAACGAAGAAGAGGTTGGGGTTCTTTTAAACGGAAGTCGCCACGATGTGAGAGATTGTATTAATTTTTTGTTGTAAATATAAGTTTTTTTTAACAATTAGACAAAAAGGGTTTTAATAGATGATTTTTTTTGTGCGTGTAATATAAAAAAATTAAAAATAATATGTGTAGAATATTTATATGCATAATTCTAATTTAAAAAATGAAAAAAAAAAGTTATTTTATTTTTTTTTTAAGACTGAAATAAGCAAAAACGATTTAGTTTTATTAAAAAGTAACCCGAAATAAAACGCGTAGTAAGATAAGATTTGACTGTACATTTATTATTATTATCATCATTACCTAACCTACAATTATTGTCTTTATTATTTTCTCGTTTTTATTTTAGGTATTATTTGTGATACGTTTACGTTTATTATTAAATAATTATAAATATTAGAGATAATCGTTAATTAACTTAATTAAAATAAAAAGGGCGATTAAAAACACTAAAAAAAATAAATTGTTAGGTTATGTTTTTTTTATTTAATTTTTTATTTTTGAGGTTATAAAAGAGGTCGCGTCCATAAACTAAATTGACAGAAATACGAAATACCAAAACCGACAAATAAAAAAAGGAGAATAGACTTAAGTCGAGAACACTTAGAGGTTAGGTTTGTATACTTTTCTATGTGTTATATAGCTATTATAAGTAAATAAAGTGAAAAATTAAGTATGTATAAATAAATGCGATTTCATTCAAAAAATTTAATCAAAAAAAAAATTATGTTGGTAAAAAATAAACTGTCAAACGATGTGTCACTTTTAATTTAATTAATTTAATGAATTTCTTAGCACACAACGATATAACGCAACATATAAACATAAATTCTAAATGTTTAACATTCTAATTCAATAAAAAACCCAATTTGTCGTTTAAACGTCGACGAAATTGGATTTTTTCTTAAATAATAAGTGTCACGTGTCAAGTGTTCCAATTTAATTTGATTTCCGTTGATGTGAACTTAATTAAAAGAAATTGTACAGAAATTTGCGTTAATTTTTTCCTAAAACACAAAGAAGGGGATAAATTAGGAGCGGGAAAAAATTGTAAATTGTAAAATTAAGTTGTTTTATTTCTTACTATTGTAAATATGTTCTTAAAAACAGTCGGTGAAATAAAAAGATGCATAATAAATGGTAATTATTAAGTTTTTAAAAAACTTAACTTGTTTTATTTATTATACATTAAGATTCCTGAAAATTGCCAGAACAAAAATCAGATGCAAATAAAGAAAGTAGCAGGTTCTTCTTTTGCCAACAACAACAAGAAATTGTAATCAAAAATTTGAAACTACCGGTAATTTTATTCAATTTCAAACAATTTTAAACAATTTTACATAATTTTAAATCATAAACAAAAAATATAATCCGATTAAGATAAGATTTTGAGGTACAATTGTCACCCCTGAGTTAATAATGAAATATTTTGAGCCACACATAACGCAAGCTTGCAACTTAAAGTGCTCGATCGTTTCATTTGCGGCTAAATTCGGGCAAAATTCTTCGGCTTGGTTCAATTCCATGCAAGCGATTCGAGGTTCTTGTTGCCCATTAATATGCACTAAAAAATACAATAAATGAAATTAATTAATATTTAATTAAATAATTAACTTACTTTTATTGAAATAAACGCACGCCCCATTCGGATTAGTTTCAGCCCTTCTAATTAAATCGCCAGCGTAAAAAGTCTCCATTTGAGTGCTTACGCGATTCGAGAACTTAAAACATCTCGGATGTAAATAAGAATAAGCTAAATCGTCTTGGATGTTAATACAAGTGGTGTCATCGATTCCTTTGCACGGCGAATTAAGTTTACAACTCACTGTTAATAAGTTAATGATGACTCCAAGGAGTGCGAAGATTACTTTTGATTCCATTTTGGTGGTGTTAATTCGATGAGTGTTGAAGAACTGATGTTTAATAGTACGATTAAAACCGCTTTTATACCAAAAAAAAAATTTTATTGCAATAAAAAATTCTTTTACACTTATTAATTAATACATTTTGAAATTAAATTATTACAAGGTGATTACAAATAAAATAATTCCCAATAAAATCGCTGAGGCTTTATGCAACACCCCCGAATTGCAATCATCCGTTAAGCAATAATTGCATGTTTTTAAAGCGTAAGTTCCGTTGTATTCCGATTCTTTTTGTAAAAATTCGCAAGGATCTTCGATGTTGTTAGAAAGTTTAAAACAAGTTCTTCCAATACCCTCATCGATGATATTAGCCGCGGTACCTAAAAATAATCAGTTATTATTATCATATTAATAAATTAATTTAGTTAAATTTACCTGGTTTTAAGCTGTATTTAATACAAGCGTATTTAACCCCATCATCGGCTCTTTCGTGGTTTTCGGCAAATCGAATGAATGAATGTGGATCATTACTACTTTGGGAATACATTAAGGTACTACATTCGATTCCGTTGAATTTTGATGAATCAAAGGGATCGTCACACTTTGGGTCTGATTTTGATTTGCATTCGTAGCAAGTTTTAACGTTTGCCAAAGTGGAACCTATATAGAGACATGAATTACGTAATAATAACCAAATTATATTTAATAATTAAATTAATGATTACTTACCGAAAATGGTTAAAAAGATGGAAACGGTAAGGATTTTTTGAAACATTTTTGCTGGTTAGTGTTTGAGTACAAAATGGTTTTTACTGTTCAATAGTTGGAATAAAGATTATCTCTGTATCATTTATGTTTGAGGAGTGGGTACCTATTTGTTTAATAATTTTATCTAATCGGTGAAACAAAAATGTTAAATCTTAGAAAACCACGCCTTAGCTCATAATAAAAGCTTGATAAATGAAATCAATAGATTACTCATAAAAAAATTTTTTATTTAATTTATTTTTCCACTTTCTCATCTCACTATTTTAGGTAGCAACTACGCAAAAAAGTGGAAAAATGTATTAATAATTGATGGAAATTTCGATTTTATTTTAGAGTAAAAAAAAATCTCAAGGTCAAAGTTTCGAGGTGTGATTTTGAATTAAATCTTTAGGAATTAGGAGTGAAGTTGACATTTTTTTTTATATACCTGTCAATGTCAAATTTTTAGGATTTCTGTTGGTATTACTCTAGTAATATTTTTAGTAACTAGATACAATACTAACATTACATAAATTACAGAGAATTTTATTTAAAATGCAACATGTCTGAATGTTTCTAGGTCTAATGTTAGTTCTAGTGACAATGGTAGCTTGTCTTTTGCAATCATAGATGCATCGCTCTTATGGCTGAACCTTGAGGTACACCACATGTCATATTCTCGTCTCTTCCGCCTGGAAGTATTATCTTCCTTTCTAAGAGACCTGATCTGACAATTCTTCATCGCCTCCATTATCTTCCCCCATGGTCCTGAGTTGAATGTATTTCTTATATCTAGGATTACCATTATAGAGGCTTCTTTATGTTAAAGAAGTTTTCTCCTGTTCTCTTTTTACAGCATCTACCGTATCAGTACTGCTCTTGACTTAATATTACATCCTCCTCCAACTGCTCGCACAAATCCTTCCATATTCTTTCATTGTTTCTCTTTATTACTAAAGTGAGGTTCTTTTTTTCTTTCCTATACTGTGCCAGCGTTGTCTCGTATTCCTCCCTCGTGTGTAACTTCGCTCTTACTCTCTATAACACTCTCCTCATTCTGACACAGCGATCCAACCAAACCTATAATAATCATACCGAACCCAACCCAAAGTAAGCCAACGCAATCCCAACTCATCCAATATATTTAAGACCCAAAATACATATATAGACCGCTGTAATTGAAAGGAATTCATCTCAACCTCAAACCACTCCAACCACAATGCAGCCTAATACAATATATAGTGCTAGTCTAAAACTAGAACTAACACTAGACACCAGAGATATTATCTTCTTCAATTTTTTTTGGTCCGAAACGATCAATTCGGTTCAATTCATCTTCGTCGTTTTATAACCAAATTGTAATAAACTCCATTTAAGCGCATTAATCCCATGTTGAAAAACAATAATTTTATACGCATTGGGCAACTATGATTGTTGTGCATTCTTTTCTGATCTAAAATCAATTTTATTAAGGTTAATTCTCATAATACAGTAAAATTTCGTTACAACGAACTTCGAATGTAACGGATAAAATATTTTTGTTATTGCCAAAATTGAAATGTGTGTATTAGTCGTGTTACAAACGATATTTCACATATTTTAGAAGCAAAAAATTTTCAAAAATTAAAATTGCGAATTTTGAGTTATGTTTGCAGTCGTGTAATTGTTTTAGCTTCTGCCAAATTTGAATTGTGTGTGGTCATTGTGTTTTTCTTAGATCATTTTCAACATCTTAGGAATAAAACATAATAAAAAAATTGCACTTCTAGATCTTGTGTTAGTTCTAGTATTGCACTAGTAGTATCACTAGAACTAACACCAGACTTAGAACTAGAATGTTTCCTACTATAGGTAACTACACTGTATAGTAGATATGGTAATATATTTTTGTATATTGCATTTTGAGTCAAATCCATGTCTTTGAGTAATTAAGCCGAGGCAGTGCAATATGTGTTGCCTAACTTCGTATTGGTGTGTATGTATTCTTTGTTATTAACTCAGCCGAGGTTACTTACAACCAAGGCAGTGCAATATATGTTGCTAAGTTTGTGTTAGTGTGAACGAATTAAGAAAAATATAGATAGATATATCATTTGGAACATATTTTATGATCAGAAAACTGATAAAAAATCAATTTCAACAGATTTCTGGCAATACAAAACACTTTGTAGCGATATTTAAAAGTTTTCTGATATATTTTTTAATTCCTGCAAACTTTTTTGTTTTTGACGGCATATTTTTTGCACTTATATCTTCTTTCCAATCTTAATTCATTCTGCACAATCTCATTTTTGTATTATTAGTTTATGTTCAGTCTCTTTTTCGTCTTCCTCCTTTCGGCCTAGTCTCTCCTATCTTTCCAGACTAGGTTCAGTCTCTTTTAGTTTCTCTCTTCTCTATTTAGTTTGTTTAACGGATTAACAAACTTTATCTCCGTGTGTCATATTAATGTGCAAAGTATTTCTGTCCACTTCAATGATTTGAGGGGGCTGAATTTATGCTTGTGGAACTGAAAAGTTCCTACAACAAGTTATTACTTGGCGTTTTTTACTGTCCTCCTCTTGTTAACTATTTTGATCAATTGGAGGAAACCCTTGAGAGGCACTCTTTTAATTATAACACTATTCTTCTGATGGGAGATTTCAATACTTGTTTGCTAAAAAATGACTTACGGAGTGACAAACTTCGCTTCATTGCTTCCTCATTAAATTTGACCATCCTGCCCTCACAACCAACTCATCATCTTCCAACTTCGCATTCGCTTCTGGATCTTACTATTACGACTCGTCCGAGCAGCATACTTATGCATGGTCAGCTCCCTGCTCCTCAATTTTCCAATCACGATCTAATTTACTGTGCAGTGCAGATACGACAACATATTTTCTCGCAACGCATTATTTCCGTTCGTGATCTGGGTCGTATTGATAACGATTTGCTGTTGTCTGATGCGCAGAGGATCGATTGGCTCCCGCTTTATCGAATGGCCGATATTGATGGCAAGGTTGACTACTTCAACTCTAAACTTATCAATCTCTATGACAAGCATGCCCCACTCAGACGACGTAGGGTGAGACATCCGCCCGCACCCTGGTTAAGTGATGAGATAAGATCACTGATGAGGGAGCGTAATCGTGCAAAGCTATTATTTAAACGTATTCCAAATACTATTAATCGTGAAAACTATAGGATCTTGCGTAACCGTTGCAATCACCAATGTAGAAATGCCAAAAAATTGTATTTCTACCGGAGACTATCCAATGCTAATCCGAGGACGTTTTGGAGGTTGATGCGTTCCTTAGGGGCGGTTGAGTCTCCCTCTGTTCGGGCTGCTTGTGATGTGGATTCATTGGCGAGGTTTTTTGCTGACCCACCTCTGCTCATTAGTGGTGGGACTAGGATGACAACTATTTCTGAAATTCTTGCCTCATCTAAATCCTCCTCTTTCTCCTTTGTCCTGGTCACAGCGTCAGAAGTCCGCGATGCCTTGAATCACTCGAGGTCTACGAGTGTGGGAGCTGATGGAGTTGGTCTCAAACTTCTTCTTCCTATATTGGATATTGTTCTTACTCCTATTACCCACATTTTTAACTTCTCCATTGAACGATCCTCATTCCCTTCAATCTGGAAGGTTGCTCATGTTGTCCCTATACCTAAATCCAAGAGTCCCTCAAGTTTAAATGATTTTCGCCCTATCTCCATTTTATCTGTTCTATCTAAAGCTCTCGAGCGCCCTGTTTATCTACAAGTTCAAGAGTATTTACAAGAATTTAACTTGCACAACGACTTTCAATCGGGTTTTCGTAAGAGTCATAGCACGACAACAGCGCTTATTAAGATTACAGATGATATTAGGTATGCTTGCGACAAACGTTGTGTTACCCTCCTTGTATTACTTGATTTTGGCAAGGCGTTCGATTCGGTTGATCACGATCTTTTGTTATTCCCGGGAGTTCTTTACCTCTTCATGTTTATCTTGGTTTCAATCTTACTTTTCCTGTCGTTCCTTGTGTGTGCGTGCTGATTCTGCGCTCTCATCTGCTTGTGATATTAAATGTGGTGTACCCCAGGGTAGTGTGTTGGGTCCGTTGCTCTTTTCGATTTTTATTAATGCCGTCACCCAATGTATTTCTTGTAATTATCATGTGTATGCTGATGACCTCCAAATTTATACTACGACAACTATTGATGATTTTCCGGAAGCAATTGCACGTCTTAATCATGACCTTTCCAATATTTTAGATTGGTCCAAACGTTATGGCCTTAAATTAAATACTGCTAAAACTCAAGCAATTGCATTTGGCAGTCGACCTTTACTGGTAAAGCTGAATAATTTTTCATCCATTCACTTAATGCTTGACGGAGACATTATTCAGCTGTCAGACACGGTTAGAAACCTTGGGGTGGTTATGGATTCTACAATGTCCTGGAAACCTCAAATTCAATCCGTCTGCAGAAAGGTCTATCATTGTTTCCACTCACTGAAAAGTCTCCGTTGCTTCCTTCCTCCCATGATCCGTCGTAATCTTTGTTTTTCCCTGATTTTCCCCCATATTGATTATGCTGACACGGCATATCCTGATCTTTCAGTAACACTACGAAACAAACTGCAAAGACTTCAAAACAACTGCATACGGTATATCTTTGATCTCGAGAGATCTCAACACATAACCCCATACCGTAATTATTTGCAGATATTAATCTGTCAGAACCGTAGATCGTTTCGTATATTAACTATGTTATATACTGTTCTTCACAATCAAACCCCAAAGGAATTTGTATTGTATATTTCAACGCTTGTCGTCGCATGGTTTACCTACTAGATCTCAGTTAGATTCTGTGCTTATATTCCCGACCCATAGTACCGAAATTTACCATAAATCGTTTGCTGTGCAGGCAGTAACCCTTTAAAATAGTCTGCCTACTGAGATCCGTAATATTCCTCACCTTGTAACATTTAAAAACCACCTAAAACGTCATTTATTAGCTCTCCAAGTATCTTCCTGAAAACTTTTTCTTCTCCCTTTTCTTCTCTTCTTCTACTTTTCTTCTCTTATCTTCTTCTTTTATTCCAGCAACTATCATTATGCACCGTTTTTGGTGACCATAAGTTTAGCATAGCGACTTGCCGTTCATTTATTGTTTTTCTTTATAACTTAGTATACTGCTGATTGATTGGGTTGCTTGGAAGATATCGCTTACGCGATAAATCGACCCTTTTGCCCGTATTTATGTATTAAGTTAAATGTATACATTTTCTTTAATTTGTATTTTTTGTTTCTTATTATGGCAACAAATTTATTTATTATTATTATTTATTTCCATTTTTCAGTTTACTAATAATACACTTTATTATTCCAGGATTTGTTCAACTTTTTTTCCCTATTAGTAGCTTTTTTCGGCTTTTTCTAGTTTCTGCTCAACCTGTTTTTGCAATTACCAGTTTTTCTTCAGTTTTTTGATCTTTGTACAGCATGTTTCTTGCACTTATAACTTCTTTCCAATCTTAGTTCATTCTGCACAACCTCTTTTTTGTATTATTATTTAGTCTATGTTCAGTCTCTTTCTTGCCTTTAGAGTCTCTTTTTAGTCTTCCTCCTTTCTGAATAATTCTAGGTCTTGTGTTAGTTCTAGTGTAAAGCTAGCAATATAATTCTCAGGGTTGTTTAAAACACAAAAATTGTACTTACATTTTTAAATTTAAATATTTCTGTACCTTTTTTTTTTTTGAAAATACAGTCTCAGCTATTACAATAAATATATCTATGCAAAAATAATCACAAAATAATTACATAGATCGAATTCAAGAATTAATAAAGAAATAATTAATTAAACAATAAAGAAAATAATTTTTTTCTCGCTACATAATTATTTTAACAACCACATTTTTAACGATCAAAAAAGAATTAATTGAAAACACGATAGAATTTCGATAAATTTCAATAGTATCACGATTTCTAATCTCAATTTTATATTTACAAAAAAAACCTTGCTTTTTATCCTATATATATTTATATCGAAAAATATCAATTAATTAATCCGTCTGTTATCCGCCGTTTAATTGTTTTTCTAATCTCACTTTTAGCGCCAATTTTTCTTCGCGAACATCGGCCAACTCTTGACTCAACTCTTGGCACAAACGTAACAAAACCGTATTTTGTTCTTGTAACTTTTTAAACAACTCAAATTTTTGTTTCTCCTCATCGCTCGGAGATTCATTTTTGGGGGTGGGTTTCCGATAGATTTCGAAAGCGCCGTGTTTCCGCGGAGGCTGATCGGGGATATCTAAATTACTCGAATTCGTCGTTGTACTTGTTTCTGGTACGGAGAATTGGGCGAAAAGTTTTTTTCGTTCCGCTTCGTATTGATCCCCGGGAAAAATACCTTCTTCTTGGACATTCTCGTACTTTTCAAAATCATCGAAATTCGCAAAATGTTCCGTTGGTAAATTAGTCGAGTCGCCTTCCGATTTTTGATTAATTAATTTTTTCGATTGGATGTTTGGACTGATTCGCGGTGGGACTGAAGGGGGTGCTAAGTTTTTGTTTAATTTATTTAGATCTAATGAAGAACTACGACCGTGGGATTTAAACGGACGTGGGGGTGGTGGTGGGGGTTTTTCTTTTTTTGGGGGAGGAAACGCGGGTAAAGAAACGGGGCCTTCTTCTTGGTGGGGTTGATTTGTTATGGGGGGAGGGGGGATTGCGCCAACAATTGGGATATTAATTTTTTTAGGTTGTGGGCGCTGAATGACGTTATTCATAACATTATTCATAACATTATTAGCAACACTATTAGCAACGTTTGAGTTATTCTGTATTTCTAAAAATTTTTTAGGGGAATTCCCCTCAGCGTTTTCTTCGTTCATTTGAAATTGCCCCTCAGGTGTTAACCTCAACGCAACTGGATGCAAAATTTTAGGATCTTTCTCAACAGCGCCTCTTTGAAAGTCGAAATTAACTGGCTTAGGCCCTGGGCTTGACACAGAACTCGTTGGGGAGTCCACGAATTTAGTCCACTCCCTTGCAGTGTCTTTAGTTTGTGGGGATAAAATTGGTTCAGTTTCTGGTGTTACAGATAAAGGGGTTTCATTCCCAGGGATTAATTGTACTGGTAGAACATCAGGGAGTTCAATATGATTCCTTCTTAAAACAACTAAATGCATGGCAGTGTTAAATTCTTGCAAACTTAAAGCGCCATCTTTCGTGACGTCCGCTAACTGCCAAATTTTTCTTAATTCATGTACAGGGAGTCGCGATTTCTCAAAGAAATTTCTCGCCACGTTTCCAGGAATTAAAGCGTTTAGATCCGACTGCAACCCTAAAAATTGGGTTTTGTAGTATTCTTTTTGTTCTGGGGTTATTGTCCAAACTTCATTTGAAACTTCTGTATCTTCTTCACTACTGTGTCTATCTGAGGATTCTTCTTCAGTACCCAATAATTGTCTTTGCTCATCAGACATAACCCCAAAAACCAACCAACTCCTATCTTGGACGCTATTTGTGGGTGTTGGACTATCAGAGGCTGCGCTCGAAGCTCCTGGCGACCCATTTCGCCCAAAACTTAACGTTTCTGAGTCAATTTCTGAGTCGGTACTTCCGTCAGCTGGTTGTTGCAGCTCAATTAAATCGGGTATGGGACTTGATGACTCCGACGTTGAGAATCTCGGCGGTGGTAAATCCAAATTTGAGGTTAGAATGTCTGAGTTTAATGTCATGTTTATTTGACTAGCCGCTACTAGTTTTAGCACTGAGAAAAATTGCTTTTTGGTTAAATAACTCGAGTTGTGATTTAACGCTAAAATATCGGAGATCTGAAAAATAAATGAATATAAAAATTAATTTCGTTAAATATTCTCGTTAAAATACATACATATCAATATGTTCTTGAAATCGGCTTAGTTTTTAGCGGTTGTTTATGGAACTTACTTGCGAGACGACATCGTCGCTAACGCTGCCCGAATTTAGCAACTCAATCGTCTTATTGATCGAGACTTTTCCGGACTTTTCCACATCCAAACGATTGAAGCAATTCACAAAGTAACCCAGCAATACGTCTGTTAGATGCAAATCGTCCATGTTTATTTTTTTGCCTCCGCTTTTTAGTTTAGTTTACTCCTATATTTAAAGGTGTCTAAGCTACAAAATTTTAACAGAGCGTTCCGATCGCAATGAACATAGTCGCAAATCACTAACGACTTTTTTAGTTATCAACACTCAATCACAGATGGCACAACTTATTCATGTATATTTAGTTGCATATTCAAAATTATTTTTTTATTTGAATCAAAAATTATCATTGAATAAATATTATATTATATTTATTGTTGAAATAAATTTATTTTAGCATTTATACTCAAAATCTATGTAATATTATTACGGGACATGTAATAATAATAACATGAAAAAGAAGAGGGAAGCTTCATCGCAGTAACGTTGTGTATTTTAATGCATTAAGCCGAGGCAGTACATAGTTTGACAGCAACCTTGTGTTGATATGATATTAATTATAGCGTCTCGGCCCCAAGCAACCTCGGCTTAATACTCCGACGTCGTGTATTTCAGTTTCCGAGGCTTGACTGCTTGACCGATTGCTTGACTGCAACCTTGAGGTTATACGGTATTAATTGTACTGCCTCGGTCGCAAGCAACCTCAGCTTAATACACTAACATCGTGTATTCAAGTGTATGAAGCCGTGGCTGTTCACGGCAGAGGGAGTACGTTGTTTGAGAGTAACCTTGTGTTAATATAATATTAATTGTAGTATCGCGGCCACAAGCGACCTCGACTTAATACGCCGACATCGCATATTCCAGGATATCAAGCCGAGGCAATACATTGTTTGACAACAGCCTTGTGTTGACATGGTATTAATTGAATCGCCTCACCCGCAAGCGGCTTCGGCTTAATATACTGACATCGTTTATTTGAGTGTTAAACCCAAGCCGTTGGCGCTCAAAACGATACATCGTTTGACAGCAACCTTGGGTTTATATGGTATTAATTGTACTGCCTCGGCCGCAAGCGACCTCGGCTTAATAAGCTGACATCGTGTATTCAAGTCGTTTACGGCCGAGAGTACATTATTTGAGACTAGCCTTGTGTTAATATAGTATTAATTGTAGTGCCTCGGCCGCAAGCGACCTCGGCTTAATACCCTAACGTCGTGTATTTCAGTGATTAAGCCGAGGTTGTTTGACAGCAGCCTTGTGTTTATAAGGTATTCATTGTACTGCCTCGGCCGCAAGCGACCTCGGCTTAATAAGCTGACATCGTGTATTCAAGTCGTTTACGGCCGAGAGAGTACATTTGAGAGTAGCCTTGTGTTAATACACTATTATTTGTAGTGCCTCGGCCGCAAGCGACCTCGGCTTAATACGCTACATTATGTATATCAGTGTATATTAATTTTCAAACTAACAACATTACAAATCAGGAATAAAATAAATTAAGCATTTTGCTAACATAAAGTGTGAAAAAGTAGTTGCCTACCCATCCGTGACGTCATCAACGTTTGCGTCTATTACCTAGATTTAATAGTCCTGTTTAGATTCTACCATCTTTTCATCAAAACAATAAAAAAATAATAGACACACCTTTAGGTATGAGATCATTAATGAAATGACGATGACGTCACCTTGTTATTTAGGAGTTCGTGGAGGAGGATTCGTGCACACGAACATTCCCGAACGTATTCTTCTTATGTACATTAAAAAACATCACTACCTTCGGGTGTATTCCTTCTGCTCCTTCTGTTAACTGCGTATTATAAGTTGAGACTCCGCCAAAATCTGTTCGCTTAGACTAAAACATAAAAGTTAAAAGAAAGTCAAAAAATAAAAATGGCAAGTTTAAGTAGATACGCGTTAATTAAAATGTTGGAATTGGTAAGTTTAAAAAAATTTTTTTCTTTTAAATTGATAACGAAATTATTTAATAATACTTTTTGAATTGAGGTCAAAGACGCCTTCTTTCGGGTGTTGTATTCAAACATAATTTAATCCCCAATCATCCAATAACTTTATTTTTTAGGCTATCGTTGTGGTGTGCATTTGGCTCCATCACGAAGCCAGATCCGGCGATTTCACCACCGATTTTATCTCGGCAACCGCATTCGGTGGTTTTGCGATAATTTTAGTCGCTGGAGCCGTTGGTAAGCAACAAAATCTTCGCTCACCTCTATTTATAGCCTCCTCCTCGTCAAAACGATAACCCTTTATACCTCACTTTTAATTTGATAATTTCAAGTGAATCAGAAAATTGCGCGAAATAATCGCACAATTAGGTCATTCATTTAACGAGATTCCAGTCGCGTTGTTAACCATGAGGTAATCCGACTATAAACAGAGTTGAACTCATTTCAAGGACTTCTTTAGAATATAAAGCTTGCTTTAATTCAGGTCATATTATGGGTAGCCCCATAACGAGACGAATCGACTTGTTCTTCTGTTTGGTGGGGATTGCGGTTTTCGTAGCGGCTGGCGCCCTCAATATTAAACATTTTGAGAATTCAAGTGGAAAATGGAAAGATTATGGGTTAGCGAAGGGTTCGTTAGCGGTTATTAATGGAGTTTTCTTCCTTTTGGATGCGGTTACTACATGGAGAGGAGATTTTTAAGAATGGAGTTGTCACAATAAAAATTACCTCACTATTTATTAAGAATCAAAGTGTTGTGTCTTTCTGCATTTATTTTTATAAGCTTTGTATACCTTTTTAACCATAAAATTAATAAATTAAAATTTTCGTTGGAATTGGTTTTTTTTATAGCAGGAAAAAAGCAGGAATTATTATTATTAAGGTGTTTTTTAAACAAATTAAATTATATAAGTAATTTTTATTCCTAAAATAAAAAGAAATCTCTATTTACGCAATAATAATAATAAACCAAAGTCATTTCGTTTCCTTATATCTCATTACGGATGAAATACTAAAAATATTTAGCTCATCAAACAACCTTAATTTCAGCAAGACTCTTAATAGTCGCTCAAACGCAAAACGATTAATAAAAAAAAAGAAAAACACCAAAAACAAACATGGCATAGTTACAAATCATTTCACTAAAACTAATGGAAAGTATTACACGCAATAATGGCCATATTTTTTTTCGCTTTGTTTTACGCCACGATTACAAATTTCCACAATTTTATACAAAAAGAAATTAATAAATCTCCGTGTGTCCAAGAAAAAAAGTCCATTAATAAGGCGCGTACCTCCTCGAAGGCGACGGTCCTCTCATCCCAGGCCTTAAAAAAAAATAATAAATCATGTATAAAAAAAGTTGTGTTACTTAAACGCTCAATATTTAACCCATTATGCCAATTAAACATGATTAATCTATAAAGAGCCACAACAAAAAAGGAAGTGGTGACATAACAAATAACACGTCAAGGAAATAAAATAAATAAGTAGACCTAAGTGTGGATGTCCTCGAAATGTAACCATCTCAACAACATATTTAATTTGTTACGTGTTGAGCTTTTTTTATAGTTATAATTGAATCAAATACAGACGCTATTTGAATATATAATAAATAAAATTGATAACTTTTAAATTCTATTATCAGTGTAATCATGCAATAATAACCTTGGTGAATGTGCTTAATTTAATTAGTTCATTTTATAGGGTTGAGATAATCTCACATCATTTATTTGTAAGGTTGGTAAAATTTTTTTCTTCTTTAATATATAAAATATCAACTTCTTCATCATCATTTATAGCGCTACAACAGTCTGGAGTTTCTGGACACGAACAGTTCCCTTCTCCATTTATCCATATTCCATGTAGCCTCTAAATCCATCTTAGTGAGTTTAACATATGATTTGCTTGTTTAGATGAAGAGTCAAATTTGGACAATTTTTCTTTTTTTGGAATCACCATCTATATTCCAATTCCATTCTATTTGGCAATATATTAATTGTAGCAAAGTATAAAGAAAAACATGTTTATAACATGAAAAACACAATCAAACCAAATATGCTAAACTCATATTATTAGAACGTAATAATGTTTTTTGGACATTAATGGGTTAAAATTGTATATATTTGATTAAATTATTAATTAATATTACCTCCTATCATCAAACGAATCTCTACTAAAATCTTCATACATCCTCCTGCTACTAGCAATTGTCCCTGATGGTGGTGGTGATCGTCTACTGAACATTCCATAATCGCTGGCGGCGGCCGCGGCAGCGCCACGGGCATACCCGCTCTCGCCACGCATGGCTGCGGCGGCTGCAGCACTTGCACCAATGCTGCTTCCGCCACTTCCAGGCGGGCCACCTCTCAGACCGATTGAGGGCATCGGCGGCAACGGTTCGCGTCTAGGAGGCAACGGTGGCGGCAAAAAGTCGCCACGCGCCCCTCTCAGACCGATCTCGCCGCCGCGCGGCCCCAAACCCGCGTAACGTCGATCGTAAAGGTCGCGAGATTCATCAAAACGTCTCTCGTAGTAATCGTAACCATCCTAAATTATATCAAAAAAACAAAATTAAACGTTAATTTTAATAAATGAAGTAATAATAATTTGGAAAGTTTAGTACAAAGTTTTTTCAATTTGTATTAAACTTTACAAATAATAAATTTGTTTAGAAATCGGTTGAAATACAGCAAAACCTCGATATAAAGGACACAATATTTTTTAAGTCATATTATTAATATTATCTATTTACTACATTAATATATTTAAATATAAATATTAGGGTTTTAGCATTACCTCACTTAAGACGGCTTGTTTAATAGAAATTGCATTATTTAGAAACCGAGGCAGCTATGCTGCCGAGGCAGTAGTTCTAGGTTTTTAATAATAACATATTATTTAGAAACCGAGGCAGTCATGCTGCCGAGGTAGTAGTTCTAGTTTTTTAATAATATATTATTTAGAAACCGAGGCAGCTACGCTGCCGAGGCAGTACTTCTAGTTTTTCAATAATATATTATTTAGAAACCGAGGCAGCTATGCTGCCGAGGCAGTACTTCTAGTTTTTCAATAATATATTATTTAGAAACCGAGGCAGCAGGCTGCTGAGGTAGTAGTTCTAGGGTTTCGATAATAATATATTTAAATATATNAGTTTTTCAATAATATATTATTTAGAAACCGAGGCAGCTATGCTGCCGAGGCAGTACTTCTAGTTTTTCAATAATATATTATTTAGAAACCGAGGCAGCAGGCTGCTGAGGTAGTAGTTCTAGGGTTTCGATAATAATATATTTAAATATATTATTTCGAAACCGAGGCAGCCGTGCTGCCGAGGCAGTAGCTCTAGGTTTTCAATAGTAACATATTATCTAGAAACCAAGGCAGTAGTTCTAGTTTTTTAATAATATATTATTTAGAAATCGAGGCAGTAGTTTAGCCATGTCTTCAGACGCACGGCTAAACCCGATTCTTTCTAGTTCTAGTGTTAGTTCTAGTTTTAATTCGATACCAATATGTAGCATAGTGATACCTTATGTTAACTAGTGCTACCTACTATTGTCACTAGAACTAACAACTAGAAACATTCACCTCTAGTATTAGTTCTACTTTTAGCTCAATCACAAATATACAATGTAAGGTTGAATAACAACTAGAAAATAGTGCCAGTATTAGATCACTATTAGAACAAATTTTCTGAATCCGAATGTTATAAACTAAAACTACTGCCTCAGCCAGTGTTAGTTTTAGTTATTATTCAACACTAATAAATTGAAATAAAACTATAAACATACGGGTTTAGCCGTGTTAAGAGACGCACGGCAAAGTGTAAATTGAAAATTTTACACTCACTTCCCCGTATTAGTCCGTTATATCAAGATTTTACAGTAATAACTTTTTTTATAGATAGTAAATTTTGATTAAGGGGTCAATAAAAAGCGACCGGATCCGAAAAAACCGAAATCAACAACGATCGCACTTAATTACTCTGCTTAAAATGCAGAAGACCCCGAAATGAAGGTTTTATAATTGCCAATTGTGTGGTGGGATTTGGGTTGGGATTAAATTTTTTCGCGATTTTATTTATTAAATTTTTTTAAGGAAGATGTTTTTTAGTTAGATGATTCGTACCCCAAATCGTCCCATCATCCGGTCGCGCAGGAACGGGGGCGGCGGTGGGGGAGGGTACGGGTCGCGTCCGAACATCCGATCCCTAAACCGATCGGGCCCCATCCCTTTCGGGCACTCCTTCGACCAGTGACCACCGCGGCCGCAACGGTAACACTGTTCGGGGTCGCCCATTCCGGGCCTCTGTCGGACGCGGCTCGTCGATATCTGGACCTTCATCGGTTGACCGTCGACCAACGTTCCGTTCAATTCTTTGATCGCCTCGTTTACGTCCCCGCTACTCTCCAGGTGCACGAAACCGTAGTTCCTTACAATGTCGCATTCGACAACCGTCCCGAACTTTTTAAAGAGCTCGCGAATCTGTGGTGCTTTGGTGTTGTCCGTCAGGTTGCCGACGAAGATTTTCGTTGTCGGTGTCGTTGGCGCTTTTCGACTCTTCGCCGCTTCGCATTTTATCGGCTGACCGTTCATTGTTTGCCCGTTCAGATTCTGGATGGCTTCGCGCCCTTCCGCCTCGCTTTCCATGTGCACGAAACCGTAGTTCTTGACGACATCGCACTCAACCACCTTTCCGTACTTCTCGAACAGCGGGCGGATGTCCCCGATCGAAGTCTTCTCGGCTAAGTTGCCGATGAATATCTTAAACGTGCCCGCGCTGCTAAAACCCGGCATCTCGACCGACGACGACGACAACCTCTCTAGCTTAGCAATTTTTACTGATTTTTATTTTTTTATTTTTATTTCAACTTCCGCTGCTTTTATTTTTGCTTTTCTTTCACACTCTCGCTCTCTCTCAATCTTTACAACTCCTTTCCGTCGCTTCGCGGTTAACTACTTAAGGCCACGGACCTCAATTTTTACTTTTAATATATCTAATCTTTTTTTTAAATCGCACGAGAGGAAGTTTTGCGTTTTTCACCGGCGACGGCGGGCGGTTTTTCGTCTCGTCCCTCTTTTTCTTAACTCTTAACGAAAGATATCCCGACACACTCGATCCCGGCCTGAAAAGCGATAAGTCAAAACAAACCCGACGATTTCTTTTTTTACATTTTTAAATCAAATCAACGAATTTAACTCAACAATTAACGAAAATCACAAAAATTAACAAAATAAAATGACATTAACCTCAAAAAAAAAAAAAATTAATAAACAAAGTAGCGCCATCTACAGAGGACGCGTCAAACAAAAAAAAATGACTAACCTTAAAATGTACGCAATCAATTTTACCCGATTTACAACGAAATAAATAAATCAGACCAAATAAATTGCTTAAAATCTTAATTTAGCGATGTAAAGATTAATTATTATAGCTATAAAAGGAGCTAAACAACCCTGAACATCGCAAAAAATCGAAAATATCGTATAAACAAGATGGCGTCCACGCAAAAAATCGTATCTAAATGAATAATTTTCGCGATTATCTCGATAATTGATGAGTTATTATTGATTTATAAATAAAGAACGACATTGTTTGATTTGCGGGGTCGAAATTTTTCGACGCACGAAACGGACGCGCGACGAGCCCGACTTTTCGGATTCGACGGGGGCGCGAACGTCGCGTGCGAGGAATAACGATGATGTTACTAAAACGATGCTAAACAGTATTAAAACGCTTACCTTGGAGGTGAAACTGCGAAAAAAAGGAAGCCTGGAGATTTCCACGAGCACGGTGACCGGACTAACAACAGTATGACAAATGGCGGACAAAAAAAGCCTCACGCAACCCAAGCCAACTATTTTCGGCGTATTTACGCATGCGCACATCTAACTTTTAACGTATGAACACCCGAAATGTTATGATAAATTAATTTTGGATTTATTTTTTATTTTGAGCTTTTATAATATAATTTTATTGTTTTAAGTTGGTGATTTGACCCAAATCAGTTGTTTATTTCTATAAGAATAATATTATAAAAAGAAATAAATTTATTTTATTTAATTGTAGGTTTATGGTGGGGTCGTGTTATTTTGTTTTTTGTGTATAAAGGTATTTCCGTTTTATGGTTTTTATTTTTAGAATTAATTTATTTATTAAAAAATATTACTTAATTAATACTTAGGAGGTAATTAATAATAAAAATTTTATTTATAAAGTTTGAAATAAATAAAAATAAATTAAATAAATAATGTATAGAGCGTTCGAAATGTTATGACAGCTTGGGGGTAAAATTAATTCGAAAATTTCTTTTTATCTTTTTGATTATAATGTAATTTTTCCCTCGAATTTTTTTATTGGATTAGTTTGATTAATTAGAGCATTTTTAAACGATAATTTAATTTGGGTTTAATCTTTTTTGTGGGTTATTAAAAGTCGCGTCATTTTAGTATGTTGGTGTTGTCGGTAACACTTCAATTTTTGTGTGAGTTTTATTATTTATTAAGTTCATTATTATTAAATAATAAAAATTGGTGTGATTTAGTGTTTTTAAAAATGAATTTGATAATAATATTGACGGTTTTTTTCTAATTTGCGTTTTAAGTGTCTTAAGGGTGTGACGTATTCTGTTAGATGTAAAGTGAGTTGCATAAGATTTAGGTGTCCGAAAGGTGTTTATGTTTACGGGATATTTACAAATGGTGGCGAAGTGAAAGACATTGTAATTGAATTACGAAAGAATCCACGGAATTCAAGTAATTTAAAGTGTTCGCGTTCGCAATTCGATCATCCCAACACTTTTCCAGAGCATGAAAACGGCCCAATCGTAATCACAAACACAGGAAGTATCTTATTAAAACGATTTATATAATATGCTATGTGGCTCTTATGCGCCCCATTATACTGATATGAACGACTATCAAACGAAAACAATGCCTGACTGTAGCAGTGCCACCGGTACCTTTAAAATCTTTATTGGGAATCTCGACGAAAGGACCCCGGTTTCGTTGATACGACCTCTTTTTGAGCGCTACGGAAAGGTTGTTGAATGCGATGTCGTCAAGAATTACGGTTTTGTTCACATGGAAAATGAAACTGAGGGACGTCGCGCCATCCAAAATCTTAATGGTTACGTCGTCAACGGTCAAAAGATTAAGTGTGAACCATCAAAACCTAAAAATCCCACGAATCCCACCAGTAAGATCTTTGTCGGGAACTTAACGTCGAACGTTAAAGCCTGTCAGATACGAGAACTCTTTGAGAAATACGGGAGAGTTGTCGAATGTGATCGTATTCGTAATTATGGGTTTGTTCATATGGATACGTCGACGGACGTTTCGTTAATAATCAAGGAATTGAACGGTTATATGCTCGATGGTCAACCACTTAATATCCAAGTATCGTCGAGCCGTGTACGTCCACGTCCTGGTAAATCGGAGAAGTGTTATCGATGTGGACGAGTTGGTCATTGGTCCAAGGAGTGTAGCAAGGGAAGCGAACGCTATCGGGATCATATGTATAGCACGGAACCGTACCCCCAAATGCAATCTAACTTAACCTATCCTCAACAACAACATCAACAACAACAAACTCAACGTTACGAGGTATTTTTATTAAATTTAACTTAAAAAAATAAAATTTAATGACATGTGACAAGTAACATAACCTAAAAAATTCTTTTGGGAGCCATTTTTATTTTATTTTTAACCTCAATTTTTATTTTTATTAATTTTTAACTTGAAAGATATGGTTATTTAATTAATTAATTGATAATTAATTTACCATAATTTAACCCTTTGTGTCCTGACAGTACTTTAAAGTACTGGTAGTTTCAAATACTCATTTTAAACTGTAGTCATCTATTTGGCGCATTTAGATACTTACTGCTATACAAGAAAGAATCTATATAGAATTAAACTAAGTTTTTAGATATGTATATTTAAACTTATTCATCCAGATGTGAAATTAGAAGTTTAATGAAAAGTGGTGTTGCAGAATTTTGTTGCTCAAAAAGGTGTCTCTTTGATAAATGGTTATTAGGTGTGATTATTACAGATCATTTTAAAAAGAAAACATTGAGCTTTAATTTAATTTCAATAAATACAGCTTCCAGGAATTTTTGAATTAGCATCTTTTTTGACACATTTAGGTTATACGAAAATGTAAGGTTTATTTCAACTTTTTTTTTTTCAATATTTTTCCAATCCAACCCAACAATTATTATACATCATTTTAAAGAGAAAGCTTTGAGCTTTAATTTAAAATAAGTTTCATTCCTTAATTTCAATAAATACGGCTTCCAGGAATTTTTAAATTAGCATCTTTTTTGACACTTTTAGGTTATACGAAAATGTAAGTTTTATTTAAAAATTTTTTTTCTTAATATTATTCCAATTCAACCCAACAATTATTATATATCATTTTAAAGAGAAAACTTTGAGCTTTAATTTAAAATAAGCTTCATTCCTCAATTTCAATAAATACGGCTTCCAGGAATTTCTAAATTAGCATCTTTTTTGACACTTTTAGGTTATACGAAAATGTAAAGAGAAAGCTTTAAGCTTCAATTGAGTTTTTCTGAATATCATAATGTGATTTAGCTAAAGCAAGTGTTACTTATTTTCTAACTTTTTCTTTTTATTAATTTTTAGCCTGAAAGATATGGTTATTTCGATATGCGTTACGAGGATTATTACGAAAATTACAATACAACGACGTATCCGATGAACCAGATGAATTATCCGGTGCATCAGCAACGTTCGGAACAACCTACATTAACGCAAATACCAACGCAAGAAACGACGAGTTACGTTCAACCCCAAACGGCGAACGACATGTCTCAAGTCTCTTACGATAGGAGTAATAACTATAGCGAATACAATGCCGTTCAACCGATACACGATTACAGTCGGATGTACGAGGATTACATGTACCCGAACGCGCAGTACGATCGAAGGTGGTAGATAGAAGAAAAGTTGAGAGAGAAAAAAAGGGAGAGGGCACGAAGAGGATCCGATAAATCAGGAAAATAATGATTGATGAAGCAGCGTAATTTTTAAGTATTCCGATCTAATCTATATAATTAACATATGTTAAAAAAAAAAACTATATTATTAAGGAGTAAGAAATTTCAATGTGTATTTTCCCCCTGAATTTAAAAAGGTGTTTTTTATGTAACTTTGGTTCTCTTCGCAACCTCCAAGACAAAATTTTTCTCAAAAAAATAAAAAACTTAAAAAATGGAATGAAAAAAAAATAGTTAAGATTTTTTTTTTAATTGACATGTCATTGAATTTATTAGTTTTTACGTTTTAAGGCCTTTAAAACTAAGTTCACAAACAGTTCTTCTTTATTTCATCTTGAATTTTCACAATAATGTGTCATTATTATTATTTTTTAATTTCCTTTTTATTTGAATCCTATAAATACCTAATTTTTTTTTTATGTTCATAATAGAATTATACGTTGCAATTGTATGGATGTGTTCTCTCATTTTGCTCCTTTTTGAATAATAATAAAAAAATGATATTTCTAAATGTTTGGATTTATTTTTGTTTATACTTTTTGATTTAAATTTAATTATCTACTTTAAGCAGATAGTCATGAAACAATCACCAAGACTATGTTGTTGGCTGATGCTGGTGGGTAGAAAGCCACTTCGAATTTTCCGCAATTTTTATGATAATTCAACTGACTTTGAATAATCAAAGTGTATTAATTTCTCGTGCATTTCTGAAGACAAAAATTAAATGAATAAGAAAGGTGATAAAATATGTCAGCTTATTTAGATCCAAGATACAAAATAAACTTAAGATTTAAACAGGTTTAACAAACGATGCAAGAAGATGGTTTTTTTTGAAAGACTTGGATCACAAATTGAAGGTGATAACAGCGACAGTTCTGTTAGTAATGAATGTGATGATGAATTACAAGCGAAGAAAAGAAAGCTAGAAGAAACTGCAATAAGAGATTTGATTCATATATTGTTTTGGAATTGTTACCATAAGGTTGCTAATGACAAACCTGAAGTAAATAAAGTTGTATTAAATGAAAAAAGTCATATTGGGGTTGGACCTTAGACTAATAAGCTTATTACTGGTGTTATCAAAGGTGCGTTTTTGGAGGGAATTGATTTCTTACCATGTCAGTCGGGGTTTAGGTAAGGGCATAGCTGCTGCACAGCTTTAATAAAGGTGAGTCTGATGACATACTGACTGTTACAGACAGGAGAAAAATTACAATACTCGTGCTACTTGATTTCAGTAAAGCGTTTGATACTTTCCTTAATATTCTGTCCAAGTTGGGGTTTAGTGTGGCTTTGAGTCTTTCTAAGTGGTACCTTTGTGACAAGTTTCAGATGGAAAAGGTGAAGCAAAACCGTTACTATATGCATCAAGAAATTATCTCTTAGAGTCTTTAAGTCTACCCTTATCAACTTGCTAATGAGAGATCAACAGTTTCTTTTCTTTGTTATTTGTATATGGTGCAGGGGTATACATACAATTGTAATAAGTTTATTTAATACTTTGTTCAAGACTATTGAAATTGATTCCATAAATTTTTTTTTAATAAATTTTTGAATAAAGTTTAAACGTCAATGTGACACAAATTCAATGTTACCAACTGTAACACAATTTGTCAAAATTAAATGTCAATTTTATGAAACGTCATTTTTTTACGAAAATTAATTAATTTATGCTTAAATTATAGGAAAAAAGGAATTTGTTTAGGTTTTTTTAATGTCAAACTTTTAGAAAGTCCTAAAAAATTTAATTAAATTGACGTTTTTTGAAATTTTGACGTTTCAAATAATTATTATTAGTCTGTCAAGTTGATTACCCGTGAATAATGATCATTTATAAGGTATATATTATAAGGTAGTCGTGGACGAAAGGTATTAAGCCCTGTGACTAAGTTCAACTATTACTGTACATTATAATAATAACAATGATAACACAAAATTCCTCCACCATAAAATTGCAAGTTAGTATATTCAACTCCAATTAATTTATTATCTTCTTCTTTTAATTGAATAATAACTCCTAACCTAACTTTTCCGCTATAATAACCTAAAATAAAATCAAATGAATCAATGTAAATATGGGAATTAATCACTAGATGGAGCTGCTTTAATCTTTTAATAAATTGGAATAAAAAGATAAAAAAATATATGTTTACGACATTTCATTACCGTCTCTGTTTACAACCGGTTACAACCTAAAATAATTTATGTTATTCACGTATTTAAATATCGCGCAGGCGCTAAATTCGAAGTAAAAATACCTTTTTCTCCGCCTATTAATAAATTTCCATATTAACAAAGACTCGAAAACGGCAAAAAAAATTGTTCGGCTTTACTGCGCATGCCCGAAAACAACTGCGATTCGAACAACAACAACAACAAAGTAAAGAGGAGAATGATTAGCAGCAGCATGTCTCTTGATCAATTTGAGGTAACCGACGACGGTGTGGTGCACGGAAATACGCGTGAGGGGCGCGAGGAGGCGTGTCAAACACATGGATATATAATTTTATAGACGCAACTTTTATTTGTAATTAAATAATTAAAAATAATAACAAAAAATAATTAAGTTTAACAAAACGATTTTAAAAATTATTAAATTTTTTATATTAAATTAAATTTTTCTCGAAATAAAAAGTTTTATCAATATGGTGAAATAAATAAAAGGTGATCTATAATTTCGATGTCGCTGGTCGAGTGTTGTTGCCGTGAAATGTGCGCAACAGCGCATGCGCAGAATTATTCACTCGACTCGTTCCCGACTTCAGCCCATTTTGCTCCGATCACAAATATATACCGACTTTTGTTGTTTATTGTAAAAACGAAATGGTGATTGTATTAAAAAACGATGAATAATGATCGTACGCGCGTTAATTAACAACGTTCGTTTACAAAACGCGCGCGATCTTGCCGGAAATCGTGCGGAAACGGTCCGGAAACCAGCGTTCTCCATCCATCGTCGGAATGTGAATGATGAACGAACTGTGTTGAGTGTCAAAAACTCGATTGTGATGAATCCCCGTTAAATTAACGTCATTTTTGATTGTCAAAGTGAATTAAGCGTCTGTGAAAGTTTGTGTTTTTGGATTATTTGTTAAACGTTTTCGCGGAATTTCCTTCGAAAAATTGATCTGAATTTTATACGAACGGTTAGTAACCAAATACAAAATGGCTACCGACGGAACACACACAATTTATTATCCCTTTTAAAATCACTTTAACTCGCTGATTTTAATTAATCTAACCTAGAAATGTCAAAACGAAAATCATTTTTTAACCTAACCACACTTTTTTTTACCCAAACATATTTTTATTTTAAATTAATCTAATTCAATTTCGCGCGCTTTCTCCTACGAAAACTTTTAAATTTTAAAATCGATTTATTTTTAAATTTTAGCGCCTAACACAAAAAAAAACCCAAAAAAAAAATGTACGAAACCCAAGAAGTTTCACAATCAATCTGGACTCGATGGATTCTAGATGCAATTCGTAAAATCCGGTCTCAAAAGCAACGTCCAAGCATCGAAAGGATATGCCACGCAATTCGGCAACATCACAATTACCACGAGGAGGTTATCGCCGAACACCTGGAAACGTCCGTTAAAGAAGGAGCCGTATTAAAAGTGTTCAATAAAGGACAAAGTTCGTACAAAGATCCCGGAGGATTACAAAACCGAACATTAAGTGTCGAGAAGGGATGTGATTTAACTAAATTGGTCGCGAAAGCCGTTCGGGAGCTCGGTGAACGCGACGGTTCCACGATTAAATCCATCGAAAAATATGTTCGGCAGTCTCATACGGTCGTCGAAAGTACCGAATTGGATTTGCGCACAGCTTTGAGGTTAGCTGTTAAGAGAGCGGTCACGAAATTTTTGATTTTACAAGAGGGAAAAAATTACAAGTATAATTATAATTCGGCGAGTCCCAGTTCAAAAAGGAAACAGGAGAAACGGGTTTCCGATGAGTTTGATGGTGTCACCCCAAAGGTAAGAACATTTTATTATAATTTTAATTAAAATTTGTATTATTTCTAATTTAGTCTTGGTAAAAACTGACCATATCTCCTTCAAATTTTGTACAAATTTTTTGATTCTATTCAAAAAATGCTATTTTTTTTCTGATTATTGAACACTTAATTAATTTCTGTCCAAAGAAAGCTATCTTTCATGTTAGTCTCAATTAACAAGATAAGTTCTGTTCAAAAACGACTATTTCCTTGATTTCAAACAAATTTCTTTGGAAGTGTCAAAATATATTATTTGTGGAGGATGTAATCAAGAACGGGAAACGTTTTTATTATAAAATTACGAAAGTCGAGTAAGACATCTTTTTAGCAAGGCTTTTAGGCCCTTCAGAACTTAATAGGAAAGGGAAATCTATTTCCTGTACAAGAAATCATGCTATTAGTGATACCTACTATTTAATAAAATGTTAAGGCATGAAGATGCAAAGAGTTATTTATTGAAGTTTTGAATGTTGCAAGAAAAAGGCTTCAAAATTTGAATAAAGTTTTGATACAAAGTGGAATACTTAAAGAAAATCGCGGCGGTGATAGGAAGTCAAAAATGCTTTAATTTGATACCAAACATGATATGTTTGGGTTAAAAAATAAAAAAGTTAGTTTAGAAACTGTTAAATGTCAAAATTAAATTTAACGATTTTTTGATTAATATTGAAATGATCTTAATAAGAATAAAAAATGCTTTAATTTGATACCAAACATGATATATTTGTGTTCAAAAATAAAAAAGGTTAGGTTAGAAACAGTTAAATGTCAAAATTAAATTTAACGATTTATTGATCAATATTAAAATGATCTTAATGAGAATCAAAAATGCTTTAATTTGATACCAAATATGATATATTTGTGTTCAAAAATAATAAAGTTAGGTTAGAAACTGATAAATGTCAAAATTAAATTTAACGATTTTTTGATTAATATTGAAATGATCTTAATAAGAATAAAAAATGCTTTAATTTGATAACAAACATGATATATTTGTGTTTAAAATTAAAAAAGGTTAGGTTAGAAACAGTTAAATGTCAAATATGTCAAATAGTCATTTTTTTTTGTTAGAAATTAAGATATCTCGATAACGGTTTAAGATAAATAAGTCGAGTTTGGGTTCATTTTAAATGATTTTTAATTTTCTATCCATTTATGTTAAAAAAGAACAACTATAACAAAAAAAAATTCTGAATTGATCCTGATTAAAAAAACAAATACGACTTTATACGACCTTGGCTTAGATACTTCGCTAATCACTTTGTAATATTATCTGGTGTCCTTGATTTGCCAGCAGTACCTAGCCTTCGCCACTACAATTCAGCCTTCTGCCATGTATCTAGTTCTCTGCAAGTAATCTCCACAAGCAGCATTTTATCTTCTGCCAGTTATATCTGATCTCCCAGTAGAATTTAGATTTTAGACAGCAACATTTGGTCCTTTCCAAGCAGTATGTAATCTACTAGAAGCCGTATTTAACGTTATCAAGCAAAATCTTGGAGAAATAATCATACATTCTAACTAGAATTGTCCCTTATGAGTTTACATTTGCTAAAAAGATAATTTTTTACTTGCAATTTCTACACTTGGGTTGGTTTGTGGTTAGATGAAAAAAAGTCTAAATGAAGCAGAAATACCAGAATGATCAGAAAGGGTATAAAGATGTAAAGAATCTGACACAAAAAGTAAGTAGAGTAAAATAAAAAAGAAATAATCTTGAGCATCATTGATTAACTTAATCATAAAGTAACCAATTTGCAAAGCTTTCAATCCACAAAGCAAGGAATCCCAGAAATAAACCAACCCAACTCAAAGCACTAGAAAGCAACTCAGTGCTGCTTTCATTTTGACTGTGCAAACACTTCATTTTCAATCATCATTTATGTTCATACTGGGGAGGATGTCCTTTCGTTTCAAGTTTTGCTTCTTTTTTTGGTTCTGTTAGTAATTTGTGCAGAACACAGCCAATTTCAAACCAACCAAATTTTAAACAAGTCTAGAAATTGGTAATGGAGGACTCGATATTGCTGATAGTAAACTAAATACTACTTGCAGGGAAGTCGATACATGACAGAAAGCTAAATTGTTGTGGCGAAGGCTTCTACTGCTGGCAAAAGAATAATTAATGCTGTTAAAACATTTGATACTGTTAGCAGAACAATAAACAGTATTGCCCTTATCAAAAATACTAATCATGAACACCAGATAACACTACAAAGTGATTAGCGAAGTATCTAAGCCGCAGCCGGATGAAGTCGTATTTGTTTCTTAATAATTCAGAAATTTTTGTTCTTTTTCATAATTATTTTTTTTTTAACATAAATGAAGAGAAAATTAAAAATCCTTTAATATGAACCCAAACTCGACTTATTTATCTCCAACCGTTATCGAGATATCTTAATTTCTAACAAAAAAAATAGCTATTTGACATATGTATGACAGTTTATAACCTAACTTTTTTATTTTTTAACCCGAATATATCATGTTTGGTCAAATTAAAGCATTTTTGATTCTTATTAAGATCATTTCAAATTTATCAAAAAATCGTTTAATTAAATTTTGACATTTAACAGTTTCTAACCTAACTTTTTATTTTTTAACACAAATATATCTTGTATGGTATCAAATTAAAGCATATTTGATTCTTATTAAAATACCTTAACTCCAATTCTACAAACTATACGACACAAAAAATGGATTTCCTTCAAATTAAAAAAAAAATCTGTTATTCCAATATTAATCATACTTTAATAGCCGAAGTTAACCTTGATTGATGGCGATCCGTGGTTTTCACATTCGCCAGAAACGTTGTAAACGATAAAAACACATTTTCACCAACTCATTTGAGCGAGTTTGTTCGTTTTGTCATTGTTACATCGTTCAAAAGGGTTTCATAATCTAGATCTAAACGATTTCCGGTTGTACATCGACCAGACCACCGCTTATATTTGCATATTCAAGCACGTTTTTTTTTTTTTTTTAATAATAATGTGATGAAAATCAACGGAGCGTAAATAATATCGTGTTACATTAAATTTTACAAAGAAAAAAATGGTATAAAAAAGAATAATAAGAAAGGAATTAGTTATTATTGGTCAGGTTACAAAATGTCGCTTGTAGAAGATTGTAATCAACCTTGTAATGGTTTATTGAACCATGTTTTAACGTGGGGGACAATCAATTAAGAGTTTACAAGTTAACATAACATAAGTTTAAGATTGTTGGTAAAGATAAATGTTAAATTAAAACTTTTTTTTGAACATTATTCATCGTATAATGTTCACGTTCACTTTCTAAAACGTGCAAAGTTCAAACCGGGATGGGTTAAAGGTGTTAAATTCTATTTTAGCCGCTCCTTCTTCTTTTATGACAACTTCTCTTCGTAATTAATTTTAATTTTTTTCTGTTTAGGGTCCGGTAGCTATCCCAATTTGTTCGGAATGTCTCGGTACGGAAACCAAAAATGGTCGGGGCGTCTTCGAGAAATTAAGTTCGTGCATTGGATGCGGAACTTACACCCATTTGAGTTGCACGAATGCGGGGCCGGAATTAAATCGTCTCGTTGCGAAAGGGGGAAAATGGTTTTGCGAGGAATGCAAGACCTGTTCGGGTTGCGGAAATTCAAACGTGTCATGGTGTCTCTTGTGTTGTTGCAATTGCGATCGGCAATACCACGTTTCTTGTCTTGACCCGCCAGCGGAGAAGAAGCCGAAATGTCCGTGGAGGTGCAAACATTGTTTGGGGCACCACGATAATGTTAAAACGAAGAAATTACAACCCGGGAGTACGGTTAAGAAAAAAATTGAGAAGATCCGAGAAAAACTTAAAAGGTTAATTTAATCAGTTGTTTTTAATTAATTCTTATTAATTATTTTGGGTTTAGGACGCCGGAAATTGTATCGACCCCAACCATCAACGCTTCTTCGAGATGCGGTTCAAACGCGGGTTCTTCGAGGAGGGCACGAGTTCCAGCAACCGGGCAGCGTTTATCTGAGAGTGATGAGGATGTTTCGGATGACGGAGAAGGGGGCGAAGCTGTCGTCGATGATCACGAGGGTACGCCACCAAATCCTGACCACATCACAATCAACAATTCAACCACTACCACCACCACCATCGGTTCAACAAATCAAAAAATCGTCAAAAAAACCCGACCCGTTTCGGTCCTCTCGCCTAACCACAACCTTTCCTCATCCCATGATGAAGAAACTTCAGAAAGTATCAGTAGGGAGAAACAAAAATTTTTCCGACAGAGCGCTTTTAACGTTGAGAAAAAGAAAAAGGAGGCAATAAGAAGAAACAATAACAAAAAAATTAATAATAAGAAAGATGATGTAAGCGACGATTTAAGTGATGATGACGATGATGAAAGTGATAGTTGCTCCTCGAATTGCTCGATGAGTTCAACAAGTTCCGAATCATCGATCGAAAACGTAAGAATGGGGGTTAACAAAAATAATAAAAAAATACCAACGTTTGGGAGCATAATTGGAGTCGATAACAACGAGAAATTATGGGGTTTCGCAGCGGCGGCAGCCCAAAAAGAAACTTTATTGTTTTCCGATTTCATCCAAAACCCAATACTTCAATCGTCAAAAGATACCAAATCGAACGAAAAAACTTCGGGTCATTTAAAAAATCTTTTCGATGGTCTCTCCCATTTTTTCGCTCCTGATGTATCTCGCCTACGTAAAGCTTCATCCACGCAACTCGATAATAATACAAGGCGTAAGAAAAAAGATGATCAAAAAGAAGAAGAAAGTCAATTACATAAAAATCATAAAAAAGATAAACAGGAAAAATGTCAAGAAAAAAATGTTAACCAAGAAAAAAATCCGTCGAATGAATGTCAAGAAAAATTGGGTACTCTTGATCCTGTTTTATTTCCTTTATCGCCTGTTCCTAAGATTAAGGGTCAGATATTGAGTCCGTCGGACCTGGTTAGAACGGCCGTGAAGTCGAAACGGCTCGAGCTCGAGCGTCGGAGACTGCTGAGGGCGGCGGCGGAGCCACCCTCATCATCCTCATTGAATTGCGACGAGACGCGTTCCCGCAAGCGTAGTAGCGACCTCTATGCGGAGGCGGCGACGCACACCAATCAGACGGGTAAGATCCGGCCACCACCACCACCACTACCAAGCCCACAAAAAATAATTATTAATTAAAAGGTCATCACACCATCGAAAAATGGACCAAAACAAATTTATTCATTAAAAATTATTAAAACAAGATTTTTTTCCTTTGAAAAATTCCTTGATTTTATCCTGGGTTCCATTAAAAAAAAATTAAAAAATTTGATTCGATTTTATTTTTTATACAGGTGTTTTTAAATGAGGTTTAAAGGATTTTAATATCGAAAATAAGGTAAAAAATGTATTAATAATAAATAGATTTACATTTAGAAAGTGTTGTGAAAAAAGTGTGATATCGCGATGATACTCATTTCTTCAAACCTAGATATGTCAATCCACAATCATCCACCCCGACCCTTAAGGTTGCCATCCAAGTCATTCCAGTCATCATAACCTCTGGCAGAAATGAACTTTGATATAGGGGAGAAAATCAAAGAGATTTGCGACATCCAAGACACCAAAAAGAGTAGAATCATGGATATTATAGAAAGAATCATCATTGGCAGAAGAAATATATCTAAGCTATCATGTTCAGGAGCTAAAAATTCATGACCAGAGAGATATTATTAAGTTTAGGAGCAAAAAATAGGTGTTGATGTAATAATATAAACATGTACAGAAGAACACATTGTGGGCAGAACCACTACATCATAAGCAAAAACCAAATTTTTGTTTAAAATGTCGATATAGATAAGGTAGAAGTTAATTATTAAGGAAACACAAATTAGAAGTAAAGGCATAACTATGTAGATGTGAAGAAGAAGGCGTAATATTAAATCTAAAAGAAAAAAAAATGTAAAAGTGATGGTATGGACATAATACAACAAAGAAAAAATGAAAACATCTTGTTTAGACACTGAATATGAGCAAAAATTATGTAGATGTGTTGATAAAACATCATGGGCAGAAGTACTATATCATATTCAAAAAGAAATTATCGTACTTAGAAGTAGTATATCATGCGTGGAAGTTAATAAAATGTCGCAGGAACAATGTTGTGGAGATGTACAAAAGAAAACAACATGCACAGAAGCTAATACATAAACGTAGAAACAATGTTATGGAGATGTGCAGAGGAAAATAACATCCACAGAAGCTAGATATCAAAGGCAGATGAAAATTATGAAACCCAGAAGCACAAAGTAAGAGTAAATCAAAAATCTTTGCAGAAAAACTTATCATTGGCAGAAGAAATATATCTAAGGGCGTAATTATGATGTTTAGAAGCTGAAAAGTGAGCGCCAGAAACAAATTATTAGGAATAAATGCAAAATATTGGCCCAGAAACTAAATTATGGTCATTTGAAGAACAAATTTTCATACTTAGAGACAATATCTAATGCGTGGAAGCTAATAAATAGACGCAGAAACAATGTCATGGAGATTTGCAGAAGAAGATATCATGTGCATAGATTAAATATTATGTGCAGAACTTAAATATCAATGGCAGATGCAAATTACCAAGCGCAGAATCAAAAAATAGAAGTTAAGTCGAAGTTATAGACTTGTGTAGAAAAAGTTATCATTCGCAGAAGTAATATGTATAAGCCAAAAGTAAATTATCATGTTCAGAAGCTAACAAATGAGGATCAGAAAAAAATTTTGTAGGCTAATTATGAACAGAAGAGGTATATTGTAGGTAAAAGTGAATTATTGTGTATAAAAGTAACTTATTGTGGTTAAAAAGGCAAAAATTATCAAAACGAAGATATTTTGCCCAAAACCTCGATATTTAAGTGATATGTGCAAAAAGAAAATATTATAACTACAGCCAAAACGTAATATATTATTAAGTAAGATTTTTACCTTATTTTCGATTGATCTTAAAATGTTTAAACATTGTTAAAAATACCTCTACATATTTTTTTAGTTAAGATTAGTGTGTTGCATCGCTTTTTTTATTTAATTTTGTTTTGGTGTGGTTTTGATTAAATTATTTATCTTGGTTGAATGTTGCAAATAACACAAGCTTGGAATAATACAAGTTTCTTTAAAGCTTGGAACATTCAATTAAAGTTGTTATAACTATTTGGCTTGATTTTGTTTTTAATTTCATTGCTTCATAAATTAATTGGCAAACACTTAAACCCAAAAAGATGAAATTGTTAAATAATAAAATTCCCACATCACATCTCTTTTTTACTAACAAAAAAAAATAAACACACTAACACTTTAACATAAAGCTTCGCACCCACTAGTTCTGGTTTTTACTTGTCTGATTGGCCGCCGATATTTAATTATTTAATTTCATTATATTATTATATTTGCGTAGTTTAAGGATCGAATCGTTTTTAAAAAAATAATTCAACCGGATCCATATTAAAAAATTAACTAACACATTATTTCGATTCAATGAGGTTGAATTATTTGAGAATTTTTTTTCTTTTTCAGATTTTTGGCCCCAACTCCCGCCCGGGGTTACTCAAAAAGACGTCGATTTTTTCAAGGAGGCTCGAGAAAGAGCTGTTGCGGCCACCCCGCTTCCGGTTGTTGAATCAACGGGAAACGGAGTTTTAACGTCACCATCTCAAGCGATGGCGGCCCAAGCACGAAACCCCGCAGCCATCGAATTCGGAAAATACGAAATCCAAACTTGGTATTCAAGTCCGTTTCCTCAAGAATACGCCCGATTACCGAAATTATTTCTGTGCGAATTTTGTTTGAAATATACGAAAAGTAAAGCCGTTTTGGAGCGGCATCAAAATAAATGCACTTGGCGTCATCCCCCGGCTACAGAAATTTATCGAAGGGATGATATTTCCGTTTTTGAGGTCGATGGGAATGTGAGCAAGATTTACTGTCAGAATTTGTGTTTGTTGGCGAAATTATTTTTGGACCATAAAACTTTGTATTATGATGTTGAACCCTTTCTATTTTATGTTTTGACCAAGAATGATAAAAAGGGGTACCATCTTGTTGGATATTTTTCTAAGGAGAAGCACTGCCAACAAAAATATAATGTTTCTTGTATAATGACGATGCCGCAATATCAACGACAAGGATTTGGACGATTTCTTATCGAATTTAGTAAGTTATATTTTAATTAATTAATTAAATGGATTAATGGGTGGATTAATAATTGTTTAGGTTATTTACTTTCGAAAGAAGAAGGACAACCAGGAACACCAGAAAAGCCGCTTTCTGATTTGGGGAAAGTTTCTTACCACGCTTATTGGAAATCGGTTGTTTTGGAATATTTAGATAAACATAGGAGCTCAAATTTTAAATTAACCGACATCAGTAAAGAAACGGGGATGTATTGCCATGATATAGCGACCGCTTTGGAGTTATTAAACTTTGTTAAAGCTAATGATGCATCAAAATGTTCGATTGTAATTGATTGGAAAAAGGTCGATTCTCACGTTGAGAAGGTGGCCAAATCAACGACTAGGATTTATATCGATCCAGAGTGTCTCAGATGGACCCCGCTTTTAACTCCAGCAGTGAATCCTTTCCGCGAGGAAAAGAGCGATAACGAGAAAGAGAATAGTCTCGTTGAAACCGCCGATATCGTAGTTCCCTTTCCTGAAAAAATTATAATTGAAGCAACCCAACCGGTTAAATTAAAACGAGGAGGTGGGCGAAAGAGGAAAGCTAAAACACCTCAAAACCCCTCTCAAATTAATAACAAGCAAGTTAAAGAGGAAGAAGAAGAACTAAAAACGTCATCTGGAAGGAAACGAATTCGACCAAGTAAATTCAAAGACTCAACGTTTGAGTTGAAACCCCCGGCTGAGAAGAGGAGGAGGAATGAATCTGAAAAGGACGAAATGGGGTTAAAAGAAATTAAGAGAATTAAAGATCAAAGCACCCCGCAACGACCGAAAAGAGAGGTTAAAGAAAAAATGAAGCGGTTAGCACAGAGGAAATTAAAATGCGACGAGGAGAAGGAGGAAATAAAAAATGAGGATGAAGAAAATAAAGAGGAAAATAATGAAGAAATAAGTGGTAGTGTTGAAAAGGAAACTTTGAAATCGAATTCGCCTTCTAAATTAATTAAAAAGTCGAAGAAAAAGCGGGGTTGGGTTAAAGGGCGAAGAAGAAATTCGCCTCCAAAGAAACAAATAACTCTGCCTGAATTACTTAAAGGGAAATTGAAGGAGAAGATGGAGAGTGAGTCGGAATCGATGGGTTCAGAACGATCTGATGAAGAAATTGAGGAAAATGAGGAAGAGCATTATAAAGATGATTATCGAGGAAATTATAAAGAAAGTGGTAAAGTAAATGTTAAAGAAAATTGTAAAGAAAACGTCGATGAGAATTGTAAAGAAAATCTTAAGGAGAGTTGTAAAGAAATTAATAAAGAAAGTAATAAAGAAATTAATAAAGAAGGTAATAAGGAAAGTAATAAAGATGATAATAGAGAAAATAATAAGGAAGTTAACAAGGAAAGTAATAAGGAAAGTAATAAAGAAAGTTATAAAGAAAATCATAAAGAGAATTACAAAGAAAATCGTAAAGAAACGCGTAAAGAAAATCGAAGAAAATCCCCAAAAGAAGAAACCAACAAAACCAAAAAGAAATTATGCGAAGAAGATTCCTCAGCTGAGGCTGACGACGAAATGGAAGATGAAATAATCGAAAAGGAATCATCATCAACGAACAAATTTAAATTTTCAAACTCTTCAGATAAGGAATATTTGAGTTCATCAGAATCAGAAACGGAAATCGACGGGCAAAAAATCAAAACGATTAAGATTAAGGACGCTTTAAAAGCGGAAAGCGTCGACAAAGACATTGAAATTAAAGAGAAGGAGATGAGGATCATCGAGGAGGAGATCAACGACATCCAAAAGGAGATTAATAAGAGCCATATGGAGATTTGTACGAAAGATGGTGGCGAAATCAACAAAAAATCGATTAATAAGGAAGATGAAAACGTTGAATCAAAAACTCAAAATGAAGGTGAGACATAAATTTATTAAAAAATAATTTAATTTAACACTATTGTTAGAACTAATACTAGACAAATAACCAAAAATTTGACGTTGAATGATGACACTTAAATAAATTCAAAATTATCGCGTTGTAACAACTAATACAAATTAAAATAAAATTATCATAAAAATAAAATAATAACACTAAATTAAACCGTATTAATTAAAATTTCAATTGTATAAAAGTGATTTGTTATTAAAATTCGATTATTTTTATTAATCACTTATAGATGGCGCTCGCAAAACGTCAAATTAAATTAATTGTCAAATTTTATGATTTTAAAACAAATTTTTGGTATGTACTTGGTATTTAATCACTTTAACGTTAAAGTAAACACATAAAAAAGATGCTAGAACGAACAGAATTAACAGAGAAATTTAAAAATTATTTAGTTTTAGGTTATGTTTTGAATGTTTCTAGTTTTAGGTTTAATGTTGGTTCTAGTTATCTAACAGTAGCACTTCACACATCATTAGAACTAATACTAGACTTAGAATTAGAGTGATTCTAGTTCTAAGTGTAGAGTTCTGCTTTTAGTTCAATAAAAATATCCAAAAATTTGACGTTGAATGACACTTGACAAGTTGTTTCACCAATTTCATATTAATGCGTAATGAATTCAAAATTATCGCGTTGTAAAAGTTAATACAAATTAAAATAAAATAAAGATATCATAAAAATATAATAAAAATAAGTTAAACCGTATTAATTAAAATTTTAATTAAATTAAAGCGATTTGTTATTAAAATTCGGTTATTTTTATTAATCGCAAATAGATGGCGCTCGCAAAACGTCAAATTAAATTGTCAAAAAATGTTTAAATGAGTTTAAAACGAATTTTTGGTAAAAACTCACATAAAAAAGTTACTAGAACTAACAGAATTAACAGAGAAATTTAAAAATGATTTAATTTTAGGTTCTGTCATAAAAGAATCGGAAGCCAATCAAGATAGATGTGAAAATTCGGAGAAAAATCGTGATTATAAAGAAGAAAATGTGGAGAAGAAAATTTTGGAGTCGGCGAGTGATGAGCAAAATGGTTTAATTGATGTTGCACAAAAAGAAATTGTTGAGGGTCAAAACCAAAGCGAAAATGAGTCGATTAAGTTGGTTGAGGAAAAGAATCAAGTCGAAATTGATGATGATAATAAAGAGATTTGTGGCGATAAAATAGTTGTGGAGGATAAAATGAGGTTGGAGGATAAAATTGATTCTGAGAGTAAGGTTGATTCGGAGATTAAAGTTGGTGTGGAGAATAAAATTGATTTGGAGAATGAGAATAAAATGGTTTTGGAGGATAAAGTGGTTTTGGAGGATAAAATGATTGTGGAGGATAAAGTGGTTATGGAGAATAAGATGGTTTTGGAGAACAAAATAAATGTTGAGGATAAATTTAATGTTGAGAATAAAAATAATGCTGAGGATAAATTTAATGTTGGGAATAAAATTAATGTTGAGAATAAAATTAGTCTTGAGAATAAGATTAATGTTGAGAATAAAAATAATGCTGAGAATAAGTTTAATGCTGAGCATAAAATGAATGTGGAGAATAAAATCAATGTGGAGAATAAAATCAATGTGGAGAATAAAATAAATTTGGAGAATAAAATTAATTTAGAAAATCAAAAAACTTTAGAAAATAATAATCCAATTGTAGATTATAAAAATCAAACGGAAGAAATGAAATATCATCAACATCAACAAATTGATCGTGATCATCAATCAAGTTTAGAAATAAGAAACCAACCCCAACAAGTTGTATTAAAAAATCCCATTCAAAATGATTCCAAGACTCCAGAACATCTTCCCCTATCTCAAGACATAAAACTGGATCAACGTGAATTAAAGCCACAAGAAATAATAATGAGAGGAACTGAGGTTAGAAACCAAAATTATCCAGAAACAAAACTGCATCACCAATACCCAGACTCAAAAACGCCCCAAATCGAGCATAAACACCTCCATCAACACTCAGAGTCACTTAATTTCGAGCGCAAACCTCCCCAACAAATTAATCATTACGATTTGAATCAACAAGCTTTGTTGTATTTGAAGAATCAAGCTATGTTCGAAGTTCCAGGTTATGATTTGAAGAATCAGCAACAAATATTCGATTTAAAACAACAAACGATAGGGTTACAACAAGTTTACGACGTCAAACAACACCAACAACAAAAAGTTGAAATTCCCCAAAAAAACTTTTTGAATCAAAATAACCAAGAAGCGAAAAAAATGTACAAAGAAGAAAAAGAATTAATAAGAGACGAGAAAAAAGAGAAAAATGAAACGATCGATCACAGCGAAAATAAAATCCGAATCGACGAGGAGAAAAAGAAGGTTAAAAAAGGCGAGGGGAAACAAAAAGAGAAAAAACACCAACAACAACAACACCAGCACCAACATCAACAAATTCAGGTGCAACAACACGACGAAATTAAAATTCCCATTGATAATAAACGATATGAAATTAAAAATGAAACTTTATTACCACGACCCCCACCGGAATTCCAACCGATGGCGCCTAATTACGCGATACCTCAGGGTCAATACAATTGGCAGTGGCAAAATTTTTACGGCGATTACCAACGTTATCACCACATGCCCCCGCTACACATCCCACAACTCGATGTCTTACCAAAACAACCCGACAAAGAAAAGCCGAAGAAAACGCAAAAAACCCAAAAAGAAAAAATCTCGCCCAAAAAAGAAGACAGAAAAAAAGACCTCAACAAAGATTGTTTAGTGAAATCGAACGAATTCGACGAAAAAAAGAAAGAAGATGAAACCCCAACTAACGAAATGTATCCGAATCAAAATCAAGCGATTAAACACACCCCACCAGGGAATGATATATCAATGGGAGTTTACACCCCCGATTCCACGACAAACTCGGTACATAGCCTCCAATATAATTCGGGTGAGTTGGATGTGAATCAATTAGGGTTGGAATCCCCCACTTCTATATCTTCAGATATGGCATCTCAGAATTCCGTTGAAACGGTTCGACCACCCTCGGAGATGCAAAATACGAATTACGATTGCACAGTGCAACAAAATATGGCGATGCACCACCAAACGAGCGTCCCAGCGTCGAGCCCGAACGTTCTTCACATGCAAAATACAACGAGTAATAAGCGGATGCAACAAGCGCGGAGGAGCAACACCCCGTCGAATAAAAATAATGTACGAAGCACCCCGCCGAATGTCACTAATAATATAATTCACCAACAAAGAAGATCCACCCCACCCGTTCAAACTCATCAACACATGCAAGCGAGTCCTAATCACCAAAATATGCAACAAGGTCATCACTCAACACAACTCCTTCAACAACAAGTTTTGCATCAAAGTTATGGGCACCACCATCAATTAAGCGGGGGGATGCATCAACACCACCATCATATTAGCCAGGGGAATTATATAATGCCGCAAATGTCGGGGGGATTTACTCAAAGCGGGCATGTTCCCTCAATGACGACGGTGATTCAACATAGAATGGCGCAACCGCAAAAAATTCCGCAAACTTGCGCTGTTAGTACCGGGAATTTTTATGCGGCCGCAGTTCAAAATCCGCACCATCAAACACCGCAAAATCAACAAAACCCCACATCAGGGGGAAATTCGAGTTGTAGCTTAGCGAAATTACAACAATTAACGAACGGTTTAGAAATGATTCCCCCCGCGTCTTGTAACACGATGACCCCACCCCCGAATGCGATGACGATAACCCCACCTCCACCACATCACCCCCACGCAACGATGACCCCACCCCCACCACCACATCAAATGATACAAAATCAACCGGTTCGAAATTTGGGAACTCCTCCGTCCACGATACAAAATTTACAACCTCAAGTATTAAGTTATTCGAAGTATTACCAACCGAATGTGAATATGAATCAGTTAGGCGGGGCGGTTACTCCGCCGATGGGGCAAAATTTAGGGCGGACTTCGAGAAATTCGAATATAACGGTGCAACATATGCAGCCGACGTCGAGTAGGATTAGTCCGAACGTTCCGAATATTGTGCCCGGGCAATACAATTTGAGCGAGTATAGGATGACGGCGCAACAAGGCGCGCCGATAACCGGGTATATTGCGAATACGACGGGGTTTATTAATAATCCGATGCAAATGATGAATATGGCGCAGCCTAATTATCAGAACGCCGCGACGCAAATACAAAGGGGACAACAGAATCCGATGTATCCAACACCACACGGGTATATTTATAATAACATTATGCAACCGCTTAATGGAAGACGGTGAGAGTAAAACAAGAAAAGAAGAAAATTCGATTTTATTAAATAGGTTTGTTTTGATAATTATTTTTTATTTCTTGCAATCAATTTATATGCTATTTGATAAACTTTTTTAAATTTCCACTATATCTTTGTTGCTTTTCAATATTACTTACATGCTGCTATGGTGTCGCAACTTTTACAGTTCACAGTCAGTAAAAATAGTAGTGAAACACTAGAATGAGAAATCGTTTATGCTCACTTCGCCGAGGTCGCTTGATTGCTTCAAAACAGACGATTTTATGTTTATACAGTGTGTTCCAAAAGAAACGCATAAATTCATATTCATTTAAGAAAAAAAAATAGCAGTAGTTATGCGTAACCTTGGCAACTAATTGTTTCAGATATTTTATTAAAGAGAATGATTAATTTTTGATATTATTGGTTGCTATGGTTACGCATGGCTACTGCTATTTTTCTATTTCAAATTAATGGGATTTAATGCGTTACTTTTGGGAAACATTGTATATCAAATCTAGCACCTCGCCCGCAAGCGACTTCGGCCATTTGAAGCAAAATCGTTTATTTGATGTCTTAGAAAGTGAATCAAGCGTGCAATCATTGAATAAGACATCGTTTATCTTCACTTCGCCGAGGTCGCTTGCGGGCGAGGCGCTGGATTTGACGTATTAATTCAAAATCGTCAATTTTGAGGGATTCTACCGCCTCGCCCGTAAGCGACCTTGGCGATTTGAGGCGAAATCGTTCCTCATATCTTGGTAAAGTCACAAAGTCTCTTAAAAAACCAAGTTTATCTTCACTTCGCCGAGGTCGCTTGCGGGCGAGGCGCTGGAGTTGATATATCAACACGAAATCGTGAATTTTGAAGGATTTGAGAGTAAATGTTTTTTTAAAGGAGTCTTTGTATCTTTATAAAGTTGTAAAAGAAACGATTTCGTCTTAAATAGCCGAGGTCGCTTGCGGGCGAGGCACTGGAGTTGATATATCTACATAGAATCGTTAGTTCTGAAGAACTCTAGCGCCTCGCCCGCAAGCGACCTCGGCGATTTGAGTTAAAATCGTTCCTTATATATCTTAGTAAAGACACAAAGTATCTTAGTAAATCTAGCGCCTCGCTCGCAAGCACATCGGCTTTTATTTCGTCAACAGTTTTATTTCTACTGCCTCGGCCGCAAGCGACCTCGGCTAACATCTCTTTAAAAACGCAAAATGTTACGCTGGGCTGTTATTACTTCAATAGTTTAAATTTCTGCTGCCTCGGCCGCAAGCGACCTCGGCTAATACCTCTTAAACGACACAGAATATTATGCATTCGCTTCTATTTCTTCGACCGTTCCAATTACTACTGCCTCGGCCGCAAGCGACCTCGGCTAACGTCTCTTTCACAACGCAAAATGTTACGCTGGGCTGTTATTGCTTCAATAGTTTAAATTTCTGCTGCCTCGGCCGCAAGCGACCTCGGCTTATACCTCTTAAACGACGCAGAATGTTGTGTATCGGCTTCTATTTCTTCAACAGTTTAAATTTTTACTGCCTCGGCCGCAAGCGACCTCGGCTTATACCTCTTAAACGACGCAGAATGTTGTGTATCGGCTTCTATTTCTTCAACAGTTTAAATTTTTGCTGCCTCGGCCGCAAGCGGCCTTGGTTTCACGGCACGCAATATAGTGTCTCATCTAGTATTTAAACTAAAATTAGATAGTATATAAATTGATTATTATAGTATAATATGTCCCCAATTTATATTTACTAATAATTTTTAAATTTTTGTAAACAGTGTGAAAATGATCTCAAAATGAATGAGAACCTTTCGACAGGCTGTGCAAAAAATAAACGGTTATTTAAATTGAGTTTGGTTTAAAAAGAAAAATGAAATGAAAAAAATATGGTGTATATAGAGTGTAAGTTGTAAGAAATAGTGAGGTCGAAAGAAAACGTATCTGAAAGAAACTGCGAATGAGAAAAAGGAAGATGCCACAAAAAGGAACTTCAACATCACATTTACTAAATATTAGTTTTTAATAAAAATCGCGTTTGTTTTTTTTAGATGTTTTTAGAATTGTTATTTATTTTTGCCTTTAAAATAACTAAAAATGTAAGATATAAAGTTGTACAGATTTGTAAATTTTTGTATAAAAGATGGTGCGGAATAGTTTCTTATTTTTTATTTAAGGTCGTTTATTTATATTGGTATTATTGAGTATGTACAAAAAGAATCACTAATTAGTGAGGTACATATTATTATTAAAAATAAATCTGTTTATTAATTTCCTTTTTTTTTCTATTTTCAACTTTGTTAATAGTTCTTAATTATATTTAAATATTCTTTAAACTAGAACTAATAGTAGCACTATTACTTCAACTAACAATAGACCTGGAATTAGAAGGAGGTTAACCTGTATGTCTCTAAAGATTGCTAAACTCGAATGATTCTAGTTCTAGGTATGGTGTTAGTTTTACTTTTAGTTCAACAAAAATATACAACAATCTAGCGCTGAATAACAATTAAAACTAGAACTAACACTAGACCTAGAAAGTTTCGGGTTTAGCTGTGCATCTCTTAAGACGACTTAATCCGAAAGTTTCTAAGTCTAGTGTTAGTTCTAGTGATAGTGCTACTATTAGTTCTAGTTTTAGATTAAAATTCTTTTTATTTTTTTCTTTCTCACTGTTGTATATAAAATATAATAATTATTATGGCCGGTTGTTTAACAACGAGGAATTTCGATCAATTTGTATTAACCGTACTAAAACTGTTTCCTCAACGTTGAACACCCGACCAAGATTAAATAACTTCATGTATAATTACATACATTTTAGTTAACTGTACATTATACAAAAATATTTGTCTAACACCTTGTACACAAAACTCAACATTGATATACACACGACACACTTGAATAATTGATTAAAGAAAAAAAATGTTAGTTTTCAAAAAAATTAATACAATTTATTTTAAAAATTTCCTTTATTAAAAACAATTACCCATAATAATTCACAAAAAAAAAATATTAATAAAAAAATTAAGTAAATTGCGTTAAAACATAAAATAATTTATACTTTAGGGTTTAAATCCCGCTTTACCTTCGTAAGTACATCCGGATCTTTGAATAATTTCCGTCGCCGTCCAAATTCCGCATTTAATACAAACATCTAACGGTTGTTCTAGGATATATTGAGCCAAAAACCCGCCTACAAACGCATCCCCCGCACCGTTTGTATCAACAATTTTCGATTTTTCTAAATCAATCGCGGGGAATTCAATCACCTTTCCATTTTTCGCCAAAAGAACCGGTTGATCCCCCGTGGTTATTATACAAACTCTCGGTCGGTTCTCATTTTGTTTTGGAAGTTGACAAATTTTTAAAGCAATTTCTTTCAAATTTTGTGTACCAAAAGATTGTTCTGTTGCAAAAGTTGCTGCTTCCTAAACAAAATTACAATAATAACAACTTTGTTGAATAATTGTCCACGACTACCATTGAAATTGATTCCATAAACTTTTATTTTTTATTGAAATAAATTTTTGAATAAAATTTAAACGTCAATGTGACACAAATTCAATGTTACCAACTGTAACACAATTTGTCAAAATTAAATGTCAATTTTATGAAACGTCATGTTTTTTTACGAAAATTAATTAATTTATGCTTAAATCATAGGAAAAAAGGAATTTGTTTATGTTTTTTTAATGTCAAACCTTTAGAAAATCCTAAAATAATTAAATTGGCGTTTTTTGATGTTTCAAATAATTATTCAAGTCTATCAAATTATTATTAATTCACTCTGTAAAAAATGACCCCTTTCGTTTTAGAAAACTCATTTATAAGGTAGTCATGGACAAATGAATTAATTACCGTTTCATTTCCAAAAAGGATGTCAACATAAGGCATCGTTTTCATAAGAGGTTCTTTAAAAAATTGGGAAATAAATGGAGCAGAGAGATTCATAAGGAATGGTCTATTTTGGGAATGAGCGTATTGAGCAACTTCTATTATCGATTCCGGGCTAACTGTTAAGAAAAAACCCTAAAAAAATTTCCATTAATAATAATAAATTCTATAAATAGAAATGTAAATGCTTTTATTTTTTGTAAAACGAAAAGGTCAAAAGAGATAAACTCAGATAAGACTTACCGAAACATAATAATAACTAGCTTTCTCAATAAACTCTTTATTTTCTGGTTTACGGATATGATCTAAAGTGAAACAATTCGCAGCTGCTAAATTGGCACATAACGATCTATTTTGTCCGGTTAAAAGTACGGCACAAGTCCCTGTGGGTTCTTTTTCGGTGTATTGGTATTGCACGTTAACTCCATTCGAACGCGCTTTATTTTCCAATATTTTCGAATAATTATCATTTCCTACGCAACCAAAAAACGTGGTTACATTTGGCTTATCTAATATCCATTGGCACACTCTTAACGCGTTTTGCACCGATCCCCCCGCGATAAAATCGGCGTTATACGAGTTTACTAATTCCGAGTATAAATTTTTGTGTAATTCAGAAGCTAAAATTGCATCGTTTGGTTTCATTTCGTATTTTTTTAAAAAATCTTCTTCGACGATCGCTGATATATCTAGTAAGGGGTTACCCATTCCTAATAACATTCCTTCCCTAAAAAAAATAAAAATAATTAAAAAAATATTTTATAACCTCAAAAAAAATTTATAAATGTCAATTTGACACTGACAGTTTTCTAACCTAAAATTAATTTCTAAGAAATTATTAAAATTACCTAATTTTTAATGATTCCATTTTATTTTTGGGAGTTTTTTCGAGTTTCAATAGATTTCTTGTGTAGAGAGTGATTTCTGTGCGACTAAACGCACATTATTTAACGCTGTAATTTTTAGGAGAATCTAACCTCTCCCCTCCAGGCGTGTTTGACACGAGGTAATGATGGCTTTTGAATTGTTAATTTTTTGATAAGATGATATAATATGATACTTTGTGAAACACGTGGCTTATTATAGAAAACTAATTTAAATGTTAAATCATAAATTTATATTTTACTTATAGTTTGATGTTTAAATAAAAGATGGCGCATAATTTAATTAATAAATTTTTTTATTGATATTTAAATGATTATTTTATTTGTTTTTTTTTTAATAAATATTGAGTAAATTAAATTCTAATTTTAATAAATTAATTACCTTAAAAAATAAATAAAAATAGTAAATGTCAATTTAACACTGACAGTTTTTTAACCTAAAAATAATTTATTTAAAATAAAAAATAATTAATTTTTAATACTATTTTTTAAAAATTTGTTGCTATAATAAACCACGTGTGTTTATTATAAAGAAACTAATTTAAATGTTAAATGATAAATTTATATTTTATTTATAGTTTGATGTTTCCATAAGAGATGGCGCTTAATTGAGTTAATAATTTTTTTTAATGGTTATTTAAATAATTATTTTAATTAATAAAGGGCGAATTAAATTTTGATTTTTAATTTTAATAAATTAATTAAATTCATTACAATAATTAAATTAATTTATGAAATAAATTGAATTGATATGGTGTTATTTAAGAAGTATAACTACTAGGGGGTGTAACTCAGTGGTAGAGTGTCTGCTTCGCATGCTGAAAGTCCTGGGTTCAAATCCCAGCTCCTCCAAAAAAATTTTTTTTTATTTTTATTTAAAATTAACTTTTTTAAGCGAAATTAAAAAAGGAATAAAAGAAGGAAATAAATAAAAAAGTTTTAAAACCTTACGTAATAAAGATCGCGGATGTATATACTTTTTTATTCAAGTACCACTTGGATCCTCGTCGACGGACGACGAAATATTAAACATTATACACACAGTAGAGGGCGGTACTCGTTCTCTTTACCTTTTCCCCCCGTTAAAAATAAAAAAAAGTTCTCTCAGATTTATAGCGAGTATCTAGGTACACCAAAAGTTGGTAGAAAAAAAAATATTAAAAGAAAAACGAAGAGATAGTAGACAAGAGAATAAAAGAAAACCTCACAACCGAGTTATGAGGGTTCCTTTTTATTTTTTATTCTTTACGGGGTGGTTTTCTTTATGGAGACGGAAACGCGGTTGACCGGATAAGGAAGTGCCCTCTAGTGTCCTCGAAAATATATCTATTTAAAATTCACCGAGAAAAGAGTGAATTATTGCCGTATTAATTCTTGTAGAATACAATGCGCGGGGTTGAAATGTATATAGAACGCGAGAGAGTCAAGTGTTTCTTTGTTTATTTCCGGCCCTCTTTCGGGGAAAATAAGTTTTAATGTTTCGACGAGAAATGATCGCCCCCGCAACACAAACGAATCTCTTTTTATAAAGAATTATTCGACAAAAGTGTATCATCACAAAAGTGAGTGTCCACAAAGTAAGTATCTTTTTTAACCCACTTCAACACATAATTAGAAAAAATTTTTTTACTAAAAATTCTTTTTGTGAGTGTGTATACATTAAGTTTTCTTTTTACTTGTTTTCGGCGAACTCCGTATAACGCGTTTCGGGTCCGGCACAACAGAGAACATGTGCTCATGCACCGTGTAATGATCTTCATGATCTCCCGAACGCGACGGGACGCGCGTTTCGTTGAACGAAGAAGAATCGAAAGAGAATGATTAGTCACTTTATAGTCCGTGATTTCACGCGCTACAGGCACCGAAATTTTATGTAAAGTCGAATTCAAAAAATTCCCGGAAAAATTAAATTAACAAATCGAATAATTTATTTCAAAATCATAAAATACATTCAAAATCCTTCAAAACGAGCCCAAACACGCCGGGGTTATCTCCAAAAACAACCGAGATACGATCGATTTAAACTCAACGATCATCGATTGTTTTTTTAACTATTTCATGTCATATCTTGGTTGCTTTTTGAGATAACCCCATCGAGTTTGGACTCAAATTAAAGCATTTTTAATTTCCTACCCGAAACTAAATAAAAAATTTTAATTAAATTATTTTTTGAATTTAATTCGGTTATATCTCGAAACAATTGGATAACGATGGCGAAGAAAATCAAAATTTGTCACTTTATGTGATTTCACGCACTACAGGGCCCACATTTTTTGAAAAGTCGATTTAAAAAAGTTCCAATAAAAATTAAATTAATAAATCGAATAATTTACTTCAAAATCATAAAATATATTCAAAATCCTTCAAAACGAGCCCAAACACGCCGGGGTTATCTCCAAAAACAACCGAAATACGATCGATTTAAACTCAACGATCGTCGATTTTTTTAATTATTTCGTGTCATATCTTGGTTGCTTTTGGAGATAACCCCATCGAGTTTGGACTCAAATTAAAGCATTTCTAATTTCCTACCCGAAAATAAATAAATATTTTTAATTAAATTAATTTTTTGAATTTAATTCGGTTATATCTCGAAACAATTGGATAACGATGGCGGAGAGAATCAAAATTTGAATAACTAATTCCGTATACGTTCCCTTAATGAATCTAATGGATTTCCAGATCGCGTATACACCCACCCTCGTAGTCATCGTATAATATCATAGAATCTAAATTTTCTAACGCAATTGTAACTTTCTCGCCCCAACAACAACAATTCACGCGTTAGAATCGGTTTAAAAAAAATTAAAAATTAACCCCCCAACCCTCTCTCATTACGTTCCTCTCTTTTCCTTAGTCGCGAACGAAGTAAAACGTGCAGGAGAAAAGAATTACTCTTATTGTCTCCGCGCTAGCTGTAGAAGGGGTGCCCCGCGGTTCTCAAACCCATCCCTCCCCTCACCTTCCGCCGAAACCCCCTTTTTCCTTTAAGACTCCGGGAGATTTTTGCATGACAGCACCGGAGAAAACTTCTCTCTCGCAAATGTAGATAGAATTTCTTCATTTTAACCCGGCCGCTGGGTGTCCTTGTCCGTTTTGCGTTAATGAGTCACCCTTCTCTTTCTAGTTTTACCAACCCCTTCCCCCCTCGTATTCGCCACACTCATCTGCGATGTTTTTTGGGGGGTTATTTTAACCAGGAACGGATTTAAAGAAATTTAAAAAAAAATTAATAAAATTAATTCTTCTTAATCAATTTTGAATCAATTAATAAATTTTAATTAATTAATTTAATAAAAGAATTATTTAAAAAAACATTAAAAATATTGAGACGGCCCTGGAAATTAAGGGCAGCCGCTCCCCCCTTTTCCTTTAAGAGAAAACGTAGCCCTTGCGTACATTCTTATATTACGGCGTAACTAATCAGCAGCGCCCCTTTCTTTCTCTTTTTAATGAGGACCCAACTCGGCGGAGGCCTTAATTTCGCAGATTGTTTAATATTGCAACCACGCAAAAGCCGAATTGGACTAAAATTCTTCCTTTACAATAAGAAAATTAATAACAAATTTAATTCGAAATTAATAACATTTTTGACACTTTAATTTGAATTTAAATTTTCTTGCGCCATCTATCGATAATTCAATGCTATAAATTAATTTATTCCCAAAATTAATTAATTTCATAGAATAATTAATAAACAAGTATTTCATTAATTTAAAATAACAAATTTTATTTTAATTATTTTAAATAAATTCGTATTTTATTAATAATTATTCGCCCCATCTAGCGGTGATTAATCATATCAAATTATACTTTGACGTTTTAAATTTTATTGTTGTTAAATACTTTTTAAAATAGTTTTACAACAAAATGAAAACTCAAAATATATTTTTAGACACCAAAACTATCTATATCAAGTGATTTAAACCCCGAGAAGTGATTTTATAACTCAAAAATAATGAGTGAAGTTTTGACACAAAACAACATAACCTCATTTTTTAATATTGTCGATTTAAATTATTTGTGGGGTGATTTAATTAAGACAAAAAGGTAAGTCGATTAATTTTATTAATTTTACATCGTTAATTCCATTAATTATAATTATAACTTTCAATTAAAATTTTTTTTAGGAAAAGTCACTTTCTAACTGGCTCCATCTGTTGGCGATTAATCATATCAAATTATACTTTGACGTTTGAAATTGTTTACATCTTTTTAAGATAATTTTACCATAAAAAGAAGTCAAATTGAACCGAACGAAGATTCAAAATACGTTTTTAGACACCAAAACTACTGATATCAAGTGATTTAATCCCTGAGAAGTAATTTTATAACTCAAAAATAATGAGTGAAGTTTTGACACAAAACAACATAACCTCAATTTTTAATATTGTCGATTTAAATTATTTGTGGGGTGATTTAATTAAGACAAAAAGGTAAGTCGATTAATTTTACATCGTTAATTCCATTAATTATAATTATAACTTTCAATTAAATTTTTTTTAGGAAAAGTCACTTACTAACTGGCTCCATCTATTGGCGGTTAATCATATCAAATTATAGTTTGACGTTTAAAATTGTTTACATCCTTTTTAAGATAGTTTTACATCAAAAAGAAGTCAAATTGAACCGAACGAAGACTCAAAATGCGTTTTTAGATACCAAAACTATTTATATCAAGTGATTTAAACCCTGAGAAGTGATTTTATTACTCAAAAATAATGAGTGAAGTTTTGACACAAAACAACATAACCTCACTTTTTAATCTTGTCGATTTAAATTATTTGTGGGGTGACTTATTTAAGAAAAAACGGTGAGTCGATTAATTCTATTAATGTTAAATCATTAATTCCACAAATTATAACTTTCAAATAAAATATTTTTTTTAGGAAAAGTGCTCCATCTATCGGCGATTAATCATATCAAATTTTACTTTGACGTTTCAAAATGTTTTTAAGAACATCCTTTTTAAAATAGAGTTTTACAACAAGATGAAGTCAAATTGAACCGAACGAAGACTCAAAATACGTTTTTAGATATCCAAACTAGTTATATCAAGCGATTTAAACTCCGAGAAGTGATTTTATTGTTTCAGAATAATCAGGTAAGTTTTGACGTTAAACAACATAACCTCACTTTTTAATCTTGTCGTTTTAATTGATTTTGAAAGAATTTTTTCCTCCTTACAAGATCAAATGATGAAATTGAACTGAAAATAATAAATAACTCAAACGGTTTTGTTATCGGTTGAGTAAATCGGTTCAATTGTAAACGTTAGTAGTGGTAATACGAATATACCGATACGGTGTTAAGGATGTCGTCCTATTAAAGTAGGGAGGAGGGGGTCCACGTCGAATCCGCGGACGCGTTTCCGCTTTTACATTTCATTAAGTGTCGACAATAGAGTACGACGGCACGCTCGAAGACGACGGTGAACGGACGACGGTACCGTTTACTACTTCTTTCCCTTTTATAAAGTACATAAAGGTAAAGAAAAGACCGCTTCTGCCGCTGTCTAACCGTTACAACAACAAGCCAAGAGTCGCCCCGGAACGGAAAAAGTGACGCGTTTTCCCGTTCCGGTGCCCGATTTTCACACGGACCCAACAAGAGTCATTAACAAACTATGGCCAATTCTCGTTTTGTGTGTGTTTTTAAACCGTTCACTCTTCTTTCTGTTGATGTGAAAGTTCCATTCATTCGAATAAACTTTTTTGACTCTTTCAATTTATCTCCGGTTTGACATCCTTTAAAAGAAATTCTTAGAATAATGAATAATGATAAATATAATTTTTCTAATATCATATTAATTCGCGCATTTCTTTTTCTACTTAAAGAAAATAAGATTTTATTTATCTCTTTCTAGTTTCATTTGAAACGTTCACGGTCCACAAAATCTTATTTTCGCGTAATTGGAGGTTATTAGATATCGTATTAATTAGGAAGACTCGTTCGTTTTCGCCGAGTTTTTAATATTGAAAAGAAACGTCTTCTAGTCGTTGCTGAAAACGTTGAAATCTCTTCCGGACGCTCCCACCTGCGCGTCGGTGGCGGACTTTCCTCATCCCCTTTGGTGGGGCGGTGGTGGTAACAACCCCCGTTAGTGTTTCTGCGGCCGATTCAATGCACCTTCGTGTCGGACAGCAGTTTGTTTCTCTGTCATCGTCGCCGTAGACTTTTTGCGCGATTTTGTTTGTTCAGTTCAAACCAACCCCTAAATTCTTTTTTTTGCTTTATTTTTAGACCCCAAATTCAACACTTTTAAATTTAAATATACATTCCAACATTTTTTGTTTCAAAATACAGTAAAACCTCAATATGATGGAGAAAATATTTTTACATACTATTTTGACATACTATTTTTTATATAAATGTTAAGCTCATAGATTGAATCCAACTTGGGTTATTCTTCAAGTTGCTTTATTCCATCTTCATAAATTATCTCGGGATATTCCCAAAGTTGTCTATACGATGTAGAAATCAAGGACGGTTGTGCTAGTGTTATTTGGAAACCGAGGCAGTGGTTCTAGGTTTTCAATAATACCATATCATTTAGAAACCGAAGCAGTTGTGCTGCCGAAGCAGTGGCTCTAGTACTTAAAATAAAGTTTTCTTTAATACAAATGCAATACTTAGAAGCTGAGGCAGCCTTGCTACCGCGTATCATTTATCACTAGAACTAACACAAGACCTAGAACTAGAATTATTCGGGTTTAGTCGTCTTGAAAGACTTGCGGCTAAATTCGAATGATTCTAGTTCTAGGTCTTGTGTTAATTCTAGTTTTAGACTAAGACTATCACTAGAACTAACACAAGACCTACAACTAGAATCATTCGGGTTTAGCCGTCTTGAAAGACGTGCGGCTAAATCCGAATGATTCTAGTTCTAGATCTTGTGTTAATTCTAGTTTTAACTAAACTCTACGGCTAATAATATAATTTTTGATATAACGGACACTCCCTTCCTCGTATTAGTCCATTATATTGAGATTTTACTGTATATACTTATATTAAAATCACAAAAAAAGAGTTGAAAGTACAATTTTAAGATTTAAATGCATAGTTATTGTTTCCCTCCTTTTCTTAAAATAGCACACATCAATCCCCCCGTCTACTACATTAAGAGGGTTGAAAACGTTCACTCATACTGCTCATACAACACATAGTAGCTCCATCTCTTTTTTCTTTTAACGCCATCTTTTCTTCTTCTTGCTTCCTTCAGGATTTTAATTACAGAGAGCGGCCGCTGCCGTAGCCCCAGAGTTTCACCCCCCGCCATACCTCCCGCGAACGGAGATAAGATGCGAAATTAGCCTGCGAGAATTCTTATCGTACTTCCGGGGGGATGGTGGCGGTTGGTGGGGTGAAAGGGGGTTGTTCGTCTTTCTCTTTCCCTCCATGTGTTGGATTTTATTTCATGGAATTAAAATTTTTTCTTTTAAATCACATATATTTTATATTATCGTTTTTTTTTGGATTCCAACCCCTTCAAAATCATTTAATGTGGGGGTTGTACAAAAAAAAAGTGGTCGTTTTGTTAGATTAGCTTAGTGCTTCGTTTTCGTTGCGCCATAAAACTTAGCGGCCCGGTTCGAAACGATTAACATAAAATCGGTCGCAACCCCCATCGTGAAAGTGAAAGGGTTGTATTATAGGCGAAAAAAAAAATGAAGGGGTTGTTGTTTTTTAGAAATAATCCACTCTACGACCGACCCGTTCTCCTTTCACGCGTTTTATTATAGGCCCTGACGGAGTTTTCCACAAAGTTTTTCTTCTCTTCCGCCACCCCCCACGTTAAAAAATAGAGGGTGGTAATCGGCGATCCGTAAACTTGTGTGAAAGGGGATGTCGGAAACGATTGTTTTCTTTCATTTAACTAATTGGGTTAGGTTAAATGATAAAATTTTGGCGCAAATTTTAGTTTTTTACTAGGGGATGAAATTTGTTCATCTCACTATAATTATTTCTTTATTCTTATTCGAAAACAAATAGTAAAATTATTTTCTTTTATTAAAACGAGTGAAAAATAACCCCGATGGAACGAAAGAAAAAGCTAGAGGGCGTAATTAGTACACCCCCACCCCTACCACCATACTTCGTACGCAGATGAGTCGTCAGGCGAAGTCAATTTTTCTCTAAATCTTGCCGTCTCTCTCTCTTGGTAGGGGTCTCGTCTTAAATCCAGGCTTCTGAACCCCCTCGCTTCGCCACCCCCGAATTCCCGCCACCACACTACCCCTTTCCCCTCCCTGCCCATTGCCATTAATACTTCTTCTTCAAAGCACAAACTCGCATTTTAATCGATTTCATTTGCGCATGTGAGCCTGCCGCAAAAACTGTGCTACCCCCCTTATGGCCGGCGGGAAAGGGTGGGGAGTGGGGGTCGCGGTAGGGGAATCGTTGTTGGAGGGGCGAGAAAAGAAGCGGCGGAAAGAGTCTTGAAGGGCGGACGTAGATAGATGGCGAGTCCCGTATGTGGCAGTGAATTTATAATTACTGCCCCCCCACCCCCTCCCTCGCCGCAGCGCCGGTGGCGGCAGTGGTGACGGGTTGCCGCCTCCTTCGGGTAGCTCGCTCTCCGTCGCACCCGGCGATTCGCGTTGGGCCGAGGAGGGTGCAGTTTTCGATTTTTACGACCGGGTTCGCGGGGGGCGCCTTCTTCTTGTTCTTCTCTTCTTCTTTCTTTACTTCTCCTCCGTGCGTTCTGGATTCGGGGGGCGGCCAACGATCGATTGGGCGGCGGCAGAGTTCCGTAGGCGGCATCTCTCGGTAATTGCGTTAATTACGACGCGGCGTCGCGACGGATGCACCGGTGACGACCATCTTGGATGCTCTGACGACGAAAAGAAAATAAATAAAAAAAATTAAAAAACATACAAAAAATAATAGTAGTAGGCGGAACCTCTTTAACCATCCCATATACATTTTATTTTTATATTAAGCAAAATCTACCACAGAAGAATTGTTGTTGCTAAGGAATCTATACTCGATAAGTTTTTAATGATTCATGTCTTTCACTCTTTGCAGATCCCGTTATCTACGTCCATCAATTCAATAACAATTCTTCAATATGATATCGTTTTTTTGCAAGTAACTTGGGTTTAATTGGGCATAAAGATGTATTCCCAACGATCTCATTATGACTAGGAAGGAGAAATACGCCGAGGTCGTTTCTGGCCGAGGCGCAACTTTATGTGTTTGTGAATGCTGTATCGAAATGCATCGATAAACAAGCTTCGTCTTAACTAGAATACAGAAACCACCTTGGAGTGTTATTACACCGAGATTCCAATATTAAATCAATATGGTATGAATTAGGCTTGATTAACCAAAACCTTGGATTCCAACGGAAGCTAGTCGAGGTCGCTTACAACCGAGGGGCTACAGTTAACTAAGATGAAGAAAACACTTTGTTGCAACTTGTCTTCTCTATCGATATGGAAAGAGCTGTAACTCCTTTTTAGTGCAAACTAAGCCGAGGTCGCTTGCGGCCGAGGCGCTACAATTAATACCAATACCAATATGAAGAAAGTATCCTATTATTTTATTATGCCAAAGTTGCTTGAAGCAACAATCTGGGCTTGATTCAAGAATAAGCCAAGGCCACGTACGGCGTGACGCTACAACTAAATACAACGAATTATCCATCTTTCAGGGAAATTAAGCTTCAATTAAGTCAAAGTCATTTCTTGCTGATGTGCTACAATATGTGTTGATCACAATTTCCTCTCATCGTATCTGGATTCGTTTTAGATGATTTTTAAGTAAGAAAACAAATTTTAAAATATTTCTTTATTTAATTTTTTTCGAAGTTTGAATATTTTGTAATAAGGAATCGGTAAATTTGTCGTTGGAAGGAATAGTTTCCAATCGTTCAACGACATTGAGCAATGCAGGAGAGA